AAAAAACAAGCCAACCAATCCACCTTTCCCTCATGAAACTATAATGCCAGCCAGGCGGTGGTGGCACATGCCTTTAATCCCAGCACTCGGGAGACAGAGGCAGGCAGATCTCTGTGAGTTCGAGACCAGCCTGGTCTACAGAGCTAGTTCCAGGACAGGCTCCAAAGTCACAGAAAAACCCTGTCTCTAAAATCAAGAGAAAAAAAAAAAAGAAACTATAATGCCAGTATCTCTTAAGATTGGATTTTTATTTAGATGTCTGCCTGTGTGAGTGCACCATGTGTGTGCCCACAGAAGCCAGAGGATTTTATAGGAGATGCTGGGAACTGAACTCATGTAGAAAACTGAATGTTATTTCCCTATAGATAGTGCCCATGTTACTACAAGACGGTATGCTACCTGAGAACTGGGCTGAGAGACTTAAAAACACACAGAGAGACAGAGAGACAGAGACACAGACATGGGTCATCCTTGATACAAGAATGCCAATGCCCACTTTATTGTGCTCAGGGGCAGCATATATGGATCCTTAGCCACGCCTAGCTCTCATCTTTCAGCTTGCAGACTTCATCAGCCTGCCATCAAGGTCTCATGCTCAGAGCAGATGCAGGCACAGGTGTTTTGATCAGTTCACTCCAGTAGGCAAAGGGTCTAAAGGAAGCAAAGAAAGTCGAGGGACCAGGGATCTGCAGCTCCCAACAAACTCGGGTCCTCTACAAGATCAGTATTTGTTCTTAACGGCTGAGCCATTTCTCCAGCCCAGAGCATCAGGTCTAGTATCACTTAAATAGAAAATGAATACAAAAATAAAATCTGGTTTTCTATCATTGCCTACTTAAAGACTCCAAGCTGAATACATGTTTCTCCCTTTGTCAGTGTGTGAGTCAAGCAAAAGTTTAGAGTGGTATTTAGGACCAACTGCCGATAAGATGAGACTTCAGAAAGTAGTAGAAAAATTGGAGAAAAGAAAAACACTGAGGAAGTAATACTTAGTGATTTTGTTTCAGTTTTTGGAGACAAGGCATCACAGAGTGTTATCTAGCCGTGTCTCAAGCTTGTGGACACAACTAGTTTTTTTGCATCAGCCTTTCAAGTACCTGTGTACCAGCATTTCTTGCTGGGATTCTTTTTTAATTCCATAGCACTGTACTATTTAAAATCATATCATGTATCAATATTCATGTTATTTCCCTATAGATAGGAAATCGCATGGTGCTGCTTTAGAATACAGGGCATTTTGTTTGCTTTACTGTCTGAATATATGTTTTTTTTTAATAGGGAGAAAAATGAAAGATACTATTGTGTCCTTTTCAACGACGAGCACCATTCATACGATCATGTGATATACAGTCTACAAAGAGCTCTTGACTGTGAGCTCGCAGAGGCACAGTTGCACACCACTGCCATAGACAAAGAGGTTCGTGATCACCACGTGAATTATGTTGCTGTCTCACATCCATTTCTGGCATTCAGGTGCTAACTGCTTTTTTAAAAGGTGGTTTATTATAGACTTAAAATTGGTAGCTGACTTCTGGGCATGAATTAACTGTTACCGTCCTGAACTCACAGGAACTGATTACCTGAACGGGATTAGGTCTTTCACTGTAGCATCATGGATAGGGGAGGAGAGTGTGAGCCTCATTCCTCCCTGAGGACTATTGCCAGTTAATGGTTGCTGAGGGAAGGGCTATCATTTTTTCCAGTGATATTGTCACTAGTAAGTTGTCCATAGTCCAGTAAATAACTCCCTATCCTCCATCATTCAAGCAGCTATAATTAAACTCCAGTGAGTTACCAAATAGAAAGACACAAAAGTAGGAAGGATTTGTTTGGAAGAAGGGTTTTAGTACGAGAGGGAGGGGGGTGAGAGAAGATAACGGGTATTGAAGTGACGGAAATTCATTATATACATGAAATTGTCAAAGTTTTTTAAGTTAAAAAAAATTTCTGTCTGGCCATAGGATCTGTCATCTTGCCTATGCTAGCCTGATAAACGTTCTTCCATTGAACTACATTCTTTGTCCTGGGAGGTGTTTTGTTTTGAGACAGAGTTGCTTGTAGCCCAGCCGACCTTAAGCTTGATGTGTAGCTGAAAACAATCTTGAACTCCTGATCCTCCTGCTTTCATTTCCTGAGTTCTGGGAGTAAGAGGAATGTGGCAGCCTTAGTGGTTTAAACACACACACACACACACACACACACACACACACACACACACACACACACACACCTGTGCCTTTATTTTCTTTTTGAGACAGGGTTTCACTGTGTAGGTCTAGCTATACTATACCTCACTATAAAGATCAAGTTAGCCTAAAAAATTATAGACATCTATTTGCCTCTGCCTCCCAAGTGCTGAAATTAAAGGAGTGTAACACCATGTCTACCTGGTTTAGCCCTTTTTGAGTCTCATTATGTAGCTCAGGCTGTCCTTTCAATTTGAGGTCTTCCTTCCTCCTGGTTGTTGGAGTTTAATGACATCATACCTTGATTTTATTCTAGCATCTTAAAACTTCTAGACAACAAATGATTCATACTTGGCCATTCTTTAGGTATGTTACTTGCTGATTGTGATTACCATCCCACTATCCCATTCTCATTTTCACCTACAATTAGGGTCGCCGGGCTGTCAAAGCAGGCGTTTATGCTGCTTGCCAGGAAGCAAAAGAGGACATAAAGGTAACTTTCTGAATTATCTACAAAGAGAATTTCAAAAGGCAATGTAGATTTATTTCTAGGAGCCTAAGTAGAAAAGATAAAAAGATTTTATTATCGCCATGGTTGGTGTCATGAGTAAAAATAAATAGGTCTGGGAACTTGGAACTTGTGGGCTATGCGGCTCTTTTATCAAGTATAGGTTACTTAAAGCACAGTTTAAATGCTTCTTTTCACTCCTCCTGTTGTTTGTAGAGTCATTCAGAAAATGTCTCTCAGCACCCGCTCCACGTGGAAGTGCTGCACTCCGTGGTTATGGCTCACCAGAAATTTGCTTTGCGCCTTGGCTCTTGGATGAACAAAATTATGAGCTATTCAAGTAAGCATATACACTATTTATCTGATTTCTCATTAACTATTGCATTTTATAAAAATATGTAAATATCTTTGAGACTTCTTCTTGGTCAAGTATCCATTTTGATTGATTTTTTTCAGGATTACATTTCAAATGTATAATACAAGTTTGTTTTCAAATGAATAGTGTCTAATAACATCCTTTATTGGCTCTTGTGTCTTTGATGACATGATTATTCTTGACATCAAACATAGCAAGGTTAATTTTAATCTTTTCACATATTATTATTTGAACACTTTTAGGAGAATATCATATGAAGAAAAATAATTTGTTTTCCTTTATTTGTAGGTGACTTTAGGCAGATCTTTTGCCAGGCCTGCCTTGTAGAAGAACCTGGCTCTGAAAATCCCTGTTTTATAAGCAGACTAATGCTCTGGGATGCAAAACTTTATAAAGGTGGGTAGACCTCTACTTGTAGTACATCAGGAATCAAGGGGGAGATTATGGCTTTATCACAGAATCCAGGTTTTCCCTGTATGAAGTCAGTTACTGATCACAATCTTGATTAATGTTATATGTGAAGGCAAGGTTAACCAATTTCATTTTTCTTGGTTAAAATTCAGAAATATTGTCTTTTAATAATAGTGCTTTTCATTTAGACAGAGCCAGTTAAAGTATAATTAATAAGATTCATGTAACAATGCTTTTAGTAAAGCTATGTTTTCACTATAAAAATACAAATGGGAACTAGAAAGTAAGTAAAAGACGAGAGTCTAAATAAAGGTGTGGAAAAGGTACAGTGCAAAGCAGTTCTGAGAGGGCAGTAAAAACTGGTGAACTGAGGGCAGGAGAAGTGGCTCGGAGGTTAAGAGGGCCACTGGTCTTGCAGAGGACCCAAGTTCCGTGCTCTGTATCAAACTTAGGTGGCTCACAACTGCCTGTAACTACAGCTCCAGGAGATCCGACTTCTTTTTTTAGCCCCTGTATACATACCCCCTGCCACATGCACACGTACACATAATTAAGAGTAAAATAAGTCTTAAAATGTGATTGAAAAAAATGGTTTGGAGAGAATAAAAGGTAAGATGGAGTGATGGGAGAGGTACACAAAAGAGATTGATGTTTTTTTTTAATTAAATTTAGAATTAAAAATTGTGTTTTTAATTCATGATATTAAATATTACTGCATATTTGAAGCTATTAGCATGGTAATAAAAACAAACCACCTCTATTATTTCTAATGCCTGTAATAATTTGTCTGTCCTGGTAATGCCCTCACCTCTGTTCCCTGATGATCTACAGGAGCCCGTAAGATCCTTCATGAACTGATCTTTAGTAGTTTTTTTATGGAGATGGAATACAAAAAACTCTTTGCTATGGAATTTGTGAAGGTAATTGCTGTTTATAAATACCAGTAAATATGATTTTTACAAATGAAGTAATGGAAGCATAGTTTTAAATGGAACTCATCTAAAACATTTTTATTAATTTCTTCACTAAAAATATATTATTTTATATTACATAAATACTTTTACAAATGATGGTTGGTACAACGCCAACAGCAGTTTTAGAGAAAGACAGTTTCCCAGGGCCACGCAAAGGCAGGTTATTACATTCATACATGCATTCTTCCTTCTTTGTCTTTTTCTTTCACTTGTCCTTTTTGATCATTTATTTGCCTGATGGTAAAATTACTACAAAAATAGAAGTGACTGCTTAAGGGAAGAGCAGGAAAAAGGAGCAGATGTGCATGTGACAGAAGCAGGAAGTAGCAGACCAGTATTTTAACTGAGATTAAAAACACAAAGATGAAATTAAAACTCTCTTATGTTGCTTTATTGATCTGTTCCAAGTGCCATACATTGTTATGTCTTTTTGCTTATCATCCATGTAACATTGCAAGGATACGCAGAATGGGGAGTTTTTTTTTTATTTTGCCTTACTTAAAAATATACAATAAGTATTTATTGACTCCTTTTGATTTTTTTGAAGATTTACTTACTTTTATTTTGTGTATATGGGTATTTAACCTCTTTAACCTGTATATCTGTGTAACATGTGCCTGCTGCCCACAGAAGCCAGAAATGGGTATTAAATCTCATGGAATTTGAGTTATAGATGACTTTGAGCCACTTTGTGGCTTCTGGGAATAGAACCCGAGTCCTTTGGAAAAACAACCAATGCTCTTAACCACTGAGCTATCTCTCTAGCCCTCCTTACCCTTTTGGGACAGGGCCTCACTTTGGCATCCTGGCTAGCCTTAAACTCACAGAGATCCGCCTCGCTCTGTTTCCTGAGTGCTGGGGATTAAAGGTGTGCACCACCACTGCCTGACAACTCCTTCTGATTTTAATTTTCAAACAGTTCTGAGCGACTTAGGACAGGATAGAAGTAGAACCAAAACTAGAGTTGAAAGCAGAGAGGGACAATGGCAACCTTCTTTAGATTTTGTAAGTAGATATTTAAAAACTAACATTTAGGGGCCAGAGAGATGGCTTAAGAGCATTTGTTCTTCTAGAGGACCTGGGTTTAATTCCTAGCACCAACATGGCAGCTCACTCCAGTTCTGGGGGATCTGATGTTCTCTTCTGGCCAGCACAGACACTCCTAGATAGGCAAAACACCCATAGCACATAAAATGATAACTAGTATTTAAAAAGTATATGTATGTCTTCTTTGGAAGTGATGATAGCTGAAGATGTAAATATTTTCTAAACATTTTAGAGATAAGTTTACTGGGCCTACATAGACTGAATATCTAATCTGAAATGAAATTTTATTCTATTATACAAAAGCTAAGCTTACTTAGATGAAATACAGTTTTTGTACAGCATGGTTTCCTCTTAAACTGATTCTGGTGAGAAAAATTAAGTAGGTAAATTGTTTGCAACTCTGTTTATATATAAATGATGCTTGATACTCGGTAAGTGTGGTGCTGCCTTTGATCTAGCACAGCAGAGCTGGTTATCAGCTGTAATTCACCACTGTGCACAAAAAAATATTAAGCCCACTCTGCTTGAGGATTGACTGAATATGAGCGATTGGCTTCCTGCTTCATATGAGTTGCTAAATACTTTTAATATATCCAGTTCCATACTGTTAAGTAGAAACTGTCAAACATTGCCATAGGGCTTTTCTTTTCTTTTTTGTTGTTTGTTTTGTTTTAAGAAAGGGAAAACTGCACTATTACACTCTGCCATGATTTTCACCTGTGTATTTTGTTTTTAAAGTTAATAATCTTTGTAACTCTGTTAGATCACCGTCATTTAATTCATATTTTAGTATTCTTCTGTTTCTTGCTGTCTACAGTTTTGTTGACTATGATAATGATAAACAGAATTATATTAACTCATCATCTTATGAACTGTGTCACACTTGAGACAGTTATTAAAACTTAGAATGTAAAGGTTTCAGCTGTGATTCAAATCAGCTCTCCTCTTCCATCACTTTCAGTACTATAAACAACTGCAGAAGGAATATATCAACGATGATCATGACAGGAGCATCTCGATAACCGCACTGTCTGTTCAGATGTTCACTGTCCCGACCCTGGTATGTATGAGATTTTCTGAGTAAAACTTGCTCTGCTTTTCAAGACTTTTACTTGATGTGATATCAAATTGAAACCGTGTGATAATCACAAAGTTTTTTTTAAAGATTTACTTATTAATTAATTATACCGTATGCTGTCTGCATGTATGCTGCAGGTCAGTAGAAGGCACCAGACTCATTAAAGATGGTTGTGAACCACCATGTGGTTACTGGGAATTGAACTCAGGACCTCTGGAAGAGCAGTCAGTGTTCTTAACCTCTGAGCCATTTCTCCAGCCCAATCACAAAATTTTGCTACTTTCATTTGGAAAATTTAATACTTCTGTGGTATCTATGTGTGTAATAACTCTAGTGGTACCCAGGGACAAAATAACTGGAAACTACCCTTGTCCAAATGGTCCGATCTTTACGAGTGATGTTCAAAGGTGATTTCTCACTCTCTGGAGTGTTGTTATTTCAACACCAAAATCTTGCAGTTTTAAATTTTGCCTTTCTTTTGTTCTTTAGTTATTGTTTTTTTGGTGAATAGATGCATTAAGGTAAGAACTGAGAAGGGAGAGTGTGCCCAGCAGCCCCTGCTGTGAGGTGGTGCTGTACAGGTCTGGGAGGAAAGAGGATTCTGCTTTCCTTTTATGCTATTTTCTTCTTTCTTCTTGAAAGTCTGATTAGCTATTCCTATTTTCCCATTTCAAAGGGCCAAAGAAAAGGATAGGGAAGAAAATTAAATTGGGGTGATAGAGAAGTACCATAATAGAGAACAATATGATAGAGGTTGTAAAAGATGTCTTTGTTCTTCATTGCTCATGGTATGATTACAGGTGATAAATGTTTGTTAGACAATCTGTGGAAGAGGCTTGCCATTTCTACATAGGTATTTTCTAGCTACTGAGAAAAGAGGAGTTTTACTTTAGATACTAATTTCCTCACTACGAGTATAACTCAGTGGTATAACACTTGCCTGACATATACAAGGCTCAGTATTTGATCTCCAAAACTGAGCATAAAAGCAAAACCTAAACCCTAGAAATTAACTTCTGAAGGAGCTGCTGTTCTTTAAAAACTAGGGATTGGTTTTAATGTTCAATAAACATTTATTAAGCTGACCACGGTAGCTCATGCCTTTAGTTCCACCATTCAGGATGCAGAGGCAGGTAGATCAATATAGAATCATGGTCAGACTGGTCTACATGTGAGCACTAGGCCAGCCAAGGCTGCATAGTGAGACCTGCCTCTAAACAAACAAATAAAAAGAAAGAAAAAGTAATTTAGCATTTGTTAAAAATTATTTATTTCTGACCTGGCATGGTGACAAACGCCTTTAATCCTGACACATGGGAGGAAGCAGGAGGATTTCTGTGAGTTCAACGCCCACCTGGTCTATATAGCAAAATTTTAGGATATTCAGGACTAAAATAGAGAGACCCTGTCTCCAAAGTAAAGAAACAAACAAATTTACTTAATGGGCATGCATTCTTCAACTGAGGCAGAAAATTTTAAGTTTGAAGCCAGTCTAGGCACATAGTGAGATGGCATTTTAAAAAAACAAAATGAAATACTGGTCAACCAAATGAATGAATAAATTAAGTCCATTACTATGATGAGTTAATGCTAAGACAATATTCTTGAAATATTCTGCAGGCCCGACATCTTATTGAAGAACAGAATGTTATTTCTGTCATTACTGAAACTCTGCTAGAAGTTTTACCTGAGTACTTGGACAGGAACAATAAATTCAACTTCCAGGGCTATAGCCAGGACAAACTGGGAAGAGTATATGCAGTAATATGTGACCTAAAGTAAGTGGTTGGAGTCCAAAGGTGAGGGCATCTGTTAAACACAATGTACTTACTTGCTCTGTCATACAAGTAAACATTTGCTCCTCTTGGTTATCTAGGATTCTCTTTACCGTCATGGCAAGCACAAAGAAATTTGACTGTCTCGTGCTAATACAGTTGGCCTCCACATCTGTGGATCCACCCAACAACCTGAAAGTAATAACAAGATGATTGATTCTGTACTGAACATGTACAGATTTATTTTCTTGTTTTTATTCAGAACACTAGTATAACAAGCGTTTATAGAACATTTGATTTAGGCGCATGCCTTTAATCCCAGCATTCGGGAGGCAGAGGCAGGGGGATCTCTGTGAGTTCGAGGCCAACCTGGTCTACAAGAGCTAGTTCCAACACAGGCTCCAAAACTACAGAGAAACCTTGTCTCGGGGAAAAAAATGCTTTGTATAGGTATTAAATTTTCTGTGATGTATGTAGGTTGCTTTCAAATACTTTATCATTTTATATATTTTGGAAGTGGGGTTCTGGAATCAGTCCCCAACTAGTAACACAAGACTTCTGTAAATGTCTTCGGCAAAGTCTTACTGAGTTTAAAACCAGCTGAATGAAGAAGGTGCTGAGGACAGGCCTGTCAGTGTACCTGGGCTATCAAATGACTATCCATTGTAATTTCCACTCTTCTGCTCATACACTTCATGGTTTTGTTCCTCTTATGTTCTCTCAGTTTCCAATAATCTGTGTATTTTTCTTTTTGCTTCCTTTTTTGCATATATACCAGGCTACTGATATTTATTCTCTAATTAAATTTTTTCTCCCTGGAGAGAACTAAACATTTATTTTCACACTAAAATTGGGGAGCTACAGAAATCATTCAGTGTTTAAGGGCATACTACTCTAGGAGAGGACCAGGATTCATTTCCTAGTACCCACATCAGGTCACTCAAAACCACCTCTAACTCCAGCTCTAGGGGAATCTTGCTGTTAATCTCATCTTTGCAGGTACTTACAGATACTATACACACATGCACCCCACATACACATAATTGAAAAACATTTCAAATCTTAAACTAAAATTAGAATCACATGATAGAACAGATGATTACAATACATTTCCATTTAGTTTAGAATGTTAAATGTTGTAAGAATTCTGGTAGATCAACTATTTAATAAATCATGAACTTTTAAAAAAAATTTTTAGTATATGTTAGAATAAAATATGTACGTAGTTTGCTGTTTTCAAAAAGCTCTAAGGCGGGACTGGAGAGATTGGCAGTTAAGGACATTTGCTTTTCTTTCAGAGAACCCAAGTTTGGATCCTAGTACTTACATCATGAAGCTCATGCCTGCCTCTAACTCCAGCTCCAGGGAATCTGGAGCTTCCACAGGCATCTGCACTCATGCATATAACCATACACACCCACACACTCACACACACTCAGTCACTGCATACACACACACACACACACACATACACTCAGTCACTGCATATACACACACACACACACACATGATTGGGAAAAAGTTTTATGTACTTCTAATGACTATGGGGGATAAGGACAGTAAACAAATGGGCTTCTAGTACAATTTAAAGATAGTTTAGTCTGTTTAAAACATAGGTTTAAGAATTCAGCTCAAGCCGGGCGGTGGTGGCGCACGCCTTTAATCCCAACACTCGGGAGGCAGAAGCAGACGGATCTCTGTGAGTTTGAGGCCAGCCTGGTCTACAAGAGCTAGTTCCAACACAGGCTCCAAAGCTACAGAGAAACCCTAAAACTCGAAAAACTAAATTAAAAAAAAATTCAGCTCAATAGTTAGTGTTTGCCTGGAATATCCAAAGCTCTGGATTTGATCCCCAGCCCTGAAAAAAATAAATAAATAAATAAATGACAGGTATCTGAAAACTCTTAGTTCGGGTTTCTATTGCTATGAAGATACACGATGACCATGGCAACTCTTTTAAAGGAACATTTAATTGGGGTTGACTTATAGTTTCAGAGGTTTAGTCCATTATCATCATGGTGGTGTACAGGCAGATATGGTGCTAGAGAAGGAGTTGAGAGTTCTGCATCTTGATCTGCAGGCAGCAGAAGCTACTGTGGCACTGGTCATAGCTCGAACATAGGAGACCTCGAAGCCCACCTCCATAGTGACACACTTCCTCCAACAAGGCCACACTTCCTCTAACAAGGCCACACCTCCTAATAATGCCACTCACTATGGGGGCCATTTTCTTTCAAACCACCACAGTGATTAGCATGTATCCATTGCCACTCAGATTTGTTCCTTAGCAAATTATGCATAATAAATTATGCAAAATACAACTTCCTAATGGCTGTGCTTGAAGTGACTTGTTAATTCATCGATGAGCCATGGTCTACTTTACAGGGTTAAATGTCATGACTGTGCCATATTCTCATAACTGAGTTATTTTAGAGAAAGGTAACATAATTGAAGTAACCTACTCAACAGTTCACTCTCAAAAGGGTCCTGTAAAATTTGTTAGTAGTTCTCATGTGGTAAGGAACTTTGCTTATACCAACTTCATTTTAATATTGCAACATTCTTACAAAGTAGTTGGTGTAATCTTGGCTTGTAGGCTATAATTATTTGCCTAGGTCACAATGATATTACGTGTGGAACTGGGATTCAGACCTGACTGTCTGTACCACATCCATGTATCCTCATAGTGTATAGACACTGACAGTGAAAGCTGTTCTGAAACCTTACGAAAACACGTTCAGAAATGTCCTTGTTTAGGAAATTGTCATTAAGTCCTGTTTTCTGCTACGTTATCTGCTTAATTTTCCCTGAAAGTTGCTTTTAAAACAGTAATTACTAAAATGTTTAAGTATCTCTAAGTTCTTTTAGAATTTGTTCTCTACAGTCCAGCCATGCACTCTACTTTCCTGATTACCTAAACATAAAATAAACCACTTGGTGTGAGTGGGTACTCTGTTCATATTCCCTACAGAAATTTTAGTTCTCCCCATGCAGTGAATTCCAACTTTGAGTAGCCTTTCCAAGCATTAAAAAGTTTCTTGAACTTTCGTTGCTTTTGTGTGGCTTTCCTTGTTTGGTTCTGGTCCCTTTGTCCATTTAGAAAAAAATAAGTCACTTCGTAAGGACAGCAATTATATCTGCCATGTCTTTTCTAAATTAATGTTCCTCTCTGCTGAGCCTGTTCCTGTTGAGTGAGTACCATTTGTGTGTCAAGAAATGAATACCAACTGAAGTCAACCCAGTAAAGTAAAAGGGATGGGGTGTTAGGAATATTTTTTTTAAGACATCCTCTCTGCTGACACAAATAATTCCAATCAGACCAAATTAGACTGAATAAAAGGTGTCAACGTTTAATGCAGCACTCCCGGCTGGCCCAGGAAAGCATGGCAAGGGGAAGAGAGCAGGCAAGACCATGCAATACCCGGAGACCACATGTTCCTTTTCTGGGTGGCATCCTAAATAGCCTGTGGGAGCGGTCACTGCTTGGCGGGCTTTCTTGAAGGTGGAGTCCAGACCAAGGCAACTCCCAGGGGAGGGGGCTTGAAATGGAGCTTCCTGCTCCATTGGCATTCCAAGGATGGGTGACATGGGCTGGGGCAATGCTTCCAATCATCCCAGACTCCTTGGATATAGGGGTGTTAGAGGGCTGGGATCTCACTTTCAATCAAACACAGGGGAGAGGGAGAATTAACATCTCCTTACTGCCATCTTATTCATGTTCATGTTCCGAGTCCCATATATATATAAATGACACACACACACAGAGGAATGTATTTTGTTTCATTGAGTGCAAAGTAATTTTTAATAGTTTATTGTATCCTGAGAACTTATTCATGGTAAATTTTGTTCCCACTGAAACTAATTATTGTCTTTTCAGCCAAAAGAAATATTCATTTGGTGAATTGTATACTAACATAGTTGTAAGCCTGCTCATCTCTCCAGATTTGTACATCTAATGTGCAAGGCATGGTGACACAGGTTTACATCCTTATGGACTCTGAGTTCTGAAAACCTGGAGGTAGAAGTCTTTTTTAAGTCAGCTGTGCCTCAAAGGATTTGACTTGGCCCTTTGGGTGACGGTTATGATAAATCTGTGGAAATCTCGTCCTGTATTTACCTACAGGAGTCTGTGTCAGGCCTGTCCTGTGACAGCTAAGCTGTTTACTTCATCATTCTGAAACAGCTTAGGAAGCCATGCTTAGCTTTGATGCCTCTCTCCTGAAGATGATTCCCTTAGTTTACTAGTTTTATATAAATAAAGCGAAATAAATAACTCTAGTTCTGCCCCAGAGGCCCTAATTACTGTAGGAAATTAAAATTCACAGTTTTGATGAATCAGTATTGTCTGTAACCCTGAGAACCTTCGAATCATCTGACCTATTTCTTTTTCCTGAAACGACAGATACATCCTGATTAGCAAGCCTCTAATGTGGACAGAAAGGTTAAGAGTGCAATTCCTTGAAGGTTTCCGGTCTTTCTTGAAGATTCTTACCTGTATGCAGGTATGATAATTCTTTGGTGTACCAATAAAAGAAAATTAACTTTAACACCCTCCCCCCATTTTTTCTATTTTTTTGAGATTTTTTGTTTGTTTGTTTGTTTGGGTGTCTTGACTGAATATGTGTTTGTGTACCCTGTGCATGCCTGATGTCTGTGTACCAGAAGAGAGTGTTGAATTCTATGGAAGTCACTGGAATTTCAGATTGTTGTGAACCAGCATAAGGGTGCTGGAAATCAAACCCGAGTCCTCTAGAAGAACAGTCTGTTCTCTTAAACCACTGACTTATCTCTCTAGCTTCTTTCCTTATCTCCCTCCCTCCCTCCCTCCCTCCCTCCCTCCCTCCCTCCCTCCCTCCCTCTCTCCTTCCTTCCTTATTTTCTCTTTCTTTCTTCTTTTTTTTTCTTTCTTTTTTATATACAGTGTTCTGCCTGCACACCAGAAGACAGCACCAAATCTCATAATAGATGGTTGTGAGCAGCCATGTGGTTGCTGGGAAATGAACTCAGGTCCTCTGGAAGAGCAGCCAGTGCTCTTAACCTATGAGCCATTTCTCCAGCCCCATTTTCTCATTTTTCAAAAGAAGTTAATAGTGGGTTTCATAGACAGTTTCTCTAATGTAGTAGACATGGGTATAAACACTAACTTGTCCTTGCTTTCATAGATACTAATGTGTGTCATTAGTTACTGCTGCTACTATTAATGTTCATTGAATGCTTACCACACGATAAATATATGTAAGACTACATATTATCTGCAGCTTATAGTTTTATTTTGCTATTATGATTCTTGTTTTACACATGAGGTAATGGGAACTTCTCACTGCTGTTATTTGTGGTCAGATACCAATGAACTGTCTACTCCTGAAACCTTGTGTTCTAACTCATATATTCTGTAGTTTACCAGCCATGTTAAGTTACTGTGCATTTATGAATATAAATCCTTGTATATTTATATTTTCCCATAAGGGAACAGCGACAAAAAAGGGCCATGGACTGACAACTCTTTCCTTCCAGGGAATGGAAGAAATCAGAAGACAAGTTGGGCAGCACATTGAAGTAGACCCTGACTGGGAGGCTGCCATTGCTATACAAATGCAGCTTAAGAATATTTTGCTCATGTTCCAAGAGTGGTGTGCTTGTGATGTAAGTCAAAGATTTGGTAGTAGGATTAGTACCTTTGTAAGTGCTCTAATAGTTATTAGTAGCACAGTTTTGTGCTATAGCTTCGTTGATGTAAAAGTTTATAATGTGACAGCCTAAGATACTTAAAATTATATTATTGTATGGAAAGAAAATTTATTCTTCTGTATTTGTTTAGAAAATGTATCCCAGAGTAGTTCACTTATTTAGGAGAATTACAAAGTTTAAAAGTATCTGCCTTGGGGCTAGAGAAATGGTTCATCTGTTCAGAGTACTTAATGACTTTCTAGAGGACCTGGCTTCAATTCCCAACATTCATATGGTGGCTCATAACCATCTGTAATTCCATCTATGGGAATTACTCTTCTGGCCTCCACAGGTAGTGTACATACACGATACACAGATGAATGATGAAACAGCCATATGCATAAAAATAATAAAGTAGTTTTTAAATGTATGTTGGGACCACTGGAAAGATGTTTCAGTGGCTAGGAGTGCATGGTGCTCTTGCACAGGACCCAAATTTGTTTCCCAGCACACACATCGTGCATCTTACAATCACCTATAGCTACATTTTCAGGGGACTCTCATACCCCTGGCCTTCTTGGGCAACTGTACATATGCACATACTACACACACACACACACACACACACACACACACACACACACACAAATACATACATCATTAAAGTAAAAATGAATCTTTTTAAAAAAATGTATGTCTTAGGTGTGGTGGTATATACCTATAATCATAGCACTTGGGAGGCTAAGGTAAGAGGATTGCTCTGAACTTCAAGGTCAGCCAGAACTATATATCAAAGACCCCTTTGAAACCTATCCATCCCAAATTTTCTCATATATATTTATGAATTTATTTTAAAAAATGATTAATAGTATGATAACTTGCACCATGAATATTTTAAAATATTTCAAGAATAGAGGAATGAATATTTATTTAATCACAAAGTTTCTTACATATTATATTAATCCACTTAAAAATGACTTTAATTTATGAAATAAATGTATTTCTTAACTAACAATTTTAGACCATAACCCTTTGTCTATAGAGATTCAATCCTAGTCTAGGGAGGTAGCTTAGTCAGTAAAATGCTTGCCACAAAAGCATAAGGTCCTGAGTTCTATTGAGCTCCAGCATCCACATAAAAAGACAGCCAAAGTGTTGTGTGCTTGTAATTCTAGCAGTGGGAGATGGGGTAGAGACATGAGGTTCCCTGGGGTTCTCTGGCCAACCATACTAACTAATAGGTAAGTCCGGGTTCCAGTGAAAAACAGGGTGGATGTTCCTGAGGGATAACGCCCAAGGTTACCTCTGCATCCATAGGCATATGCATGTACACATTACTCACTCACATACATGCGCGCACACACACACAAAAATCCCCAAAGATCCCCCCTGCAAGAGAATATGGCTTTATTCATTCATTCATTCATTCATTCATTCTTTCATTCGTGTGTGCCCATTTGTACATGTGTAGAGACTAGATGTTGACATTGGGTGTTTGTCTTATTCAGGCAGTGTCTTTCACTGAATCCGGGCCTTACCATTTCAGCTAGACTGGCTGGCCAGCAAGCCCTTTGGGATCTCTTGTCTCTGTTCCCCAGCACTGTGGTTATAGGTAGCCACCAGATTCAGCTTTTTTTTTCTTTTTGGTTTTTTGAGACAGTGTTTCTCTGTGTAACAGCTCTGGCTGTCCTGTAGATCAGGATAGTCTCAAATTCACAGAGATCCAGGGTGTTGGGATTAAAGGCATATACTACCACCACCCAGCTTTTATTTGGTACTTGAGATCCAAACTTGGATTCTTCACACAGCAAGCCATCTTTGTAGCAGATACTCTTTTATTTTTACTGAGAAATTTGACAGTTTCTGAGTCAGTTCCACCATTTCCTCCAGTTTTCTATATAGTCCTCATGATCTGACCAGGGCTCTGTGTCATCACTCTGTCTCCACCTTTTCCTTCTTTTATCTAAAATCAGTGCCTTTCTCAAGGCTCTTGGTTCCAGTTATGGTGCTCTTCCTGGAATTTGTCTCCTTGGTTGTCTCCATTTGTTTTTTCTCCCCTACTTACTCTGGTGCCTGTGGGCACAAAGGACTCCCTTACTTGCTTTTGTCACCTCCTTACACTACATTCTTCTTTACTTTTCTTTTTCCTTCTGTGACCAGCAGAAGTCACAGGTTCAATGTGACAGTCTCTCAACTACAGTAGACTTTTAATTTAGTGTGGTAGCTTTATAAAACAGGACAGGAGTCTTGGCCAACAACTAACCCAACATATCCTTTGGCTCCTCATCCTCAGGAAACATCATGCAGCTAGGAGATTTTGTCCAGGGGTGTTGGTCATCACCACATTGCCTCCATCTTCTGAAGTCATCTGTCTGTCTGTCTACCTACCTACCTATTATCTATCTATCTATCTATCTGTCTGTCTGTCTGTCTGTCTGTCTGTCTGTCTATCTATTTATCTATCTATCATCTTTATATATATAATAAATATAACATGCGTGTATGTATATAAAATTTATAAAATACTATCTTTACACATTAGGTCTCAATATTTCTGTAGAGTTTGATTCTCTTCCTATCAATGGATTAGAAGTATTCTTAGAAAAAAATAAGTAACTCATTTAATAAGCATATTTAAAAGTCTTTTCTTCGTTTTCATATTCCGTAGGGTTTTTTTTTTTCCTGTAGTGTTGACTTGAGTTAAATTCTTAGATCATCTTGAATTTCCCCCCCCCTCTGGTTTTCACAGCCCTACACAATCCTAATAGTTTGTCAGTTATCAGCTCCACCTAGTGGTCACCTTTCTTCCAATTCTTCCTTCTTGCCAAGAGATTCCCAAATACTCCCTTTATAAATGTCTTTCGTGTCTTCTACTTAATTAAATTGATTAATTAAAGCGATAAGTTACCCAAACTGTAATCTCACTTCAGTTGGTGTGCCAAATGGTTGTACTTAAATTAATATATTTTTATATTTCAAACTCAGAATATCTTAAATTGATTTGTTATCACTTCCTTCAGTTTCGAAGTTATATTTGCTTATCCCGACTCCCCTTGTTCTATTGTTGTTCTTCCATACAAGAAATTTCAGAGCCTACATACTCTGTGTGTTTGTTAATCAATATACTGATACCTAAGAAGAGTGTTCCCAAAATGTATTTGACTATGGAGTTTTTTTTCTTCAAGATAAAACTAGTGTGGGAAGCACTGTATTAAGTAACCTGAGTGACTGAGCTTCTCTTTTCCACCAGACTTACTTAGATTTGATTCTTCTGCGTTCCAAATGTGTATCATCTTCCTGGTAGTGGTTGTGGCTCCTCACTTTATCCTTTTCTTTCTTCACCTTTGGTGACCCACATTAATTCTTGAAAAATAAACCGATTCCATAACTCTTCACACATTGTCAATATATTTACATATTGCAGTATTTCCAGTGTAACGTTGAGTAACTCCATCCATAAAACCTTTGTTTCCCTTATTTTTCTTTTCCTTTTTAAAAGATATGTCCTTAGAATGCCTCCTCATTTTTCCTCTTGCTTAAATTCTTTTTGTATGTATGTATGTGTGGTATGAGGATTCAAACCTAGGGATTTTTGTATTAGAAACATCTGGATGTGTTGGCACATGCCTTTAATCCCAGCACTTGGGAGGCAGAGAAAGGTGAATCTCTGAGTTCAAGGCCAGCCTGGTCTAAAGAATGAGTTCCAGGATATCCAGGACTGTTACACAGAGAAATCCTATCTTTAAAACCAGAAAAAGAAAAGAAAGGAAGAAAGAAGCATGTGTTCTGCCAGTTACTTTTCTATTCCCTTAGAAAACCCCACCACACCCCCATGTGCTTGCACATGCACGTGTGTATGTGTATTTCCTCTCCCTTCAGCATTGCTGAGGACTCACACATAGTACATCAAAGCTGCATCCCTAGACAAATACTGTGGGGTTTTTAGAACCCATTGAAAAGCTGCTTTCAAAAGTATGTCTTCCCAACTTACACTTTTTCTTTGTAATGTATTTAATTTATACCATTTAAGTGGTGCCTACAATTTTTACTCTGATTATAAATATTTATATTTTATATTTCCTCTGGTTTTACACCCTATGGAGATAGCCCTGGGACTACATAAAACAGTTTTGTACTTAGATTTAATAAATATTTATTAAGATAGTAGGTGACAAAGTAGCTAACTTGTCAATATATTTGTATTTTTCTTTTCCCTTAGGAAGATCTCTTACTAGTGGCTTATAAAGAATGTCACAAAGCTGTAATGAGATGCAGTACAAATTTCATGTCTAGTACCAAGACAGTAGTACAATTGTGTGGTCATGTTTTGGAAACCAAGTCCTACAAAGTGTCTGAGGATCTTGTAAGCATACATCTACCACTCTCTAGAACGCTTGCTGGTGAGTATTTCTTGCCTTTTATGTATCTGTGATACATTTTGTAGATACTCTGAGTAGTAGTACTTTACTTTTTCCTTTGTTCCATATAGTCCCATTAGGTACTGGCGTTAAAGACTGTCATTATTTCTATCCTTTGAGAGCTGTCACCACAGTAACTTAGTATAAATATTTATCTAAGTATAAACTTGGTGGTCTATCAACCACCCAAATTTTAAATATTTATAAATGTTGATTTTATATCACTTTATACCAAAATTGAGATTAAATTTAAATTCTTTTGGTATTTCTTTTTTATCTTTTACATTACATTTGTGTATTTATTTCTGTTATGGATGGGGACAATGTGCCATGGTGAATGTGTATGGTGATCAGAAGATTAAGTTTTCTTCTTATGGGAGTTTGTTTTCTTCTGCCACCATGTGAGGTCTGGAGATTCAACTCAGGTCACTGGGCTTGACAACAAACACCTGTACTCACTGAGCCATATTTCTTTGAGAGTAGAATAAATATTTGGAGAGGCAGACTTTTAGTTTTATATGACATATATACAAGTAAGTTTTTGGTAATACTATATTTCAAAATTAGAAGTTAATTGTTTCCATTTTGGAGTATCACTTGTAAGCTTAGTAAGCATGTGCGTGTGTTGGGGCTTGGAGTGTGGAGACTGAACCGAAGGCTTCCTGCACAGTAAGCATGCACTCTGTGACTAAGTCCTCAACTCTAGTGAAAATACATTTCAATAATCCAACTTTCCAATCTTGATGAGTTAACTAAAAATACACTAATAGGGTTTAATTGCTTTCCTGTTTTCTTTTAAACATGATTTAGGTCTTCATGTACGTTTAAGCAGACTAGGTGCTGTTTCAAGACTGCATGAATTTGTGCCTTTTGTAAGTGACTCTTAAGTATTGAGTTGTTTATGTCCCATTTCTGGTCATCTCCATTGGTGGGTGGGAAAGAAAATCATATTTTTAACCCCTCTGAATAGTCACATTTAGTCACTTCACAGCTGAATATATCATTTAGCGATCTGAATAACAAAAAGACTTGAAAGGCATTGAGGGGAAGCTCTTCCATTTTACAGATTTCTTGCTTAATTCGAGGCATGTGTAGTATGAGAAATAATGCGCTCGACCTTGCTGTGTTCCAGGAGGGCTTGCACGTAGACGTCCTAGTGGAGTACCCTTTGCGCTGTCTGGTGCTGGTTGCCCAGGTTGTTGCTGAGATGTGGCGAAGAAATGGGCTGTCTCTCATTAGTCAGGTATGGCACACACACCTGTGAATGAGTTCTTTTTTTTTTAAGTGACTTGTCCATCGAGTTTGCCAAATATTTACTTTTATTCTCTTGTGTCATCTCTTAGATATGAAAATTCTGAGACTCCTATAAGTATTCCTCCTTTTTCCTATTTACTATTTATCCCATCTGAATTATAAGAAGCTAGGATGCTTGTGTAGATAGATGAAAGCCAGCAGTACACAGTCTCCATTAACTTATCCTTTTCCAAGGTTTATCTCAGTTTGAGACATTGAGTCTTCCCACCATCTGTCCTATTTTCATTTTAATTTGTATGTGTGTGTGCGGGTGTTTTGCCTTCTTGTGTTTCTGAGCACCATGTATGTCAGTTTCCATTGGAGATCAGAAGAGGGCATCATATCCCCTGGGTCTAGAGTTAGAGATGGTTGCGAGCCTCCATGTTGGTTGTTGGAGGTCAAAGCCAGGTCCTCTGGTAGGGCAGTCAAAGCTCTTACTCCTGGAGCCATCTCTCCAGCTCTCATTTGTCTTCTTTGCTGTTGTTTTTGTTTTGTTTCTATGGTGGTTATTGAATATTAGAGGTAAGCATTCACCATCTGCCCAAAGGGTACCCTATAGCTTAAGAGTATAACTGAGTGCTAAAATCCCTTTGTGCAGCTCTGAGTTCAGTCCTCAGCACCATTTAAAAATTACAATGGCTACTTTAATTATATTTCTTTCTATTTTAGGGAAACAGGGAGAAGTGCTTTTCCTAAAAGATTAAGAAAGAGATTAAAAAAAAAAACAACCCATAATTTGTTATTGATTCTTTGGGACTTTCACATCATGAACCCCAATCTTACTCACTCCCATCTCCTCCATATCCTCCTCTCACCACTACACATCCCCCCAAAAAGACTCCCCAAAATCAATTAAAAACAAAACAAGCAAAAAACCCACCTCACTTCTCCATCTTTTCAACACCCCTTCCTTCATTCTAGTGGCATTGGGTGCTGTGGTGTGTCACGCGGTAAACCCTTTTGTCCAGTCAGGCCTATCTGAAAAATGTTCATTGTAGTGAGTCATTGGGCTGGTTCAAGGCCTCTGGCACACCATCACTGTCACTGGATCCTCACCAAAACACCTCTTGGATACCCTGCTGTTGCCCCGAGTAATGGAGATCCTGTAGTTATAGTTCTGCAGGACAGTCCCTTCACTTCCTCCAGTAGGTCATAGATGGATAGTGTTAGGGTGAGCTAACCCCAAGGCTTATGATGTGGGTCTTTCTGGGCCACTGGGACTGCCTCCCTCAGGCAAGGCACAGAGCCAGCTCTCCTAGTACCTAGGGGCCAGCTCTCCCACCCCCATGGTGAGGAGTGGGGCTGTCTCTCCTAAGTAGGGAGGGAATGGAGCAGATCTCCTGCAGTGACCAGTGATGGGCAGGGCCAGCTATCCCTGGGCCAGTGAGAGGCACAGCAAGCTCAGCATGGCCTTCAAATTTCAACATGCTTGATTCCTATGACTCCTGTGGTAACACAGGCCATAGGCATCATCACAGAATCCAGCTGCAGCAGGACCACAGACCCAGGCATGGCCTGAGCATCACTATGGCCTCAGTAGCAGCCCAGGCCACCCATATCACTATGGCTCCTGCAGCAGCAAGGCCCTCTGGCACCAACTTGATCTCAGGTAACTGTCCAGACCCTGGTCATCCTTACAGCCGTTAGTGGTACATCAACTCGGACCCTGGCTGCTGCTGGACCATGGACCCAGACATAGCCCTAGGCAGCAGCTTGGGCCCAGACAATACCATGGCTCCATGTGGCAGTGCAGGCCACCCAAATCATTTTGTCCCCAATGGCAGCATGACCCTCAGACACCAACATGGCCACAGATTTTGGCCTAGACTCTGGACATCCATGTGACCTTTGGTGGCACCACAGGCCACAAATATCAACACAGACTCTGACTATGGTAGAACCAAGGACCCAGACACGGTCCCCATTAGCAGCCTGGACTTGAATGTCATCCTGTCCCCAGGTGTCAGCACAGGCCACTCAGATCAGCATGACCCTCAGATTCCCACCTGACCCAGGTATTTTCACAGCCTTTGCTGGTATTGGGAGCCACAGATATCAACAGAGACCCTGGATGCAGTAAGGCCATGGACCTAGACATGGCCCCACACTGCGCCTTAATATGGCTCTGGGTGGCAGCACAGGTCATCCAGATTAGCCTGGCCCCAGTGTCAGTGTGGCCCTCAGATACCAACATCAGCCGTTTGATCAGACCCCAGTTATCTGTATCACCTTCAATGGTTACTGAAGCTGTGGACACCAACATAGGCCCTGGGTGTTGCAGGACCATGGACCCAGACATAGCCTGTCGTTTTCCCCCCTCCATCATGTCCCCTGGTGGCAGCACGGCCCTTGAACACCAGAATGGCCACATGTATTGGCCTAGACCCTGGACATCCCTACAGCCTTGGTCTCAACATGGATCGTAGATGTCACCGTAGACTCCGGCTATGGCAGAATCACAGCCCACTTGTCACCCTGGTTCCAGGTTGCAAGCAGGCTAGCCAGCATCAACACATTTTTCACTGCCCTTGCCTCTTCAAGTCTGCCTCTTACCACAGCATACAAACCGTTCTGCCTCTCTCTCTCCCACTTCTCCACCATGTATTTGTTCATCATCATAGCACCCACCTGACCACCCCTCAGACAGCCTTGACTCTGAGGACACAGGCTGTCTGGTGGGTATCTTTCTCTCATCTAAGCCTCATGGCATCAGACAGGCTGTGGATGCCTTCAGTAGCCTGGACTGGGGCTACCTTGTGAGTGTCTTGCCCGCCAGAGCTGCATGGCCGGCAACAGACTTTTAAAGATATCACTTAGAAGAAAAGTGGTGTTATGATTTTCTTCTTTCTCTCTTTTTTTTTGGTGATACAGATTAAATTCACTACCTTGTACATGGTACAAACAGCCTACCACCTGTCTCCTCTTTCTTTTATTGTTACTGTTGTTTTGGGACAGGGTGTTTGCAGTCCAGGCTGACCTCAAACATATGACAGTCCTGTCTCAGCCTCCCATGTGCTGATATTACAGATGTGAACTGCTGCACCGATGTGATGGAGGAAGGTCATTGGTTAATTAATAAAGATACTGCTTGGCTCTGATAGGTTAGAACATAGGTGGGTGGAGTAAACAGAATAGAATGCTGGGAGGAAGAGGAAGTGAACTCAGACGCCATGCTCCCCTCTCTGGGGTAGACGCAATGAAGCAAGCCACCAGGTCAGACATGCTGAATCTTTCCCGGTAAGACTGGTGCTACACAGATTATTAAATATGGGTTAGGCAAGATGTAGAATTAGCCATTAAGAGGCTAGAAAAAATGGGCCAAGCAGTGTTTATATGAATACAGTTTGTGTGTCGTTATTTTGGGGCATAAACTAGCCAGGCGGCCGGGAGCTGGGTAGTAGGAAGAGCCCGCAGCTCTTACTACACCGACGGGTTTTTTTTTCTTTATTTTTTCTGAGACAGGGTTTCTCTGTAACTTTGGAACCTGTCCTGGAACGCTGTAGACCAGGCTGGTCTCGAACTCACAAAGATCCGCCTATCTCTGCCTCCCAAGTGCTAGGATTAAAGGTGTGTGCCTCCACCGCTTGGCTGCACATAGGGATTTATGTATTAGAAACATCTGCTGGGTGTGGTGGCACACAACTTTAATCCCAGCACTCAGAAGGTAGAGTAAGGTGGATCTTTGAATTTGGGGCCAGCCTGGTCTACAGAGTGAGCTCCACAACAGCCAAAGCTACATAGAGAAGCTCTGTCTTGGGGCTAGGAAAAAGAAAACTTTTGTCAGAAGGCAGCTTAAAGGAATTGCTCTTCTCCTTCCGCCATCTGGGTCTAGGGATTTAATGCAGGGTGTAGGCTTGGCAGCATCTTCACCTGTTGAGCCATCCGACTAAAGATAAGTCTATGGGTAAATCACGTTTTGCACAAGCATGAAGGAGGACCAGAGCTTGGGGTCTAGCATCCACATAAGTCAGGTGGACTCAACAGCCCCTGTTATCCTAGCTGTAGGAGGCTGAGTCGGAATCCTCACAGCAAACTGGCTAGCTAGAGTAGCCAGATCAGGGAGCACTGGTTCTTATCTGAGAGATCCTGACTCTGTACAAAGTGAAAGCCACTGAGGAAGACAGCTGATGTTAACATCTGGTCCACACACCCATCCTTCTACATGTAAACAGATGCAGTACATGGAGAAAGAAGATTTTTGTTTCAAATAAATCCCTTTAGTGTCTGTCTGCTATTTCTTTTACAGGTTTTTTATTACCAGGATGTTAAATGCAGGGAAGAAATGTATGATAAAGATATCATCATGCTTCAGGTTAGATTTTCATTTCCTTTTTATATTTTTTATTTTTCATATATTTCTTATATTTCTTAAAATAAGAGGAAATACTGTTTGTAAGTTGAGTTTGTCTCACCTTTAACTGAACATAGAAATAGAATGGGCAATCTATTATCATCTTCAAAATTACTGTGTAGTTTTCTGAAGGGATCATTAGAGACAAGTGTTCTTCCACTTAATAGATAGAAATGTGACTTTCAATTTCTTTTACAGATTGGAGCTTCTATAATGGATCCCAACAAGTTCTTGTTACTGGTACTTCAGAGGTATGAACTAGTCGATGCTTTTAACAAGACCGTATCCACGAAAGACCAGGTAAGCAATGGAGATTGGTATGTGAATTAACTCCAAAGGAAATATCGTTGTCACAATTTAGTTATATTTTAAAGGCATCTTTTTTGCATATTTAGTTAGCCTTCCATATCTGGATTCTGCATCTACAGATACATCATACTAGGGATCAGATATTTTTTAAATTGTATCTGTACTAATATATAAGCTTTTTTCTCAAACAGTGCTATACAACCACTATTTAGATGACATTTACATTTGTATTAGGTATTATAAGTGTATAGGTTATACATGGATACTACATCATTTTACAATGGACTTGAGCATCCAAGGATTTTGGTGTCTTGGTTGGAATGTCCTAGATATCTAGGAGCCATGGTGTATCTCATACTCTGGAACAACTATACTTCCAAACATCATATGTGCACATAGAATGCACAAATATACAAACATATGTACTCCTTTTCACTCTAGAAAACCTAGGTTCTCTATAGATCAACAAAGAAAAAAATGTCTTTTAACATATTTCCTCCAGAAAATAAAGTGCCAGTAATTTGTTTTTAAAGCAAAAGCTTTATTCTGTGTGTACCATTTTATAATTTGTAGCCTGTGCTTAACAAAATATTATGGTAGGATTGTTTTTCTTGTAACTGAATAAAATCCATGCTCAAACTCAGAGATCTGCCTCTCGAGTGCTGGGATTAAAGTATGCACCACCACCTAGCAAAACTGACTGTCTTAAATTTATTAAATTCCATTGCTTTATTCTTCTAACTTAGAAGTCACTTACAGAGGCCCAAAGAATAAACTAAAGAAAGGACGCCTACTCTAAGCCACTTTCTCGCTCTCCCAGTAAGATAAAACTAATAGTAGGGAAAGGAAAAGATTAGAATTTGTTTGATTTAGAACAAATAACAATATGGAGATAATAAAGAAAGTTACAGTTTAAGAGCTATTATTGAATACTTTATGTGTCAGATGGAAGCTTTAGCACCTACTTATTGCTGTGCTCTGAAGAAAGCTCTAGTCTAGATGGGCCGTGAGTCGAATTAAGAAATACAGACTTGAAGTTTTGTGGTTCTTATGTAACTATTTTTTTTTAATTCTATAGGATTTGATTAAACAGTATAATACATTAATAGAAGAAATGCTTCAGGTCCTCATCTATATTGTGGGTAAGATTAAAATGTTTTGAAATGAAACATGATTTACCTTTTAGAGAATGTTAAATAAAATATAATGGGCAGTTGTCTTCTGTTGTACATCTACATAAAATATCAGAGATTAATGTGACCAGTGTGATGGATAGATTTAGGAAGTTCTCTAAAACATGAACCTTGCATATTTTTTTTCTCAGTATTGGAGATCAAACCTAGAGCCTTCCACATGTTAGGCAAGTGCTCTACCACTAAACTAAACTACATCCCCGGTAACCTTTTAATTTTTATACTTGACTTTTATTGTTGGGCTTTGAAGGTCTAGGTACAAGTATCCTGACTAGAAATGTAGTTTTTTTTTTTTTTTTTAATTTACTTACTTTACATTCTGACTGCAGTTTTCCTTCCCTCCTCCAAGTCACCCTGCCTCCCCATCCTCTCCTCCTCCTTTTCTATTCAGAAAAGGTCAGGCCTCCCATAGTTATCAATAAAATATAGCATAGTAAGCTGCAGTAAGACTAAGTACCTCCTCTTGTATTAAGGCTAGGCAAGGCGACCTAATATGAGGAATAGGGTCCCAAAGCCAGAAAAAGAGTCAAAGACAATGCTGCCATTGCTAGAGTCACACAGATGACAAGCTATACAACCGTAGCATATATGCAGACGGCTTAGGTCAGTCCCATGCAGGCTCCCTGGTTGTCAGTTCTGTCTCTGTGAGCCCCTATGGGCCTAGGTTATTAATCTACTTATTTAGTGCTAACATTTACATATGTACATGAAATTTAAATATATCCTGGGTCCAAGTTAAATGTTTTAATCATGCTATCCTTGCAAGTTACTTTGTGTAATAGTAGAGTGAGAAGGATGGTGTGAGCTTCCTGTGTGGGTCCTGGGAACAAAACTTGGCTCCTCTGCAAGAGCAGCCAGTGCTCTTAGCTAATGAACCGCCTTTCGAGCCCCATTTCTGGCTTATAACGGGATGATATAAATAAGTAGAAATGTTTGGGCTAGGAGTTAGATAATGAAGTCTTGGCCTTGCTTTCAGTTATTAAGAACTTGCTATATAATCTTTGAGTTTCAGATTCCTAATCCATACAGTGTGAAAGGAACCTACTCTAAGGTTGCTTCTGCGACTGTGATCCTGGGGGAGACCCCTTTGGTAAATATATATGTATTTGAAAATTATAAAATTTACAAATGTGAAAATGAGTTATTATAAACAAATTCTTTATGAAATACGATTTAAAGAGTATCTAATAGGATCTCTTATGGATATCATAGATCTTTGTATAGATGTTACAATGTTGAGAACTAGTGATAAAAGCAGGTCATGAAGGCAGAGTGGAGGAGGGTGAAGAAAGGAGACTAGTGGAAGGGAAATGGGATAGTATGGGAGATGGATACAGTCAAAGTCCCTGATACAGTGAAAGAAACTGTCCTTACGAAACCCATTGCTCTGTTTAATGAATGTATGTCAATGAAAGTTTCAGTAGGACCAGAGAAGTGACTCAAATTGGTAGTGTCTACTGCGCAGGCACGAGGACCTGAATTCACTTCCCAATATCCCTATAAAAGCTAGAGAGGGAGGCAGCACACACCTGTAATCCCAGAACCAAGGAGATTAGGATAGCAGGATCCCCAATGAGCAGGTTTGCCAGCAGGTTGGACTATATCATTGAGCTCCAGATGCAGTGAGCCACCCTATCTTAGGAATAAGCCAAAGAGGAAGGCCCCCAGTGAAGACCCCTGATACTGATTTCTGTCCCCCCACATTCACATACCTAAACATACATATGTATATAAAATTTTTTATACAAATATACATTAAATATAGTAAGAGAAAACATATGTCATATGTTCAAATGTTTTAAGCCTTAAAGCAGTGGGCATTAGATATTATTGACACCAGCAACATTTCTGTAGTTAATATAGCAGTTTCTAATCTCTAATTGATAGGTTGTTTTGTTTATGTATTTGTAACTTGGGCCTGGAAATGTAGCTCAGTGGGAGAGTATGTGCCTAGCATGTGTAAGTACTGGACTTGATAAAATAAATACAATTTTTATCATGTAAGCCATTAATTTTATTTTTTGTTTTCATTTTGTTCTTTTATATATTTATTTTTCTGTCTGTGTCTTTCTTTCTCTGCCTGTGTGTGTGTGTGTGTGTGTGTGTGAGAGAGAGAGAGAGAGAGAGAGAGAGAGAGAGAGAGAGAGAGAGAGAGAGAATGCTGCTTGTCTGTATGTCTGAGTGAGTATATGGGCGTGTGTGTGTGTGTGTGTGTATTTATGCATATATGTGGAAGACAGAAGAGGGCATCAGTTCCTTAGAGCTGGTGCTTTTGAGCCACCTACTTTGTTATACAGATAGTGGGATCCAAACTCTCATTATTGTACAAGAAAAGCTCTTAACCTCTGGGCCAGTTTTTCTGCCCCTGTTTTTTTTGGTTTTTGGAGGGGTTTTGTTTTGTTTTGTTTTGTTTTCCCAGTTTGTTTTTATTTTATTTTTTCCTCTTTTTTCTTTTTAAGACAGGGTCTCACTCTGACTGACCTGGAACTCATTATGTAGGCCAGGCTTGCCTCTAGCTCATACAGATTTGCCTGCCTCTGTCTCGTACTTGCAGGTGTTAAAGGTGTGTCTCGACATTCCTGACCTTAATGATTTATTATTATTTTTATTTATTATTTTTAGTGTAAGTGTGGTATGTGTATGTGAGTATAGGTGCCCTTTGAGTCCAGCAGTATTGGATCCCATGGAGCTGGATTAGCAGGTAGTTGTGAGTGTCCTGATACAGCTTCTAGGAATAGAACTTGGCTCCTCTGCAACCACCTATTCAACCACCTTTCCTTTTTTTTTTTTTTTTTTTTTGGTTTTTCGAGACAGGGTTTCTCTGTAGTTTTTGGTGTCTGTCCTGGAACTAGCTCTTATAGACCAGGCTGGCCTTGAACTCACAAAGATCCGCCTATCTCTGCCTCCCGAGTGCTGGGATTAAAGGCTTGCGCCACCAGCGCCCTGCTTCAACCACCTTTCCAACCTATTGATTTGATTTTTGAAACCTGGTCTTATTCTGTGACCCAAGATAGCCTTTCAGTTGGTCATCCTCCTGTCTCAGCTCCCCAGGGCCGGTACTACAGTTAAAATCAGGGCTGGATTCTCAATGCTGTCTCCTTCAATAGATAGTTCTTTGTCTGATTTTGGGAAAATATTGAAATAATTTTGATTTGTCTGTTATAGACTCAATCTAATACAGTGTTCTCGGTATAAGTGCATTTGTTAGAACAAAACTTAAATAGAAACCAATGAAACTTGCTGGTTTTTGTTTTTCATGGTATTAGGGGAGCGTTATGTACCTGGAGTGGGAAATGTTACCAAGGAGGAAGTCATAATGAGAGAGATCACTCACTTGCTCTGCATTGAGCCTATGCCACACAGTGCCATTGCCCGAAACCTACCTGAGAATGTAAGTCTACTTTCCTTTCCTTTCCTTTAAAACAATTTTTATTTAAAAATTTTAATTATATGTGTATGGGTGTTTTGCCTACATGTTTCTAAGTGTTCCACATGCAAATTTGGTGTTCTTAGAGGGTGTTGGATCCCTTGGAACTGTAGCATAGGCAGTTGTGAGCCAATGTATGGGAACTAGGTCCTGAACCCAGGACTCCTGTAAGGGCAGCCACTGCCCTTAACCACTGAGCCTTCTCTCTAACCACTAAGTTTACTGTTCAGTCCCTCAAGATTGGGGGAGTTTGAGTTTTTGTTGTTATTGGTTTGATTGGTTTCTTTGTTTTCTGTTTTTTTTCTTCCTTCCTTATTTCTTTTTTTAATTGGAAGTTGACTTCAAATTTCAGGAAAATTTGCTAAACAAAATGACCCATATTTTTATCTTAGAGTTGTTCCAGGGAAGTGCTCTTGCCATGTGTTTCTGGTTGGAGGCTATTTATTCTGTTTTCTTTGCTTTCAAGGATTAGTAAAGCATGGACATGCACCTAATGTTGTTTATGAATATATAGTATGTTACCACATAAGGCTTCTTTTTAAACACTGTGTATATAGCTGAATTGTAGAGTGCTTGCCATAAGGCCCTGGGTTAAATTAAAAAACAAAACAAAAATGAAGAAGAAAAGGAAGGAGGATGGGAGCTAAAGATTGTGTGTGTGTGTGTGTGTGTATGTTTTACATGTATACATACATATACATATGAAGGTAAACTCAGAGAGCTAACTTCTTTTGATACTATACATAAGATTCTATATCTTAATAAATCAATTCCCTACAACATATTGGCTCCATATGTAGTTTTAATAAATAGAGCAGTTAATCTTTTAATTTGTCATGTATAGAGTACTTCACAGTACTTCAGTACTTTAGAGATGAAGTTTAAAATGTGTTTGTGTTCCCAGTAAGAAACAAAAATTCATTACCTGAAGGTAACAATGTCAAAAATGTTGTTTCAACAGGAAAATAACGAAACTGGCTTAGAGAATGTCATAAACAAAGTGGCCACATTTAAGTAAGTGTTTAATATCTGAGAGATAAATTGGTCTTTATTTTTATACCTGATACTTTGTAGAAGATCTGAACTTTTCTATAGAGCTCATAGGAATAAGAATGCAATGTGGAATCGAGGAAAGAGAATGAGGGGTGCCCCAGGCACTAACTGACTGTATTTAATGATGAAATAATTAAAAGTGTCTATTAATGAAACGAGGTTCTTGGTTTGGTAAATGAGAAATTTGTCTAGTGGTAGTAGGTGATTTAGACAGTAAACTAGTAAGACTATCTGATAACTCTTTCCCAATCATTTGAAGCTATAACTTCATTGCTTTATAAGTTTTTATTGTATATGCTAACTGTACTTTATAATCCTTACACGCTTTGTCATGTCTAAAGTGAAAATGTTAGTTGGATTAATTCTTCACATTTGGAAAATTTATACTAATATTTTGAGTTGTGATGATATTATGTTTAGAGTAATGTTACTAGTTCTAAATAACTTATAAAATAGCGTGTGACTTTTTTCTCCTTTAGCAGTGGTTAATAATATTTTTAACTTAAGAACTGGATAGAAACTCAGAGATGTTAAGTATGGTGTGCTCTTTTAGGCGTGGTGCTTTTCCTACTACTGTGCTCAATAGAGGATTCCACACTATTGTTAAAACTATTTGCTATTAATGATTTGTTTCTCTGCCATTTGAGATTTGATCCTAAATTATGTTGTGTACTGTAGTTTAATAGGCACCTTTATACCCAGAGGCTTTAAAAGAAGTATGGAAATCTAAGTAGAGCACACTATCAGGCTCGGGTAGCAGAAAATAAACTTTCCCAGATTTGTTTGAATTTTATAACTATTGAGAGTACAATGTCACTGTTGTCAGGACTTTGCACTCAGTGTATGGTTTTTGTGTTACCATAGCAACTAAATTGATCATTTCTGAGATATAATTTTTTAGGAATCTTGAATTTTAGATCAGATTTTAGATTCTTACTTTGTTTTCAATATTGTGAAAACAAAACAAAATCAAAACCTGCTGTTCATTTCTGTGTTTTCTGTTGCTTTAGGAAACCAGGTGTATCAGGCCATGGAGTCTATGAATTGAAAGACGAATCACTGAAAGACTTCAATACGTACTTTTACCATTACTCTAAAACACAGCACAGCAAGGTAAGAAATAAGCCTGAAGGCCTGTATGTTTTTCTGAATCTAGAAAAGGAGTTTCATGGTGGTTCCTGTTAGTAGAGAGGGTGGTAACTCATCCAAGAAAATCAGCAATCTAGTGTGTCAACAATATTTAGGTTTTCTTGACTATACCAAAAATGTCCTATAATTTATAGTTGTTACAGGAGAGAATAGCTCAACAGCACACCTTTCATTTGAGTCACATGTGTCACTTTCCTTTAGAACAGTCTTCCCTCCCCTCCTCCCTCCCTCCCTCCCTCCCTCCCTCCCTCTCTCCCTCCCTCCCTCCCTCCCTCAGCAGTGACTATTCTACAGAGGATTGGCACATAATTTCTACTGTTCTTAGAAGGATAGATTGGTTTAGGTGATGGCTCGTTTTGTTGACATTTCTTAAATTGAGTAATTTTTAACCAAGTGGGAGAAGGAGAAAGCTGGATGCTCTCAGCATTGTCTTGCTTTGCTGGCATTGTGAGAAAGGCTTCTCTACCATGGCTTCCTCTCCGTGATCACCTGAAACCAGGCATGAACTGGGCAAGATGCTGTGCCCTTTAAGTCATGCTGTCTGGTACTCTCTCACAGCAGTGGGGTCTAATACAGAAGCTTTCATTTAATAAAATAATTACATATGAATATGAGTAAAGATAGAAGTTACATACCGTCATGTGGGTTCTTGTACAGAACAGAAACTAGGAAGCCTTTCTGACCAAAAGAATGGGGCTAAGTTCTTTCTTTTTTATCTTTTTAAGTTTTTATTACATTTATTTATTATTTACTGGGGTATGGGTATACATCCAGAAGTCTGTTACTCCTTCCATCACTTGGGTCTTGACCCAAGTCTTACTAGGTTGCAGGGACCCTTTACTGGCTGAGCCATCTCACAACTTGGGACACTGGCTAGGTTCTTAATGAGGATCATACCTTACTCATCTTACAGTGTCCTTCCCTAGGACAATTTTTTGGTTTCTATTCAAGATAATATTTTGAATACATTTTAAATTAGTATAAAGTACTTTAGTGGATAGATCAATCTATTTGCTTTCAAGCAGTATTCCTTTCGTTTTGTGCTTGCTAAACAATGTAATGATAGTTGTTACCTTTGCTTTAATAGGCTGAACATATGCAGAAGAAAAGGAGAAAACAAGAAAATAAAGATGAAGGTAAAATCGAGATTCTGAATAGATACATTTGGCTGTTTTCTGTGGGTGTTTTGTTTTGTTGATTTGAGGGGAACAACTAAAGAGCTTCTTTGTGTTTACATATTAAGATGTGGCCAACATAAATGAAAGTGTTTTAAATTGTAAGCAAGTCAAATTTATTTTCAGAGACTGGTAGAACAGTTTACATTTCCTTTGATATTGATGTTTTCAGTGCTTTTTTTTTAATTTATTTTTTTTATTGAAAAAAAAATTCCTGCCTCCTCCCAGCCTCCCATTTCCCTCCCCCTCCTCCCGCCCCTCTCCCACTCCCCCCACTTCTCTCCCCCTCCTCTCCAGTCCGAAGAACAGTCAGGGTTCCCTGCCCTGTGGAAAGTCCAGGGTCCTCTCCCCTCCATTCAGGTCTAGGAAGGTGAACATCCAAACTGGCTAGGCTCCCACCAAGCCAGAACATGAAGTAGGATCAAAACCCCGTGCCATTGTCCTTGGCTTCTCATCAGCCCTCATTGTTCGCCATGATCAGAGAGTCCGGTTTTATCCCAGGCTTTTTCAGTCACAGTCCAACTGGCCTTGGTGAGCTCCCAATAGATCAGCCCCACTGTCTCAGTGGATGGGTGCACCCCTCGTGGTCCTGACTTCAGTCACGTTATTTTGCATTTAAGCTATTAATTTTTATATTTGCAATTATGTATGTTAGGGTAGCTCAAATAAAAATACCTGTTTGTCTCTCTTCCCCGTTTATTGTGCTTCCCTAATAGCATTGCCACCGCCACCTCCTCCTGAGTTCTGCCCTGCTTTCAGCAAAGTGATCAACCTTCTCAACTGTGATGTCATGATGTACATTCTCAGGACCATATTTGAGCGGGCAGTAGACACAGATTCTAATTTGTGGACAGAAGGGATGCTCCAAATGGTATGTTTATCTGAAAAACAATTCCTGGGTTAATGTCAATCAGAACCCTATCGGAAACACATGCTATTTAGGAATCATTAAAGTGGTTGAACTGTGACCTAAGTTTCTATGTTGATACATTCTCATGTTTTTATTATCCCTAACATATTTTCAAAGATCTCTCTCTCTTTCTCTCTCTCTTTTTCTGTCTTTCTCTCTCTGTCTCTCTCAGATGCCCTCTAATGCTCTATGATTACTGTGTTGTGCTAGGGGCAATTAACCCTCCATCCCCTGCCTTTGCTGTGCCCTCCCCTGCAAAGCTGCTGGGAAGTAGAATCCATTTAGTTGATGCATTCTTTTGGAACATAATTTTTTCCTATGTTATCTTAGGTACTATCTCCAGCTCTATTCAAATAAAGCTCTTTCTTCTGAGTTACGGGGGAAAAAAGACGTCTCATCATGTTAGTAATAAATCCATATCCCATTGCATCATGTGTTTTCTTTTTTTTTTTTTTTTTTCCTAGACAGAGTTTTCCTGTGTCACGGAGGCTGTCCTGGAACACACTGTTGACCAGGCTAGCCTCAAACTCAGGTTATCCTACCTCTACCTCCTGAGTGCTGGGATTAAAGGAGTGCATCACCAATGCCTAGCGCATCATAATTTTTATAGGCATCTATTTGTTTATTTTGTTTGCTTTGGTTATGGTGGTGCTGGGGAATGATCTCAGGATCATGAACATGCTAGATAAGACCTCTAAGTAGCACAGGGTGAACTAAAACTCCTTATGCCTAGGCTAGCTTTAATCTTGTGTCAATTCTCCTGCCTCAGTATCCTGAGGGCTGAGATTATACTTATGAGGCATCATACCTGACTTCTTGGAACTGCTAATTAATAAATTTCTTAATCCTGCTACTTGATGGTAACTATATTTATTTAATACCTACTCAGTTTTCTCTACCCCATCCCCTGCTGGTTATTATTGGTCTGTAGACTAATGTTCCATTTGTATCTCTGTGCTTATAACAGTGATGAATATCTGCAGTACTAGATTCAGTATTGTAGAGCTTTATTTAAACTTTATTTAAATTTCCCCATCTCCCAGTGTCCTCCTCAGGAGATAAATACTGTTAATATTTCATATATTCTGGAAACTATACCAACATAAGCACATAAAGGTATTTGTCATTTCTGATAGCATGAACATCTCATTATATAGGTATACTGTTGTGCATTTAAGTTTTCTCTTATTAATGGACATCGGGTTTGGATTGGGAGTTTTATTATAACAAAGACTATTAAGATGAACATTGTTTATGGTCAGTTTGCTTCTTTGCTTGTGATGGCTTCTGTTTATGTTGTTCAGGCTGGTCTTGATTTTGTGAACTCAGGTGATCCTTCCACCTCAGCCTTCCAAGTACATGAGATTACAGGTGTGCACCACCCCTAGTTTACAGTGAGCATCCTTGTATAAATAATTTTACATACATATGAGTATATTTACTATACCAATTCTGAGTACACAGTCTGCTCCTTTACATTTTTAACTGATGTTGTCACCGTGATTTTTAAAAATGTAAAGCTTGTTAATTTTCGCACTGTCACCAGTGCAATAACAACTGACTGCTTCCAAACACTCTGGCAGCTGTGTGGTTTATACTAAACTTCACATCCCCCGACCTGTTTAGTTGTTTGTTTTTTTTCTGAGACAGGGTTTCTCTGTGTAACAGTCCTTGTTGTCCTGGAACTCACTTTGTAGGCCAAACTGGCCTCAAACTCACAGAGATCCACCTGCCTCTGCCTCTTAAGCACTGGAATTAAAGGCATGCGCCACCACCCTGGTGAGATTTTTAACACTTTTTAAGTGATACTTTAAGCTATGTCTCCTTAATCGGAGGCATTTTTCATAGTATTCATGATTTCTCTTTCTCTTGACCATTGTATAAGTTTTGTCTGTTTTTGTTTATTGTTCTCTTCCTCTTTGGGTTATTTATATCAGTACTGCCAGTTAAAGAAGGAGCCCTTCAGAGACCCTGTTTTCTTCCTCCAGGCATTCCACATATTGGCACTGGGCTTGCTGGAAGAGAAGCAGCAGCTTCAGAAAGCTCCTGAAGAAGAAGTGATGTTCGACTTCTACCATAAGGCTTCAAGTATGCTACAGCATCATTTCCCAACAAACGTCTAGCTAATTGCCAGTTTGTAAATCAAAGTTATAAAGATTCCCTGTCGCAGGTGTTTTTACTGTATGCGTGGTTGTAGTATGTCAGGAGTGAAGTGAGTCTGAAAATGTTTCTTTTTTAATCTTGAAGACTAGCATAGGTTTAGATTAAAATGATATTACATTAAGATAGTTTTGTTCAAAGAGCATTTCTGAAGCATTGATTATAAAACCAATACTTATAAGCAAAGTAACCACATTTTCTATATACATGAGTGGCAACTAAAGCATGATTAATAAAAGCTCAGAGACTGATATAGGGGTTCAACCCGAAGACCAGAAAGCAAAGCAGCCAGCTTTGTCTCCTACCTCAACCTCAGTCTGAAAAGGTGATCCTGCCTCCAAGAATCTCAGAATGAGACTGTGTCTGATAGCCATCTCTTCCCAGTCTACAATCCTCTCTAGAATTAAAGGTATCCACCTGCCTGGTTTCTATGGCAAGCTCGTGTAGCCACTGAAATTAAAGGTGTGTGATATTGCTGCCTGGTCTATAAGGCTGGCCAGTGTGACTGTTTTACTTTTCTGATCTGCAGGAAAGTTTTACTTACAAGTAAAATACAAGTGAAATGCCATAACATTTTCCCCTTTTGTCTAAAATAAAAAAGAAGACTATAACTAATATAAGAAAAACTATATACAATAAGTATAATAACTATATACAATACATACAGGCAATAAATACATCAACAATGTCTAGTCCATTTTCATTTGAAAAATTCAGAGAATTATCTATCCTATCTTGGTGAGTCCAAAGTCTTATACCTAATTCACTTTTTATTATAACTTGCTTTCTGTGTATTGAAAATACTGTTAGCCTTCTTTGCATATGAATATAATATATTTCCCTTGAGTATCTCTGCAGTTGTTCTCATCATGGGCTTTGTGTAGACAGTGAGCACAGAGGAAAGGCAGGAGCAGACTATGAAGGGTAGCCCTTAGCAGTACCAGTGGGTGATGCAGAGGGAGTCTTTCTCATTCTGTTGTTTAGTCATGTCATCACAGATTCTTTTAAAAAATTAAATGCTGAGCAGTGGTGGTACGTGCCTTTAATCCCAGCACCTGGGAGACAGAGGCAGGTGTATCACTGAATTTGAGGCCAGAGGAAGTTCCAGGACAGCCAAGGCTGTCTGAAAAGATAGAACAAAAAAAAAAAGAGAGACGCTGTCTGAAAAGATAGAACAAAACAAAAAATAAATAAATAAAAACTAAGGTAGCAAAGGGACTGGCTGGCAAACCTCAATTATCGTTTGAATGATAGGCACTAAGAATTATAATTAGTACAAAATTATGAATTTTAATTCTCTAAATATACTTTTGTATTTTAAAAAAGGATTGGGAAGTTCAGCCATGAATGCCCAGAATATACAAATGCTTTTGGAGAAGCTCAAAGGAATCCCCCAATTAGAAGGCCAGAAGGACATGATTGCATGGATACTCCAGGTATGTTGCAAAAGTAAACTGATTTAATATAGTTATGTGTTGCTTAATGACAAGAACACATTTTGATAAATGCATTATTTAGCTCTTCATCCTTACTTGAATACCACAGAATATACTTATGCACCCCTAAATAGTTTGTTGCTTGATGTGGCCTTGATACAGTCAGTAAACTCAGTACAAAAATATAAGGTGTGTGAGGTATAACTTTGCACACTGTTTTACCTTTGTCAGTAGAAAGAACATAATCAGATTATAATGAAGACAACATTGTAATGGCAGAAAGTAGAGATCAGTGGTGAATGTGTTTTTAACATGTGTGAGTCCTTGATTCAACCCTCAAAACCATAAATAAATAAAATTTACAGTATGATACAGTGAGCACATAAAAAGTACATATAAGTAATCTGAGACTGTGCAGGTTATATTTAGGAATACACACACATATACACATGTAACAACAATTAATGCAAAAAAGAGCCATCAGTTTGAAAAAGATCAAGGGAGGAGTATTTAGGAAGGTTTGGAGGTATGAAAGGAGAAACAATTGTAATACAATTTAAAAAATAAAGTCTAAAAAGTGACATTCCTTTATTTTCATTATTGAAAATTATTTACTATACATAACTGTGTAATTCCATGCTACATGTGACCATATATAAAATCTTCTATTTGCTGATAAAATTCATGTCCTGTGTTCTCTTTCCATTTATAAAGCCATTTACTGTCAGTTATATCACAACTGTGGTTTTTTATGCTTATAATAATTTTTTTTCTGTTTCTGTGGAGTTACTTTTAGTAATGAAAGATATTCTCAATTATGTCATTATCAGCTGCATGCATTGAGTGATTACAGTATGCCGTGCTGAATTCAAGACCCCAAGCAGCACGAAGAGCTTTTTTCATGGTGCATATACCATGGTTGAAGTACAGATAATTTGAAAACAATCATCAGGATAATCCAGTAGAATGAGAGAAGATTCTCTTGAATAATGAGAGGTCTTTGTCAGGAGGTGAAGTTAGTTAGAGCTGAGACCTGGATCATTCTAGAGCCAGTGTTCTAAGACTCCAAGGAGTATTTTAGAAAAGGAGCCAGTGCAAGAGCTCAGAAGCGGTCCAGAGTAAGTCCAGGAGGACTGTACATAAAGAGAGGTGGCAATGTTGGAGGGGTAACGGGGGCTAGATTGTGTTCACTTCATAGGTCAGAATAAAGTGGTGTATCTTCATATTGAGGACATTAATAAAAATATTCCTTTAAACTGAGTTTGTTGGTATGCTATGTAATCCCTGTTATTTAGAAGGTTAAGTTAGAAAAATCATTTGAGCCCAGGAGCTGGAGTTTCTATCAAAATTTACAAATAAATCTGTGCTACACCTCCCATCCCAGACAACAGCAGACTGCACTCACTCAGCTGATGGCTCACAAACCAGCAGTATTTCATAGTCAGGGCCACTTTTTCAATTGTTTTAAAATACGTATCTGTATAGCTTACCTCAGAGATAAGCCATCTTATCTCTGAAATGGCTGAATCAGATTAGTGATCGTCTTCCTGGTCAGTGCAGCCACTTAATGTTTCATCTATTTTCACAGATGTTTGACACAGTGAAGCGATTAAGAGAAAAATCATCTTTAGTTGTGGCATCCACTTCAGGCTTGGAATCCATTAAGAGTGATGAGGTAACAGCACTGTGACAATGTTACATTTATCTGTCTTTGAATAAAGAGTCACTTTCTTCTTTAGGAGAAACTGTTGGTGGTAAAATATGTGAGTTCTGTCCCTTTTAGTCCTCTACTTTGTACTGCACTTACTATGCTCAGTAGGATGGGTATATTTTACAAAATTAAAGGACCCTGCTGTCCAGTGGGACTCCTAGAAATACCCTATTATATTAATTTAAAAACATTAAAATAGGGGCTGGAGAGATGGCTCAGTGGTTAAGAGCATTGCTTGCCCTTCCAAAGGTCCTGAGTTCAATTCCCGGCAACCACATGGTGGCTCACAACCATCTGTAGGGAGGTCTGGTGCCCTCTTCTGGCCTGCAGACATGCACACAGACAGAATATTGTATACATAATAAATAAATAAATATTTTAAAAAAAAAACATTAAAATAAAACATTAATTTAAAACATTAAAAAATTAAGATATGTCTCAGTCAATGGCAGTTCATAATTTAGTCAACAGTGTTCATCTATTAGGAAGTATAAAATAATGGTACATCTTAGATTCAGTGAAATTAGATGTGTAGGTCATGACTTTCCATGTTTTGAATCATATTTTGCTAATATTGAATTAATTAACTAACATTTAACTATTAGAATATTCTTTTTGGTTTTTTAAATTTGTTTTTGATTTTTAAGACAGGATTTCTCTGTGTAACTGCCCCTGGTTGTCCTGGAACTCTGTAGGCTAGGCTTGTCTCGAACTCACTAATACCCGCCTGCCTCTTTTCCCAAGTGCTGGGTTTAAAGGTGTGCACCAGTAGTGCCTGGCTGTTTTTTTTATTTTTTTGAAACAGGATCTCTATGTAGCCCTGACTGTTCTAGAAATCTCTGTGTAAACCAGGCTGGCTTCAAACCCACAGAGATCCACCTGCCTCTGCCTCCCAAGTGCTGCAATTAAAGGTATGCACCACCACATACATCGTAATTATTAGATATTCTTAGTTGAGATATTAGCTATTTTTCTTAAAAGAAAATACACTGTACATAAGTTAGTGTATGGTATAGAGCATTTGCCTAACATGTGAAAAATCCTGGGTTAAATTTTCAGTACTTGTAGTAGGTCTCTAAGTTATTTTTATCTTCTGGTTTTAATTTTGTTAGGTCATATGCATATAGAATTTGACCATTTCTTCTAGGTTTTCCAGCTTTTTGGCAAATAAGTTTCCAAATTATGCTCTAATAATGTTGTAGATTTTATTGAGTCCGTTAAATAACACCCTTTCATTTTAATTTTGCCTTCACATTCTTTATGTTACATTGGCTAAGGATTTATCAGTGATACTTTTTCAAAGAACCGACTCTTTCTTTAGTTGATTTTATGTATTGTTCATTTAGTTTCCATTTTGTTAATTTCCTCCCTAACTTTTAAATGTGTCCCCATCTCCTAGGTTTGGGATTGGCTTAGTATTGTTTTTCTAGAGCCTTAAGGTGTATCAGTAGATTGTTTATTTAAGATGGTTGTTGTTGTCATTGTTTTAATATAAGAATTTATATCAATAAGCTTTGTTCTTAGGACTGTCTTGACTATGCTCCAAAGGTTCTGGAACTTTGTATTCTTGTTTTCATTTAACTCTAGGAGTTTTAAATTTTCTTTTCTAATTTCTCCAATAGTCCACTATTAATTCAAAAATATATTGTTAAGTTTCCAAGTATTTTTGTAGTTTTTGTATTTTTTTTCTTGTTCATTTCTACTTTTATTCCATTGTGGTCTGATACAAAGAATTTATTCTGCTGAGCATTGGTGGTGCATGCCTTTAATACCAACACGTGGGAGACAGAGACAGGCGAATCTCTGTGAGTTTGAAGCCAGCTTGCTCTCCAGAAAGAGGTCCAGGACAGCTTGGGATACACAGTGGAAACTCTGTCTTGAAAAACAAAACAACAAAAAACAAGCCAAAAGAGAGTTAATTAATTAAAGAATTTAAGTACTGATTTCTGGCTTATGATGTGATCAGTTTAGGAGACAGTCCCGTATGTCTCTGAGAACATTCCCTGTCTGTCAAGTGTATATTCTGTATCTACTGGCTAATGGCGGGTTGTTGCTCTGAGGTTTCTTATTTTTATTCTGGAAGACCTATTTAAATGTGAGAGTTGGGTATTGAAGTCCCACGCTATTGCTGTATCAGGACCCATACATTCTTTTTTTTTTTTTTTTTTTTTTTTTTTTGGTTTTTCGAGACAGGGTTTCTCTGTAGCTTTGGAGCCTGTCCCGGAACTAGCTCTTGTAGACCAGGCTGGCCTCGAACTCTCAGAGATCCGAGTGCTCAGATCTCAGAGTGCTGGGATTAAAGGCGTGCGCCACCACCGCCCGGCTCCCATACATTCTTTTATGCTTTTTGATGTTTCTTTTACAAAGTTAAGGTCTCTAATAAGTGTTTATAATTGTTAAATCTTCTTGATGGATTGTTCTTTCTTCTTCTCCTTCTTCTCCTCCTCCTCCTCTTCTTCCTTCTTCCTCTTTTTCCCTTCTTCCTTCCTCCTCTTCTTCCCCTTCTTTCCTTTCTTCCTCTTCTTCCTCCTTTTTTTTTTTTTTTTTGAGACAAAATTTCTCTATGTATTTTTGGAGCCTGTCCTGAAACTCACTTGTAGATTGTAGACAAGGCTGGCTTTGAACTCACCAAGGTCTGCCTGCCTCTGCATCTGAGTGCTGGGATTAAAGGTGTGTGCCACCATCTCCCGGCTAATGGTTTGTTCTTTTATTAATAATATGTAGTAGCCCTGTTTATCTCTCCTAATTGCTTTTTATTTAAAGTCTGCCTTATCAGATATAATGACTGCTGCATCAAATAAGGGATATTCAATCTGGATTTGAATTTTAATAGAAGCTCTTATCTAATTTTGGTGTTACTTAATATTCAGACTACTCATGATAAAGAAAAAGCAGAACGGAAGAGAAAAGCTGAAGCTGCTAGGCTTCACCGCCAGAAGATCATGGCCCAGATGTCCGCCTTACAGAAAAACTTCATTGAGACTCACAAACTCATGTATGACAATACGTCAGAAATGCCAGGAAAAGAAGACTCCATTATGGAGGAAGAGAGGTAAAACAAAACAACCATTCTTCTGAAATCAGGTTTTCCTAAATATATTAAAACGGGAACAACAAAAATAGAAACCATCCCCTTATTTTCTCTTCATTGGTATTAGAATTGTAGATGATTGTGAGCTGCCATGTGGGTGCTGGGAATTAAACCTGGGTCCTCTGGAAGAGCAACCAGTGGTTATCACCGCTAAGCCATCTCTCCAGCCCCCATATATTTAGTTCTATATCTTGTTTTCTTTTTGCACATTTTTTTATGTTAGCACACGTAGATCTATGGTATAGACTTTGCATCATTTTCTTTAAATTTCAAATTTTTAAATACTGCATATTTAAGGTGTACATATTTTTTTGCACACTTTTTAAAAAATTTATTGTGTGTGTATATGGAGGTCAGAGGACAACTTGTAGGAGCCATTTTACTCCTTGAATCATGTGGGTCCCAGGATTAACTCATGTCATCAGACTCTTATAACTTTTAACCCGTATTTTTAAATCTACATTCTTTTACGAGGCTCATTGACCTTTACTGTGTATTGCCCATCCTGCTTTCTCTGTTTCTGGTTGGCAACTCTGCCTTTCTTTTGCCCCAAGACCTCTCTGTCCCCAGAAGTTCCATCTAGTCTCTTTCTGCTTAGTTATTGGCCACTCAGCTCTTTATTAAACCAATCACAGTGATACATCTTCATATGGTGTCAAGGAATAGTCCACAACAACATGTAGTTATTGTTTTGAGTAAGAGGACCTAAAACAGCTCTAGTCCTTATGCTACCCATAAAATCTGTAGGTTTACTCCCTCTGCACACCTGTAAATATGTACCCTTTGACTTCCATCCCTTCATTTTTTAAATTAGTTCTTTGCCAATTTTACACAGGTATGTCATTCATTCTGATTGCACTCATCCTTCCTCCTTCCTTTACGTTCTTTTACTCTTAGGGTGTGGGTTTACAGTGTTCTCTCTGATTTGTGAGGTTTAAGAGGCTTCCTGTTTTCCCTTATTACTTTGTCAAAGCATTGTCATAGGTTCTTCTGTAGTTGTGCCCATGATTCTAACAGGGCAGAAGTTAACAAACTTTAATTTAATTAACCTATTTATTTCTGAGGTAAGGTCTCACTGTGTAGCCTAGCTGTCCTGGAACTCTGTCCTGGAGGTCTACAGACTGACCTCCCACTCCCACTGCTTCTGCCTCAGGTGCTGGGGTTAAAGTTGTGCACCACCACGCCTGGCTAGGTTGAAACATTGGCAGATACTGCACATTGTCTTGCAGGTGACTGTCAGCTTCTACCCCTGCTAGTGTATGAACATGCTTCATTATCACCAAGTAAAGCTTGTGGCTAGGAGTGAAGCTCAGTAGTAGAGTGCTGGCTTGGTTCAGTTCCCTGGCACCTCAGACTGAAAAGTAAACCAGTTAGTCCAAGGGTGACCGCTCATAAAGTCGTTTACTGACTTTTTGCATTTTGTCTTCTGCCAATGCTTTTGCCGATTTCTCTGGAGGCTTTACTCCTTCTTATTCTCCTTTAAACATTATTTCCCATATTTTTTCCTTATTTCTTTAACATATAACGGTTAGCCATAAAGAAGTTCTCAGTGAAGCCAGGCGTGATGGTGCATTCCTGTAATCTCAACACTTGGGAGGCAGAGGCAGGGCTGCCACAAGTACAAGGCCAGTCTGAATTATACAGTGAGTTTCATATCAGTCTGGCTGCATAGTGAAACCCTATGAAACTCTCTCAACAAACAAATAACTTGGAAAGCAAAAGACATTCTCAGTGTTGATGAAGGCACATTTCTCAATCTCTTAAGTTTAATTTTTTTGTCTTAATTCCTTTTCTTTTACTATCTTAATTATAGCTATATTGCTATATTTTCAATTGGAAAATCAAATGGTAGGGATAAATATAAAGTTCCTTTGGATACTTGATCAAATACTATTTCCCTTTCTGCCCTCTGTGGTTAAGTTTTATATGCATCCAAACAGGCTAGGCTCCCACACAGCCAGTTCATGTATTAGGATTGAAACCTAGTGCCATTGACTGGCTGTGTGGGAGCCTAGCCTATTTGGATGCTCACCTTCCTGGTCCTGGATAGAAGTGGGAGGACCTTGGACTTCCCGCAGGGCAGGGAACCTGGACAGCTCTTCATTCTCGAGAGGGAGGGGAATTGGAGTGGGGGGGAGGGGGAGTGGGGGGAGGGGGAAATGTGTGGGAGGAGGGGGAGGGAAATGGGAAACGGGGAGGAGGCGGTAATTTTTCAAATAAATAACTAAATAAATAAAAAGACACAGATATTAAAAAAAAGTTTTATATGCATAACCCTGCATTGAAGAGGTTAAAAGAAAGGTTGAAAGTTCAAGGCTAGTCTGAGCTACACATAAGTGAGACTTCATCTCAAAAACGAAACAGGTTTTTTATTTATTTATTTATATATATGTGTCAGAATTTTTTATTATACTATTACATACAGATATCTGTAGCCATGATATAATTGTATGGTTTTATGTTATTCAACCTTTTGTTTGCATAAATGATATGTATTTAATTATTATCTCTAAGGATGTGGGCTACATGTTACTGCTGAGCAGTACCCTTTGAAAACTATGTAATGCTCTACATTATGCTAATCACTTATACTGATGAGCATTTGGGTTATTTATAGTTCTCTATGTGATACACCATATTTTAGGGAGCTTCTTGTACAGTTTTGCAAGCCTCTGAGGCCAAGTTACCTGGGTTAGTTAAATCTTGGTGGTGTTACTTACTGACGATGAGTTCCTAGGTCTGCCTCTTACTATCTTTAGGCTCAGTTTCTCCCTCTGTGCAAATGGAAGTAATTACAGTACCTGCCTTATGTTTATTGTAAGAATTAAAGTGAAAAAAAAAACATAAAATATGTAAAAGTGTCTAGCATAACAAACCATTATAAATATTTGCTTTTATTTGATTTTGTTATTATCAGGGATATCTGTAGCTCATAAAGATTGCTGCATCATTAAGATTTATTAAAAGTTTAAATTTTTGTAGTCTTAATATCTACTAAAGTAGAATTAGAAGCCTAAATGTCTAAGGAGAGGGATTAGACAAAAGCATTATGGTTCTACAGTAGCAAGAGTAGCTCTACGCAGCTGTTTAAAATGTTTCTGAGTAAATCTTAATACATGACACAAGCAACATTTATGTGAATAAATCTGTATATTTATATTTATACAAAATGTGTATTGTAAATAGAAAGCAAACTAAGAAGAAATAAACAAGATTATTAGTGAGTACATTGTCAATACAATGCTTTTTTATATTTTTCTATATTTTACAGAATTTCTTTGATATGTGTACTACATATTTATTATTAAAAAAGAAATGGCCCCAATTCTCTTGATATAGTAAATTAAATAGCATTATATAAATACTATTCTGTAATGTATTTCTCTGTGCACTTAGAACAAACTGAACTTTCTAGTTAGAAATTAAGTGCTTAAAGCCAGAAAATTCAGGGTTGATTTCTAAAGGTAATATTGCTAAGTATAATTTTTATTTATTTACTTGAAATCTTCCTAAATGTAAAGACAATAACTGAAACATATGTCCTAATTTCTGGTTGTTCCTTTTGGTAGCACTCCAGCGGTCAGTGACTACTCTAGAATTGCTTTGGGTCCTAAGCGGGGTCCAGCTGTTACTGAAAGGGAGGTGCTCACATGCATCCTCTGCCAAGAAGAACAAGAGGTGAAACTAGAAAACAATGCCATGGTATTATCAGCCTGTGTCCAGAAATCCACTGCCTTAACCCAGCACAGGGGGAAACCCATAGACCTCTCAGGGGGTATGTATTGCTTACTTAATCTACTTTCAGCCATTTTTTTTCATGCCTAATTCTATGTAATTAGAATAAAAATAAATGTTGAAAGAGGTTCAGCAGTGAGATTGTGTGTAAGTTCTGCTTATATCACATATTTGTATGTGACATAGATTAGGTTCTTACTTGCCATGTTGATTACTTGGCTTTTTTATTAGTTTTGATTTTTGTTAGTTCTTAGTCACATTGTTCAATCATCTTTTTTGTTTGTTTGTTTTATTTTATCTCGCTGAACCATTTGAAAGTAGATTGCTGGCCTCATAACAGTTCATCTCTAGGTATTTCTGAATTCATTTCCCAAAACTGCGGACAGTTTATTATATATTTACCACACCATTACCATACTGAAGGAAGGAATATCATATATAATTTTTGTTTCTATATCTGTCTTTAGTGGGGAGGCATATATTTTAAACAAAGATCTAAACATATATCTAATATTTAAACATACTTTATGAAGTTTTTTTTTAACTGGGCATGGTAGCTCATGCCTGTAATCCCAGCACATGGAATAGTAAGGCAGGAAGTTTTACATTAGATGGAGGTGAACCTGGCCTACATAGTGAGTTCAAGGCCAGTCTAAGCTACACAATGAGATAATGTCTCAAAAGCAAAGCAAAGTAAAAGTGTATTTTAGTTGGCTTAATGTAGACTATTTCCTTGCCCCCTTTTTCATGATAATAACTATTTTGATAAATGCAGGCTAATAATTTTATCTAATGTCTCACATTGTGCATTTATCTCTCTGCCTTATGATTAGATTTATACTAAACATTTACTTCATAAAATTTTAATTAGGTAACACATCATACTTACCAGAAGTTGTCTGCTTTATGTTTGAAATTCCCTTGAAGTAATGATGATTATAAACTGACATTTATTAATATTTGACATGATTAAACCCTGTGTCTGTTTGCTTACTATATCTCACAACAACCTTGTGCATTACTACCTCCATATACATGAAAGGCTGAGGCACAGAGGTGTTAACTGGCCTCTTAACATTGTCATTTATAGGGGTCAGAGAGATGACTCAGCAGTTTAGAACACTTGCTGCCTTTGCAGAAGACCTGGGTTCTCTATGATGGCTCACAACTGTCTGCAACTCTAGTTCCAGAGGGTCCAGTGCCCTCTTCCGGCCTCTTGGGAACCAGGCATACACATGCTGCAGACATACATGCAGGCAAACACACATATAAAAATAAGTAGTTGTGTATTCAAATTATCATTAAAAGTACAAAGGTAAATTTGTTCTTGAAGCATAAAAAAGCACTTCAGCCACCAATCAGCTTGAACCTATTGTTCTGACTTATAACATAAATGGATATAGAGTTGTTTAATCCATACAAATTTTAGAATTTGTAAGGCCTAGCTGCTTTCCTCCTTTTTTCACACTATTAGGAAAATGTATATTGCATATTACTATCACTGCTATACTTGGACATTCTTTTTTTTAAATTTATTTATTTATTAAAGATTTCTGCCTCCTCCCCGCCACCGCCTCCCCTTTCCATCCCCCTCCCCCAGTCAAGCCCCCCTCCCTCCCTCATCAGCCGGAAGAGCATCAGGGTTCCCTGACCTGTGGGAAGTCCAAGGACCTCCCACCTCCATCCAGGTCTAGTAAGGTGAGCATCCAAACTGCCTAGGCTCCCACAAAGCCAGTATGTGCAGTAGGATCAAAAACCCATTGCCATTGTTCTTGAGTTCTCAGTAGTCCTCATTGTCCTCTATGTTCAGCGAGTCCTTCTTAAGAAATACAATTTTGTGATTAGAAATTTTAGATTTGAAAACTCTTTTTCTCCACTCTCACCTCCTTAACTCAAGAAAACATAAGTACATATCTCTTATTTGTGTCTTTCTGAACCAGAAATTCTGGACCCTCTTTTCATGGATCCTGACCTGGCACATGGAACTTATACAGGAAGCTGTGGTCATGTAATGCATGCAGTGTGCTGGCAGAAGTAAGTTGTCCCTCTGACATGTTCTTGAAAGAGACTAGGAACATTGGTGTTCGCTACACACCACAAAAAGGCATGTTTTCTCATGTCTTCTATTTTTCTTACTAGAATAATTAAAACAATTTTAAGTACTAATCCTTTTTGCATTGTGCTAATTATATTTTTATTTATTGTAAATCTTAGGAATTGATGTATAAAGTTCCCATCTTGGTGTTTTCAGGGATTAGGAGTGTAGCTTGTTAATACAGCATGCACTTAGCATGCACAGTGTGTTGCCCTGGGCAGCTCCTAGCACTGAACATGCATTTGCTTCCCACAAACTAAATAGTATTAACACTGTTTGCTGCTAGTCATGCAAGAGAAGCAGTAATTTTTATTTTAAAAATATCAAAACTCAGGCCAAGGTGGTGATGGTGCATGGCTTTGATACCAGCACCTAGGAGGCAGAGGCAGGTGGATCTCTGAATTTTGAGGCCAGCCTGTTCTGTAAAGACACCCAGTTCACCAAGACAGCCAGTGCTATTACACAGAGAAACCCTGTCTTAAAAAACCAAAATGGAAAAAGAAAATTTTTAAACATTAAAAAGTATCTTTATAGCCAGGTAATAGTTATGCATGCCTTTAGTCCCAGCACTGGGGAGGCAGAGGCAAATGGACCTCTTGAGTTCAAGGCCAGCGTGGTCTACAGAGCCAGTTCCAGGAAAGCCAGAGCTACACAGAAAATACAATATGTTTGTATTGAAATAAACCAACCAAACAAAAATAATAAGTATCTTTATAATGTGAAAAGTTCTGGTTTTATCTTGAGAAAAGGTAAAAATTTCAAAATGTAATTTCTGATAATTTTTTATATTATTTACTCATTTGCCATCAGATTCAAAACATCATTTTCTATTGAAAGCCCTTAGTGATGTAGATAACCATGGGGAGTCTCTAGTTATGTCCTCTTGCTGTTAAGATGGGGGACAAGTTAAGATTCAGCAGAGTTTTCAAATTTGTATCTGCTGTAATGTAGTTTCTAGTTTATCCATTCCCCAAAGGGAATTCTGTTTCTTCTAGAATTATAACATGTACATTTGCATATAAGTTCTAAAGATACTTATTAAGTTCAAAATTCTAACCATTTTTATTTAGAGTAGATCAAAGCCATGTGACTTGTTCTAAATGGACCTGCATCTTGAATTTTGCAGGTATTTTGAAGCTGTACAACTAAGTTCTCAGCAGCGCATTCATGTGGACCTGTTTGACTTGGAGAGTGGAGAGTACCTGTGCCCACTCTGCAAGTCTCTGTGCAACACTGTCATCCCCCTCATTCCCGTGCAGCCTCAGAAGGTCAACAGGTGCGCTCGTTTTACCCTTTGTTCAGCTACTTGTTTTTAAACTGTCCTTGGCTTTTAACTTGCTTTTTTGTCAGATTACTGGCTTTCTGTGTCTTATAGGGACTAGTACGATTCTCATTCCATAGCTTGCACTATACTTGCAAATAAGATTAAAAGCTCAGGTTTTGGCATCAAAGAGAACTAGCATGTTCATTTACTTAAAGCAGTGTGTTATGCACTTGTCTTTCTACAGTCAAAGCTGCAAAACCTCAAAGATACAAGTCCTATTGGAGATCTGTACCAAAAGTTAATGATAAAAATAAATAACAGCATTATATGAATCATGTCTTTGAATAATGTGTGAGCCTTTAAAATTTAAATTAGTTTATATTCTTTCTGATTGTCTGAAAATGCAATTTAACAGATATCACTAGTTTTTAATAATTGTTAGAACATTTCATTATCTTCTTCCATATTCTTACTGTTCTACTGATGATAACAAAATTGTTATCTTAGACAGGCATGGTAGTGCACGCCTTTAATGCCAGTATTCAGTAGACTGAGGCAAAAGATCTCTGAGTTTGAGGCCAACTTAGTCTATGTAGCAAGTTACAGGCTAGCTAAGGTTAGATCCCGAGATGCTGTCTCAGAACATATAAGTTATTCTTAAATTATTTAAAAATCAGTAAATTTAGCCGGGCGGTGGTGGCGCACGCCTTTAATCCCAGCACTCGGGAGGCAGAGGCAGGCGGATTTCTGTGAGTTCGAGACCAGCCTGGTCTAGAAGAGCTAGTTCCAGGACAGGCTCCAAAACCATAGAGAAACCCTGTCTCGAAAAACCAAAAAAAAAAAAAAAATCAGTAAATTTGTAATAATTCAGTCTTCCAAAGAAAATGGTTTTACATTTTGAAAGTGTGCCTTTGGCTAGAGATATGACTCAGTGTTGATACACGTGTGAGGCACCAGAGAACAACAGCATGATTCAGTATGTTCTTCACAGCAAAGATACAGAAAAGTGGTGTGTTTAGCAGAGTCAAGAAGTAATCCCTTTACCTCTGCTGTTTTGTGTCATTGGAAAACCCAGTTTGGAATTATTTTTATTCATCATATTTGGACATGTTATGTCACCTTATGGGGACAAAGAAGTGTCAGAAAGATTTGTTCTTTGTGTATTGGACAAGCTCTAGACAATGTACCATGCACTTGCCATGTCTTATTTAATTCTCTCAGTAATCTACTGAAGTTGGCACTATTATTTCCATTTAAACATAAATAAAATAATTGGATAGAGACTGAGTGGTTTTTGTTTGTTCCAAGAGATTCAGGATTTGAACCCAGACCTCACTTCTAACTTCTGAGGGCACGAGAGCTGTTTGTTTGTTTGTTTGTTTTTTGAGACAAGGCTTTGCTGTGCAGTCTAGGCTAGCTTGAGCTTGTGAATCACTTACCTCAGCTTCCTGAGTGCTGAGATTACAGGCATCTCTCACCATGCCCAGCCTCTTCCAACTTCTTGTTAGGTTACACAAGCTTTTTAAACAGGGTAATTCCCCAAAATAAAGATACATATATCATTGCTCTCTAAAATTTTAAAGGAATGCTCAGCAACTGACTTCCTCAATTTTCTTAACTAAGCTTCATATATGTATGTTTTTATTATCAGTTGTGTGAATATGTGTGGGGGTATGTGCATGTGTGAGTGAAGAGACTGTCATAGCCCCGGGAGCTGGTGTTACAGGCTGTTATGAACTATGGGTACCAAGAACTATACTTAGGTCCTCTACAACAGCAGTAGGTGCTCTTAACTGCTGAGCCATCTCTAGCACCAAAACTAACATTTTGATATAAAACATTTACAATAGATTTATCATAGTGTGAAAGTAGAAGGATGTGAGTTCAAATCTTTAGAATTCATGTAAAAGCTAGTCTTTTTAGTATTTGTCTGTCAATCCAGCCTCCTATGCGGAGATGGGACCTGGGATAGGAGAACGTCTGCAAGTCTATGTCTAGCCCAGTGTGTGCACCAGCGAACAACAAAGGGTTGTCTTCCGTTGTCTACACATGTACTGTGGCATGCTCACACCTGCACTTACACACATAAATATTTATACATACACATCATGTACACACAAGTTTTTTTTTCTAAAACTCATGTTAATTGTTTGTTTTTTAAGTCATCACCAGTCATAATACACTTTCACTTTTGAGAACCAAAAAGATTTCTTAGGTCAAATTTATGGTAGGTATTCAAATACAGCACACTTCATTTTATATTTTATTTCCTTCAAATCTGCCCTTTCAGAGGCTGGAGAGATTAAGGCTCATTGATTAAGAACTTTGGCTGGGTCCTGTGTTCAATTCCCAGCATCCACATGGCAGCTCACAATCAGCTATAACTGTAGTTCCCAGGGGATCCAATGCCCTCTTCTGCTGTGCAGATGTACATGCAGACAAAACATCCGTATACATGCATACATACATATATACATGCATGCATACATACATATTTCTTTAAAACAAGACTGTTTTTTAATGAATTATTATTTCATAGTCTTATTTTTATGAAGCATGCATTCCATGAAGGAGAAGCTTACAATAACATAGTATGAGTTGCTGAACTGTGAGTCATACCAAAGAAATCCAGAGTCTGGCCAGTGCCTGACACTAAATACAGGGTTTTCAGGCAGCTCATCTTTCAGATCCAAGTGAGGGATGAACAGTTGTTTTTCTCCAGAGGAAGCTTGATTTAGAATCAAAAGCACAGGCCCCTAATGGGAATGTAATCAATGGTAAGCCCTGGGTTTGGTCTTCAGCTCTGGGGAAAAAATAAGACAAAAATTTGTCTGTAATGGTGGCTTACACCTTTAGTTCCAGCACTGTGGAGACAAAGAGGGCAGCCTGCTCTACATATGTGTTCCAGGACATCCAGGGCTACATAGAGTAATCCTCTCTTGAAAAACCCAAACCAACCAACAAACAAACAAAAACAATTTTTTTTAAGTATAAGGGAAAAGGATTCTTTTAAAAATATTTTTTAATTTTTTTAAAAAACAATCTTTTCTCATTTTACATACCAATCCCAGTTCCCACTCTCTCCTCTGCCCGCTCCCTCCACCTTTCCCCATCCCACACCCTACCCACTCCTCAGAGAGTGTAAAGCTTCCTGTGGGAAGTCAAGAGAGTCTGGCACATCATTTTGAGGCAGGACCAACGACCTCCCTGCTATATCTAAGCTGAGCAAAGTATTGTTCCAAAGAGAATGGGTTCCAAAAAGCCAGTACAAGCACTATGAATAAATCCTGGTCCATTGCCAGTGGCCCCACAGACTGCCTAAACCACACAACTGACATCCACATTCAGAGGACAGAGGTTCCCTGCTGTGTTCAGGTCAGCTGTTTCTGTGGGTATCCCTATCATGGCCTTGACCCCTTTATTCATATTATATCACTCCTCCCTCTTTGACTGGACTCTGGAGCTCAGCCCAGGGCTCAACTGTGGATCTCTCCATCTGCTTCCATCAGTTGCTGGATGGAGTTTCTATAGTGACAATTAAAAAAACTCAGAAACTAGATATCAAAATACCAAATAATCCAGTGAAAACCGGAAAAGAACTATTAAGAAGCCACTGAAGTGGTTCATGTGAGGGGCAGTAGGACTTCCAGGAGAGTAGTGGATGGAGGTGGAAAGAAGTGACCAACTTGGGATATTAGAACCTGGGTCCTGTGCCGGGGCAGTGGTGGCGCACGCCTTTAATCCCAGCACTCAGGAGGCAGAGGCAGGCCGATCTCTGTGAGTTCAAGGCCAGCCTGGTCTACAAGAGCTAGTTCCAGGACAGGCTCCAAAGCTTCAGAGAAACCCTGTCTCGAAAAACCAAGGGGGGTAAAAAAAAGAAGAACCTGGCCAGGCGATGGTGGCGCACGCCTTTAATCCCAGCACTCGGGAGGCAGAGGCGGATCTCTGTGAGTTCGAGACCAGCCTGGTCTACAGAGCTAGTGCCAGGACGGGCTCCAAAGCCACAGAGAAACCCTGTCTCGAAAAACCAAAAAAAAAAAAAAAAATTCAAGGACTCAGCNAAAAAAAAAAAAAAAAAAAAAAAAAGAAGAAGAAGAAGAAGAAGAAGAAGAAGAAGAAGAAGAAGAAAAACCTGAGTCCTGTAGATTGAGTGTGGAGGAATCAGGTTGTCGATGACATCACATTGATGAGTAAGCACAGTGATATTTTCAGTTTACTGGTATTTTATTTCTTCTCAGTCATAGATGTATGGTTATGCCTTAGTCATAGTGCCAACTATATTTTTTAGTCACATTTCCATGACCTACAACGCTAATGATCTAAGTAAGCTTGATGCTTTAATTTTACTCATTTATTTCTTTGAGATGAGGTCTTATTATCTCTTGCTGGCCTGAACTCACTATGTAGACCAGGCTGGATTTGAACTCATAGGGATCTGCCTGCCTCTCCCTTCTGAGTGCTAGGATTAAAGATTATGTCACTATGCCCCACAGAATTTGATGTTTTTAATATACCCATTTATTAAAGGAAAGACTCTACAAGTTTAGCCCTGCAGATTGACTTTAAACTGATCATTTCTAAATGTCTTTTTTTTTTCTAGTGAGAATGCAGAGGCCCTTGCTCAGCTCTTGACCTTGGCACGGTGGATACAGACTGTTCTTGCCAGGATATCAGGTTATAAAATGAAGCACAGTAAAGGTTTGTAGAAATCTGTTTGTACTAGATGTGTGGAAATTGTTTCTAAATGTTTAATTTTTTTATATTTATATTTGTGACTTTTGCCTATATGTGTGTCTGTGCACTACAGTGAGTCTGGTGCTCTCAGAGGCTAAGATGTGTTTTTTTTGTTTGTTTGTTTTTGTTCTTTTGTTTTGTTTTGGTTTGGTTTGGTTTGGTTTTTTTTTTGAGACAGGATTTCTCTGTAGTTTTGGAACCTGTCCTGGAACTAGCTCTTGAAGACCAGGCTGGCCTCGAACTCACAGCGATCCACCTGCCTCTGCCTCCCAAGTTTTTTTGTTGGCTATCAGGAAATAGAAATTTTGCATGAAGGCTTTTTGGCTCTCAATTTACTAAGTTTAATCATTTTTCAACTGGGAAACAGAATATTATGAAATATTCTGCCTTAATATTAATAACAAAAATATATTAAAGCTGTTACCTTATGTACTTATGTTTTACAGCTGAGTGACAGGTATTGCTATAAGATATGCTTAAGAACATAATTGAAAGATCACTAAAGAGCTTGCTGAGGAGGGTTAGGGAGGTGACTTGGTGAGTGAAGTGTCTGCTCTGTATGAGCATCTATCTACATTTGGTGCTGTAGGGAAGGGAGCAGTGGCCTAGGAGGCTGAAGGCCAAAAAGGTGAGAGATCCTGTTTCTAAATTTAAGGTGGAAAGTCATAGAGGCAGATGCTTTCTGTTCTCTGGCCTCCTCATGCACATACATGGGTTCATGAGCCTTGTATACATACATATAAAAGCAATCATATATATCCTACCATGTGCATACAGTATTTAGTGCAGAAATTTTTTATTAGCTTATAAATCAATAAATGAAGGCAAAGTTCAGTTTGTATTGTTTGGTTCTGTGTGTTCAAGAAGGGTTCTTGCAATCTTGTCTGGCTCCTGGCCTGAGGCCATTCTGCCTATTCTCTTTATGGAAATCTGTCTGTACTGGATGTGTATAGCTACCACCACATCCTGTTTTAAAATTTTATTTGACGACATTCCTTGGTGGCAGGAGAGAACTAAGCCCCACAAGTTGTCCTCTGGACTGCACGTGTACCACATATGTGGCACACGTGCACATGAACAGGAACATGCATATACACACTAAATTAACTACGAATGCAGTTTTGGATTTTTGAGACATGGTTTCTTGGTAGCCTTGACTGTCCTTCAACTAGCTCTCTCTTTGTAGACCAGCTGGCCTCACACTCCCAGAGATCTGCCTACAAATGCAGTTTTAAAAATTATTTTTAAAAAAATGAAATAAGGAAAGTTACCCATGAGGCAAAATACTCATTACCTATTAGGTAAGAAAGTAAAATGCAGAGAGCAGCACCGTATGATGCCTTTAAAGGGAAAAGTGTGTGGCATTTATATGTAGAAGGAACATCGCCTCAATGGTATGTATGTAGAGAGGTTAGGAGAGATTATTTACTGCTTACTTGCATTTCTAAAGGGATCATGTATGGCTTAAACAGCTAGATAGTGTTAGACTAACTTAGTCATGATTTTTATTCTTTTCCTCTTAATGTATAAGGAGAGGCTCCAGCAGTTCCTGTATTGTTTAATCAAGGAATGGGAGATTCGACTTTTGAGTTTCATTCCATCCTGAGTTTTGGAGTTCAGTCTTCGTAAGTATCTAAAGAGTGTGTCAAGTGGGTGCCATGGCACACCTCTGCCTCCCGAGTGTTCCTCCACTGCCTGGCTTTTGATGTTTAGTTTGATAGTTAACTAAAGTGGATTAAGAACCACTTATGACATTAATGAGGCACACTCTTGGATCTGTGGGCTTTTTTTTTAACTTTATGTGTATAAATGTTTTGTCTTTATGTACGACTGTGTATCACATGTATGCCTGATGCCTGTGGAGACCAGAAGAGGACATTTGATCCCCTGGCCTGGAGTTAGAGAGGGTTGTGAGCCTCCATATGGGTGCTCGGATTCAAATTTGGGTCCTCTGGTAGAACAGCCCGTGCTTCTTGCCCTCTGAACCATCTCTCCCACCCCAGTGAGGGCTTTTCTTGAGAGGACTAATTGAGGAGAGGGACCACAACTGCATGTGGACATTGGCATCCCATAGCTGGGTGACACTGAGTAACATAATGTCTGAAGGAATGAATTGTTTCTGTTGCTTTTGGATTTAATGGGGTGTCTCGGGAAGCAGCCCTTTTTTCTAAAATACTGTACAAATTTCTTTTTATTTTGTTTTTAGGGTGAAATATTCTAATAGTATCAAGGAAATGGTCGTTCTCTTTGCCACAACGATTTACAGAATTGGACTGAAAGTGCCTCCTGATGAACTGGACCCGCGAGTGCCCATGATGACCTGGAGCACGTGTGCTTTCACTGTCCAGGCCATCGGTAAAGCCTACTTAAAAGTAAAATAAAAAGTGGAACAAACTTACATTGATGATGCCTTGGGAGAGGTTGCTGTATTTGAGGACCACTAGTATTTGAGTGTATTAGTGTGGTTCTGGGAATGTTTTATAGTTTTGTCTTTTCACTTATCACAGTAACCCTGTGTGACTGACCAATATTTTGAAGGATAGCATTAAGCACTCTAGTCAAACCTTGTGGACATGACAACGTTATATCTAGAACAAATGCGTATGAACACAGTCAGCTCAGGACTTCTCAGAATGCTGTTCTGTACTTTGAGAGAAGAAGAAAGTAGGACCAGAGTCACAAACAAACAAAAAATTATTGGACGAGGATGTACGAGGTGGTCAGGAGAGACAGATATCAAAACCAGGTCTAAATAGTAACTTGTCAAATGCTTTGCTGCTTTGGAAATTTCCCAGGGGGTGGCAGAGGGAAGCAAGCCCTGAGGCTGTAAGTGAGCGAGGTGTCACGGAAGATGTAGAATGTCTCTTTCATATCATCTTTATCCAGGCCAGGTTCATTTCTCTTCTTCAACACATTTTCTTAGTCACATTTTTGCTTTTTGTTTTTGTTTTTAACATTCTGACTGAGGTTTCTGCTCCCTCCTCTCCTCCCATTCTCTCTCCACGTTGGTCAGTTTTTAATGATGTACATTTTCATCACTAAATTCCTTTTGTACCAATTCAGTATGCCATAATTTGCCTTGAGTAACATATACACACTTTCTTCTCCAAAACGTTCTTGCCTCAGTCCCAGGATAGATTTTAGGAGTTGCTCACGAACTATCAGACTTAAATCCTGAGTATAGGACAGTGCATTGATGTGTATTTACTCAGGGTAAGGCCAGCATGGGTGCATAGTGAAACGCTGTCTCAAAAAGAAAACCCACAAGCAAAATATAGAATTTTGTAATATTTTTGGATTTTTTTTTTTTTTTAAAGAAAACCTATTGGGAGATGAAGGAAAACCTCTATTTGGAGCACTTCAAAATAGGCAGGTATGTATATTCCAATAGAATTCAGCAGTTTCTGGGATACTTTTTTAGAAAGGGGATTCTGTAGCTTGTTTATCACTGCAGCACATGTAATCTCTCTTCTGTAAACAGCAGAGCTGGGGCGTGGGGCATACTGCCGTGTCAGGAAACATGGTCAGGTTTTTCAGTTTCATAATTAAATGTAATTCACCTAGATTCCAGGCAAGTTGGCTGCTTTCCTGCCGTAAAACCAGACACATCCTGTATCTCCCCCTCATTGATGCTTCACCGTCATATACCACTGAATATTAATGGGTTCTGCTCTAGACAGATACTCATACTGAGTTAATGACCAGACATGCAGGACAGCGTAGATGTCTCAGTGAGTAAAGACACTTGCCACCAAGCCTGACAGACCGAATTTGATCCCCAGAGTAGACATGGTGGAAGGAGATGCAAATTTACCCAACTTGTCTCTGACCTCTGCATGTGCTCCAACACATACAGACTTTGTTCGCTAAGTTTATATTGCTTTGACCAAAATGGCTTGTTCCCCATGGCTTGCTCAGTTTGCTTTCTTACTTACCTCAGGACCACCAACCTGCCCAGGAGCAGCACTACCTGCTGTAGGAATCATTAATCAAGAAAATGTCTCCAGCAGTGGTGGCGCACGCCTTTAATCCCAGCACTTGGGAGGCAGAGACAGGCCGATCTCTGTGAGTTCGAGGCCAGCCTGGTCTACAGAGCTAGTTCCAGGACAGGCTCCAAAGCCACAGAGAAACCCTGTCTCAAAAAGAAAATGTATCACATGCTTGCCCACAGGTCAATTTAATGGGGACATTTTCTCAACTTAGGTTTCCTCTTCCCCAGTGACCCTAGCTTGTTACAAATTGATCAAAATAATCTGCACATGGGCATACCAGTACACACACACACACACACACACACACACACACACACACACACGACAACCCTGGGGTCTGTGAAATGCTCAGTGGGTAAAAGAACTTGTCACTGAGCTTGGTGATCTGAGTTCAGTATCCTGGACACACCTGGAAGGATAGAACCTACTCCTACAAGTTATCCTTTGACCTCCACAAATGTATGTGCATACACACAAAATAAATAAATAATATTTTTTAAATTAAAAGATCAGGCAGCCCTGGTAACTAGTAAGTATTCAAGAAGTGTGTTTAATGCTTGCCTAGCATACATGAGATTCTTAATGAAACTTTCATCACCAATAATAATAACAACAACACAATAATAATAATAATTCTTGCCTGTCTCTTCAGTTCTTGCCAATATCCCTGAAGAATCAAGAAATACACCTTGATAGCTATGTTGTTGGCTTTTTGTTTTGCAAAGTGTGCTCCTAGCCCTGCGAAAGCAAGATGGACACCTGTTGATATTCCCTAGACTGCCGCCTCTGACTGGACACTGCCTTTCCCTCCTGGTTTTCTGACAGTCCACAGTGCATGTCCCTGTAGGTCACATCCTGCTTCTTGAAAGCAGAAGGTGTTTTCAGTTGTTCCATGTTTTCTTACCATGGCTAACATTTCTTTTTAATGGAAAAATGAGAAGTATAGTGAGATCATAAAACATTCTTTTGTATTAGGAATATTGTAGCCAGGAATGGTAGTGCCCACCTTTAACTACAGCACTTAGGAGGCAGAGATAAAAAGATTTCTGAGTTCAAGGCCAGCCAAGAATACATAGACCCTGTCTCAAAAAAAAGAGAGAAAGAGAAAGAAAGAGAAAAATAAGAGTATTGTAAATAGTTGATCAAGTGTGCATCGGTGTATAGTAGGCTAGGATTGGCTGTTTATTGTCCTGATCTAACTCTGTGTTCTTCCCTCGTCATTTTATCTTACCTCTCTCACAATCTAGCATAACGGTCTGAAGGCATTAATGCAGTTTGCGGTTGCACAGAGGGTTACCTGTCCTCAGGTCCTGATACAGAAACATCTGGTTCGTCTCCTGTCAGGTAGGGACTTGTCAATTATTGTGATAGCACGTATATGTATTTTTCTGCATTTATGCAGTATATTTATGAGGAAATGACATACTGTACTGATTTTGAATGCTCAATAATGAAATCCAGATGCCTACAGCACACTTGCCCCAATGAGTGGATTCACAATTACCCCGTAATGATTGCAATATTATTTTAAAAATTTATACTTTTGAAGCTGGGCAATGGTAGTGCATACCTTTTATCCCAATACTCAAAAGACAGAAGAAATTGTGAGTTTGAGGCCTGTCTGGTCTACAGAGCGAGTTCCAGGACAGGCACCAAGGCTACACAGAGAAACCTTGTCTTGAAAAAAACAAAAAGAAAAAGAAAGAAAAAAATAATTTATACTTTTGGAGCTGGCCATGGTAGCACACCATTTTAATCCCAGTACTTAAGAGGCAGAGGCAGGCCGGGCGATGGTGGCACACGCCTTTAATCCCAGCACTCGGGAAGCAGAGGAAGGCGGATCTCTGTGAGTTCGAGGCCAGCCTGGTCTACAAGAGCTAGTTCCAGGACAGGCACCAAAGCAACAGAGAAACTCTGTCTTGAAACAAACAAACAAAAAAAGAATATTATAGCCAGGCATGGTAGTGCCCACCTGTAACTCCAGCACTTGGGAGGAAGAGACAAAAAGATCTTTGAGTTCAAGGCCAGCCAGAAATACACAAAGAGAGACCCTGTCTCGAAAAAAAAATGTATTGTAAATAGTTGATAAAGTATATAATGCGTCAGTGTATAGTAGGTAGTAGGGTTAGGATTATTTTGTTTATATCATTAGACATCTTCTTGATAATATTAATATGTAGGGCCCTGTTTGTCTCTTCTGTCTGGCTATGGGGTGAAGGCTGCTCTATCCTCCTCTTCCTCCTCCTCCTCCTCCTCCTCCTCCTCCTCCTCCTCCTCCTCCTCCTCCTCCTCCTCCTCGTCTTCTTCATCTTCATCTTTGTCTCCTGGTGGCTGGAACTTGCCACATAGGCTAGGCTAACTGCCCAGCAAGCCCCAGTGATCTCCACCCTTGTCAGCACTGAGGACAAAGACACTCTACCCCACATAGCTTTTGGATGTAAATCCTGGAGTTCAAACTACTTGTGTAGCAAGTACTTGGTTAGACCAAGCCATCTCTCAAGGCCCCAGAATACAGGGTCTTTTTTTTTTTAGTTATTGGGAATGTTTGAAAAGTTTTGGGTAATGATGTTCTGAACTAATTACAGGGGTTTAAATTAGAGGAAGTTAAAATTAGAGACAATCCATGCATCAGATGCAACAGCAGAACTAAGGAGGGAATTTGTCTGGTTTGGGCAAGGACAAGGTTTGAACTGAAATGACTGACAGAAAACTTGAGAGAAATGTAGAGACCTGTGTTGGTGTATAGTGATTATTTTTGAAATGTGTTTGTGTGTGTACGTACGTATACACATGTGTGAATGGGTGTCAGACAGCAACCTTAGAATGTCATCCTTAGAAAGGTGATCTTCTTTGAGACAGGGTCTCACATTTGCCTGAAGCTAATCAGTCTGGCCAGTGAGCCCCAAGGATGCTTCTCTCTTCTCCTTTGCCAGGATTATAAGCCTAAAATTGAATTTTCTGCTTTTCTCCCTGTGTCTTCCATTTGTCTGTAGCTTATAATTCCTGACTTGTCTGTTTATACCTACCTAATAATGTCTGGCTCTCTTGCTATATGTCTTGTTCCTAATAAAGGGCTGCATTCTGTGTTTGTTGAACAGGACAGAAATACATGGGGAAGAAATAAGGGATACTTTACATCTTTAACAGAGCTTTGGGACTGGAGAGATGGCTCGGTGGTCAAGAGCACTGGCTGCTCTTCCAAAGGACCTGAGTTCAATTCCCAGCACCCACATGGCAGCCCACAACTGTCTGTAACCCCAGTTTCAGGGGGTCTGACACCTTTACACCAATGCACATAAAATAAAGTTAATTATTTAAAAAAAAAAAAAGAGCTTTACAAGGGATATTTATGCAACTGATTCCAAATGACCCCAAAGCACTCAGTACTGCAAACATAGTGTTATTAAGCAATATCCATGTGCTGTTTCCAGTATATATGGGAGGTATTTGTTGTATAAGATCACTTTCAACATGTTTGCTGTTTTTGAATGATTGCCATAACACATATTTACACACTTGTATTGCTCTCTGGGTCAGGGGCATGGAAGTTACATAATGCATTAGTTTTGGTTGTAAAAGCTGGATACTGAGGGAACCTAAGGCATTTATTGTTGGTTGTTATATTGTTCTCTTAAAGGTAGGCTAAATAAACAGGGAAGATAAAAAGGCAAGTCCTAAGTGAATCCAAGGCATATTATTAACTCAATTATGTGTTTTAGTACCTTTTGAGTGTAAGAGATATTTTCTTTTTTCTTTTTTTTTAAAAAAAAAGATTTATTTGTTATGTATACAATGTTCTGCCTACATGTATCCCTGCAGGCCAGAAGTTGGCACCAGATTTTATTATAGGTGGTTGTGAGCCACCATGTGGTTGCTGGGAATTGAATTCAGGACCTCTGGAAGAACAATTAGTGCTCTTAACTGCGGAGCCATCTCTCCAGCTCCGAGATATTTTCATAAAAATATATTACATTCAGGCTGTCTATAATGTGTTATCTAATTCTGTACAGGAAGGTTGTCTTTTATTTTTTTGTTGTTAATGGATTTTGTTTCTTTTCTTTTTTTAATTTTTCTTGTTTGTTTGTTTTAATGTACATTGGTATTTTGCCTGCTTGTATGTCTGTGTGAGGGTGTCAGGTCCCCTGGAACTGGAGTTACAGACAGTTGTGGGCTGCCATGGGGGTGTTGGGAATTGAAGCCCCCGTCCTCTGGATTAGCAGCAGTGTTCTTAACCGCTGAGCCATCTCTCCAGCCCCCCAGTTTCCTTTTTCTTATGACAGCCATATCTTAGAAGTGTGATATACTAGTTTCTCTGGTCTCTCTAGCCACATTGTATTTTCATTCAATGCTTCCAGTTTGCATTTTATTCAAGTACATTTTTGCCTTACTGACTGAATTACATTAACTTCTGTTTCAGTTGTTTTTCCTAACCTACAATCAGAAGATACACCATGCCTTCTATCTGTAGATCTATTTCATGTTTTGGTAAGTGTTCAATAAAATTATTTTGAAGTCATCAAGTTTGTAATTTCATGTTTTTCTTATTTAAATTCATGCTTGCTGTTCACAATAGTAAAATTTTATTTGCCAAGCCATTTTTAGTGTCTTATCCTTTCTTTCTGAAAATACTACAGATTTCACCAAGACATCAAAATTATTTTTAAAAAAGAAAACACATTTTCTTTTTAAATTTGTAATTGATCTTGCAGTTGATTGTATTTGTTAACAATCTGTTATGGCTCCTTACCACTCCCTTTTTCTAACTATTTATATCTTATGTCATGTATTACCATGTAAGCTGTAGCCATTAGTTATTTAGTGATAGAGACCATGCGCTAAGTACATGCAGGCTTCCTTAAAATACCCGTGGACAGGTAGCAACTCTTGTGAGTTTTATGAAGAATTTTCCTATCCTTGCAATAATCTTTTTCTTTTAAGCCTGCCAGTGAAGAAAATAGTAGTAAAATTGAAACCATGGATTTTCTGGGTATTGGGTTAACCAATCCCAACCCCTCATTTGTACTTCATAATCTAAGCCTGTTTCCAGTAGCTGTCCACGCTGACTTTTTTTGGAACCTCCTGGGGAGTTTTAAAAAGAATCCTACCAATTGGACTTTACGTCAGAGTTTGGTTTTGTTGGGTTGGGATGAAGCCTGTGTATCAGTATTTTTTAAGAGCTTCTAAGTGTTTGTAATAAAGAATCTTCAGAATGACTGTTCTGAAGGAGAGAATGACTATCTGGCCTACAATAAGTAGACTCAGCAAAGGGTTAACTGGCTTGGTGATGGCCTTTCTCTACCATTAATGGTATATTATAATTATATTCTAAGATATTCTGTTGAATATAACTGGGAAAATTATGGTGGTTATTTAAAAAAAAAAAAAGAGCCCTGGGTCATTTGGTACCTTTTACATTTAGTTAGGAGATTGGTTTGTCTTGGCCTTTCATTGTTATCCTGCTGATGCCCCTTTTCTTTTCATAGGTAGGTGCTGTGTTAGCATTCCCATCCTTGTACTGGGATGACACCGTTGACCTGCAGCCTTCATCTGTTAGTTCTTCATATAACCACCTTTATCTCTTCCATTTGATCACCATGGCACACATGCTTCAGATACTTCTTACAGCAGACACAGGTAAGACTCCCTTCTCAGTTTGTGTTGACTCTAAGTAACATTTACCCATGCTTTATTGACAGAATGAATTACGCTTGTGTTAATCATGGTATATATTTAAATGGGTCAAGGCAGGGTAAGTTATGAGAGGCTAATTATAATTAGCTTAAGATACTTGATCATCTAATTTCCAGCTACTCTTCAGATGTGTGGAGGGACTGTTAGGACCTGTTTTTCTTCTTTTCTTCCAAATTCTCATTGTCAATGTCTCTCCAAGTTTATTCCTACCCACACAGGTTCTGCCTTCATCAAGACTTCCAGGAACCCATTCTTTCAGCTACAAGGATAGTATGTTGCTTACCTTGTAACATGGCTATGGTTACTTTATTTCAGTTATTTGTAGCTAATTCCACTCCTCACCCCACTTCTCCTTTCTTTCCATTCCTCCCTTAAATGTGTTACCTGATTACAGAGAACAATCATATTTTAAAACCACTCCTTAGCCTCAAGTATCTGGCAACCTTGTTCTCCCTGATAAGTACTCGTTGAATGCTTTTTGAATTATGACTCCAGTCACATGAATATAATATACATTTTCAAGTTCTAAGTGTCCTTTAAGAGTCAAGTCATGAATAGCAAATGAAGTTCTGAGTGATGGCTCAGTGGATAAAGTCTAAGCATGAGGACCAGAACCCATACAGAAGCTAGGCAGATGGGGTGGTACCACACTTAGGAGGCAGAGACAAGGGATCCATGGAACAAACAGAATAGCTAAACTAGCTGGAATTGGCAAGCTCCAGCTTTGGTGAGGAACCCTGCCCCAATAAATAAATAAAGTGGAACGTGATAAAGGAAGACATTCAATATCAGCTTTGGGCTTCCTGTTGGATGCATACCTGCACATGCATGTGCAAGTGGACGCAAACAAACACATGCATCCCATATATCACATATGTAATGTAAAAACCAGCAAACTATAAAAAATACATGAATCTTGGTTCTAGATAACGTTGGCCAATAAAACCTACTGAAAATTCAAGTAATTTAAAGAAAACGCAGATTTTAAAAAAAAAATCATCTTAGAGGGACCTGGAAAGATAGCTCAGTGGTCAACATCACTGGTGCTCTTCTGGGTTTCGTTCTCAGTACCCATACGGTAGCTCTCAACTGTCTGCAACTTCAGTTCTGGGGCATTCAACTCCCTCTTCTGACCACCATGGACACTACATTCGTGGGGTTCATTTTTGAAGAGAGAGAATATTAATCAACAAAAACTAAATATAATTTTATCATATGCTGATAGGGAAAACTTGGAAGCAACCAGGATAGACATTATATGATTGATAAATAATTTGTAGTACATCCAGACAGTGGAATATCATAATTCAGCTCTATAAAGAAATGAACTATCCAGTCTTGAAAATACATATATGTATATATGGAGTTGAAGAAGCCAAAGTGAAAGGTGCTTTATGGGTCCAACTACAAGACATTCTAGAGAAGGCAGAACTGGGTTTTCCATGGAAATGTGATTTCCATGAATGTAGAAAGGCACAGAGATAGTGAGGCTAGTCTGTATAATATATGTATATATACTTCCCCAAACCCATGGGATGTGGAACATCATGAGTGAACCTTAGTGTAAACTTGGGAAATAGTCTTGAGTCAGGTGAAGTTAGCCTTCCAACCCTATTCTACTCTTCAATACTAAACTGGCTCTTTTAGGACTTTTTGCCTCTTTGCATAATCTCTTTTCAAAGATTTATTTTTATTATTTTTAATTATGTAATGTGTATCTGCGTGTGGGTTTGCGTACTGAATGCTGGTGCCTGCATAGGCTAGCAGCATCAGATCCTCTGAGGCTGTAGTACAGGGCTGTAGTAGGTCATCTGAAGTGGCTGCTAGAAACTGAATCCAGGTCCTCTGGAAGATTGGTGGGCTCTCCTACTGTCCGTTGGCTTACTACTTTTTAAAACAGGGTTTCGCCCTAGGTCAGGCTGTCCTTGAACTCATTATGTAGCCCAAGGCTGGCCTTAAACTCTTGGCAGTCCTGTCCTCTTCGTTTACCTCTAGGTGATAGGACATGGGGCATGACATTAGGCTTAAATTTTAGAATCAGTTTGTAAGTATGGACTTTTGGTCAAAATAACTGTTACTAATATACTTATAGTGAACAGTGCTGGATACTGATAATAGAAATAGTCCATGTGTGCGACCAGAAATATATAGAATTCTATATTTTTTGCTTAGTTTTGCTGTGAACCCGAAACTGTTCCATAGCAATTAAGTTCATGTGTGTGTTTGTGTGTGTGTGTGTGAGTGTGTGTTATATTCACATTTGTGTGTGTGTGCCTGCCTGTAGAGGCTACCGTCAATGTTAGGTGTGTCTAAGCACTCTCTACCTTAGTTTCAAGGCTGCTTTCTCAATGAACTGGGAGCTCATCGATCAGGCTGGTTGGGGAGACAATAAGCTCCGGGGATTTGCCTATTCCTGCTCAACCCCAGCTCTAGGGTCATAGACATATGTAGCCAGAGCCCAGATTTTAGATGGGTGTTGGGGATCAGAAGACAAGTTATCTGCTTAAATAGCAGGTGCTTTTTCTTCTTCCCTACTTGGTTCATTGGTAAACAAATCAATCTCATTACTTGTGTGCATTTGTCAAACTCATTAAATGGCTTGCTTGAATTCATTTCACTTATGTAAAATTCACTTTATTGGGCTGTAGAGATGGCTCCGTGGTTAAGAGCATTGCCTGCTCTTCCAAAGGTCCTGAGTTCAATTCCCAGCAACCACATGGTGGCTGACAACCATCTGTAATGAGGTCTGGTGCCCTCTTCTGGCCTGCAGGCATACACACAGATAGAATACTGTATACACAATAAATAAATAAATAATTTTAAAAATTCACTTTACTTCCTCCACATATTCATGTACACAAACCCACATGCAGACATACATATACATACTTTAAAAATTATTGTGCTTTTTTTTTTTTTTTTGTATTTTTCGAGACAGGGTTTCTTCGTAGCTTTTGGTTTCTGTCCTGGAACTAGCTCTGTAGACCAGGCTGGCCTCGAACTCACAGAGATCCACCTGCCTCTGACTCCCGAGTGCTGGGATTAAAGGCGTGCGCCACCACCGCCTGGCGTTATTGTGCTTTTTGTATGTATGTTCACTACTGGGGACTGAACCCAGGGTCTAGGACGTGTAAGCATGCATTCTACCAGTAAGTAGCACTAACCTTCTTTTAACTTGAATGAAAAAAAAATCACTACAAACTTACTATATGTTTCTAACTTAAATAGATTATACTCACTTGTTTATTTGTGAAGGAAGGGATGCCTGTGTGCCATCACACACATGTGGAGGTCAGGCCGACTTACAGGAGTCAGTTCTCTCCTACTGTATGGGTCCTGGGTACAGAACTCAGGTTGTCAGACTTGGTAGTAAGTATCTTTGCCCACTGAACCATCTTATCAACCCTGTTGGCAACTTTTCTTTATATGGAAATTAAAAAGAACTAGCAATATGATGTCAATTCTCTCAGAGTAACTTTATGACTGCTCAAGTGTGCCATAACAATTTGTCATAGGGCCCTGCAAGGTAGGCATTTTTATCTCCATTTCTATACAGTAAAACTGGCGCTGAGGGGCTTAATGGAAGGGATAAAGGGGCTCCAGGATGTTCTGGAATCACGTACTTGAGGTTAAACATGCTGATTGGAGAGCAGATTCTTAAATCCTCCTGCACATCTCTCTCAGGGCTCTCCCTTGCTCAGGGTGAAGAGGACTGTGAGGAGGCTCGATGTGCAGCTGCTTTCTTTGCGGAAGTCTCACAGCACACGGACGGGTGAGTAGCAGTCCACTGGCCAGGCCACCTCGGTGTCCTGAGGAGTTGGGCGGTGTACCTTACAGCCATTTTCTTGCCTTAAAATCAGATAAGGCCTTTTATAGTTTTGTAATTTTGTTTACAGGATGGGCATATAGTAAAGAAAATTTACTTCAATTTTTACCTTGAAATAAAAGGTAGTAGATTAGAAAACTCTTTGTTGTATTTGAGACTCAAATGAGGTTGACAGCATTTTGACTTTTAAGCTGTTTTTGGAACACAGGCATGAATGAAAACAGTTTAACAATTGGCAGTATTGAGAACTTAAATAAAAGTAGAAAATAAGTTTCCTTGTTACAGTGACTATTCAGTGAATGTACTTGTTAACAGTTAAAAGCTTCTGATCTCTTTGTTAGTAACTGCATGTATGTTTTAATGTGCATATACTGTACCATACATAATTTATACAGCCAATTCAAGTTTACAAGAAAATTGAACAGAGAATAAAAGTGTTCACTTTTATCCCCCTACACACGTTGTATATTATGGTAGTAGATTTGTTAGAGTTGATAACGTTGACATGTTGTTATTAATTATAGTCCATAATTTACACTAGGACTCACTTTGAGTTGCGCTCTTGCAGTATTATATGCAGTGTTTTCATTTCCCTACAGATCATCAGCCAGTTTTAATATAGGCACTAGGAATGTATTCATTTTTTAGCAAATCCAGTCACTTTTATTTATTTGTTTGTTTTTACGTATGTTGGTATTTTGCCTGCATGTACCTCTATGTAAGGGTGTCAGATCCTGGAGTTACAGGCAGCTGTTAGCTGCCATGTGGGTGCTGGGAATTGAACCCGAGCCTTCTGGAAGAACAGCCATCTCTCCAGTCCCCTCCAGTCACTTTTTACTAAGTTTTTCTTCCCTTTATTTCATAGCAAGGGTGGATTTTTTTTTTCTTTTATCACTGTAGCAATGGGGAAAAATGATAAGTTCACATTGCAGGGAGATACTCTAAAATTCTTTTTTTAAATTGACTTTCTCTTTTTGTTTTGCTTTGTTTTTAAGGAAGAGGGAGTACTGATATGCTAAGAGTCTCTGGTAGAGTTGGGGCTTAGCCCTTGGCAGTGTTTGCCTAATGTCCACTGAGCTCCAGTTCCAATGCCTAGCAATCCAAATAGAAAAGGGAGGGAAGTAAAAACCCTACCCAGTGAATATTATAAAAGTTGATGTTTCCTTTAGAAAATGTATACACCAAGGCTATTAGCTAACTAAAAACTTTTTAAAAAATGCTTAGAAATTAAGTCACTAAATGTGATTTTAACAGGGCTTGTGTTTGCAATCTAATAAACGCTCTGTTCTGGGTTTATTGTGTTTTAGCTTCATTGGCTGTGGCCCTTCTGGCTGGTCCCTGTGGGTCTCACTGAAGAATGGCATCACCCCTTATCTTCGCTGTGCCGCATTGTTTTTCCACTACTTACTTGGGGTGACTCCCCCTGAAGAACTGTTTGCCAGTAAGTGGGAGACTGAACTCAGCAGGGAATGGAGGCTCGTCCTCACTGTTCTTGTCTTCAGCATAAGACAGACAGGGCAAGTGAAACCGCTTCTGCTTCTGCCCAGGTGTAGTTAAAAGTGAGGCCAAAATCCAGCGGAGTTTCATATTCTGCAAATCCTGCTCTCAGTTCCCGTGTGTATAAAGTCCTTGAGCTATTAAAATACCTGCGTGTGCCGGTCAATAGTGGCACATACCTTTAATCCCAGCACTTGGGAGGCAGAGGCAGGAGGATCTCTGTGAGTTTGAGGCCAGCCTGGTCTACAGTGTGAGTTCCAGGACAGCCAGGGCTACACAGAGAAACCCTGTCTCAAAAATTAAAAGCAAAACAGACAAACAAACAAACTTGCATTCAAAGAGCTAGAGAGAGCATGCAGCGGTGACACTGACAGCTGTGCAAGCTTGATGCCAAGTTCAGTCCTCGCATTTCAAATTAGAAGCCGAATACAGTACTGCATGATTGCTCAGCAGGTAAAGGACTTGTTGCCAAGCCTGACTGCATAAATTCAATCCCTGGAACCCACTTAGTAGAAGGAGACAAGCTCCTATGACTTGTCCCAGACCCCCAATATGCACACTGTGGTATAGTCATGCCTCTCCCCACCCCCACCAGTAAATAAATAAATGTAAAAAGTAAATAAGATTTTAAGTCGGGTGATGGTGGCGCACGCCTTTCATCCTAGCACTCGGGAAGCAGAGGCAGGTGGATCTCTGAGTTGGAGGCCAGCCTGGTCTACAAAACGTATTTCAGGACAGGCTCCAAAGCTACAGAGAAATCCTGTCTCAAAAAACTATATATATAATAAGATTCTAAAATCTAAGTGCAATGGCAAGTAGTTGTAATCCCCACACTTCTATGAAGAAACAGAAGCAGAGACAGGAGAATCACCCTGAAGCCTACAGGCCAGCTGTCTTGGAATTCCCAGTATAGCAGCAGAAACAAGACAGATCTGGCTTTAACAAAGTAGAAAGAACGACTCCTGAAAGTTGTCCTCTGGCCTCCACATGACACCAAGGATGATGAGCATGCACAGGCATGTGCACAGCTTTAAAAAATAAAATACCCGTGTGCATGCTGGATGTGGTGGCACATACTTTAATCCCAGCATCGGAAAGGCAGAGACAGTCAGATTTCCGTTAGCTTGAAGGCAGCCTGGTTCCAGGCCTTCTAAAGCTATCAAGTGAGATATCAAAATAAAATACCCGTATAGAGAATATAACTGTAGGATATACAGGAAATTAAAGATATTTGTTACCTCTATGGAAAAGAACTGTTTGTCCAGGCAGGAAGATGACTTAATTTTTTTGTTTGTTTTTGTTTTTCGAGACAGGGTTTCTCTGTGGTTTTGGAGCCTGTCCTGGCACTAGCTCTTGTAGACCAGGCTGGCCTCGAACTCACAGAGATCTGCCTGCCTCGGAGTGCTGGGATTAAAGGCGTGCGCCACCACCGCCCGGCAAGATGACTTAATTATATACCTTTATTTGGGTTGGTTTTGGAACATATAGCTATATTTAAGAATTAAAATAGTGATCCAAAAGGCCTTCTGAGCAACAGAAACCATAAATGTTTACTAACAGCATCGCTTTCTTTTTCTTTTACCCATTTTTAAATCTAAATGAAGTAGAGGAAGTGTCCTTCCTGTGTTCTATTGGTAAGAGCCAGAATTTTAAAAGTGACCAGAATTGTCTAGAGAATCATTTTATCCTCAGAGAGTACAACGATGAGGTCGTCTTTACTAGATGTTAGCCTCTTTATCTTGAACTCTTCAATAAGTGAGATGTGATCAAACTTTGTCAAGGTTCTCTAAAAAATAAGATGTTTCTTTACAAGTAATTTCCAATACAGCTCTCTTGCTTGCATGCACAGAAAGTTCATGTTCTTATCTATAATAAAAATAAAGCATTTTCTTTCATTAGGAATGGAGCCAAATATAAAGAAGCATAAATATGCATGATATAATACCAAATGGGCTGAGTCCTGCAAAGAAAAGTAAAACTGATCATGGCCTGAGTCAGAACCCTTGGACATAGGTAGTCAAAGGAAGACATTTCTCCAAGGAGACATTAAACAAAGAACTGCATATGGGATTGAGCTGGATAGTTGAAGAATGTTTCTATTTAAGAGAAAATCAATGCAGAGGTATTGCTTGGCAGAGTAAGAGAACGGTGAAGATATGATTCTGGCTGGAAGCCTAATCCAGGAGGTAGCCAGATGTATGCATCTCACCTGGGTCTTTAAGCCACAATAAAGGCTTTGTGGGCTAGGGTATAGCTCAGTGGTATTACCCGCCCCCAGTCCCTGGGTTCTATCCTCAGCACACCCCCAGAAGAAAAGACTTTGTATTGTATACTGAATATAGTGGTTAGTCAAAGAAGCCGTCTGATGGGGAGACTCAGATTCTGCTGTAAAAGAATCACTGTGGCTCATTTGCCACCCACTGTTTTGCACAGCAGATGATAGGAATGAGCGTGAACAGGAGGGGCTCTGTTAACACTGAGTAGATCAAAATAGTGTGCTTATTAAATATATCTTGTTATTTTCTTGCAGATTCTGCTGAAGGAGAGTACACTGCACTCTGTAGCTATCTATCTTTGCCCACAAATTTATTCCTGCTTTTCCAGGAATATTGGGATACCATAAGGCCTTTACTGCAGAGGTACTGTGCGGGGGAAATGTGACTGATGGGTTTCTATCTAGTTTGAAAATTTTTTATGCTTATTTTTCTTTTTGATTGGTTATTGAGACAGGGTTTTGCTGTGTTTACCTGAAACTCTATTCTTCCTCAGATTCATGTAGGACTTAATTCGAAATGTTTGTTTTATGTTTTTGAGACGGGGTCTAATATAGCCCCAGGCTGGTCTAAGACTCACTACTTAGCTGCGGATGGCCTTGAATTCCTGATTCTCTTGCATCTGTCTTCCAAATGCTGGAGTTACAAATGGGGACCATAGTGCCTTTCTTTTCATTTGAAAACATTTTAAATTACAATTATTTACCACACTTTTCAATTGATTAGCATTGACTGCAGAGGTAGAAACGTACAGACATTCTAATCCATATGCTTAAGGAGTAGGCATAATTAAGAATCAAAAGACCTTGGGCTTGGTGCACCTGAGAGGAAGGCAGGCAGATCTCTGTAAGTGTCTAACCATCATCCAAGGCTACATAGTGAGACCCCATCTCAAAAAAAAAAAAAAAAAAAATCAAAGAAGTTCAAATTTGAGCTTGTGATATTACGCAATTTGTAGAGTTCTGGCCTAGCATGCTCAAAGTCCTCTCTATTCAGCCCCATGCACCATTTAAACCAGGCATGGTGGCACAGCACACCCCAGGATTTTAGAAGTGAGGCAAGAGATTTAGAAGTTCAGGGTCATCTTTGATCATGTAACAAGTTCAAATCCAGTTCTTAGTATATGAGACTTTGTCTAATAGAAAAAGAAGAATCCAGACTGTGTACAAAACTATGAGTGTGGTAGGGCACATGTCAGAAGCCTGGCCGGGAGATAGACAGGCATCTGTAGAGCAGAGACTAGCATTGAAATGTTCTAGAGACGTGTGTGTTTCTTGTTCACGGCACCTCACAGCCTCCGCTCTTCCTGCCCCTGCACAGGTTTTTTATTTTTTTATTTTTGGTTTTTCGAGACAGGGTTTCTCTGTGGCTTTGGAGCCTGTCCTGGAACTAGCTCTTGTAGACCAGGCTGGTCTCGAACTCACAGAGATCCGCCTGCCTCTGCCTCCGAGTGCTGGGATTAAAGGCGTGCGCCACCACCGCCCGGCTCCCTGCACAGTTTTAGAGTCAGTTTCACCATACTACTCTTAACTCTCCTTCTTCCATGATTTTCTTTATCCTCCTTACTTTTTCTTTCTTGTGCCTGGGTGGGAACCTGGTGACCACTAGCCTGTTCCTGCTATTAGTCTCTTGGCCTAGGTTCTCTGGGTCAGTTTTTTTTGTTTGTTTGTTTGTTTGTTTGCTTCCTAATTTCTTAATTTCTTTTTGTTGCTGTTTAGTTTTTTGTTTGTTTGTTTGTTTGTTTTATTTTTTTGAGACAGGGTTTCTCTGTAGCTTTGGAGCCTGTCCTGGAACTCACTCTGTACACCAGGCTAGCCTCAAACTCAGATTCGCCTGCCTGTGCCTCCTGAGTGCCGGGATTAAAAGTGTGTGCCACCACCACCCAGCTAAAATGAATTGTTTTTAGGATTAATGTCTCTCTCTTTTTTTTTTTAGTACAATTATAAAAGATTTTACAAATTTTACTTTTATATTTCTGGAAGTAAGTTTTAGATGTGCTATTTTACTTTAAATATTAAAAATTAGTGAAAAAAGAAAGTTCCTACCATTTGTGCTATCCCTGATCCTGCTTGCCTGGTGTCTGCCCTGCTCCATAGAGCGCTGCAGGCAGCATCTCCTTGGCTTCATGTCACTCGGCTTCAGTGTAGATTTAGCCAGTGGGAGGCAGCAGCAGGGCTGGACATAAGTTAGGAGGTAGCCCTGCTACCTCTCGGCCTCGGGGGCCTGCTGTGATCCCTACCCAGGGCGACAGTGATGCCCTTTTCCTCCCACTCTCCCAGCATTGGGGCAGTATTAAGGTTTTCTTGCCTTTTTGTGTCAAGGTTGCCATATACCCTTATCCTCCACCTCTTCTCTAGTCTGAGGATCGAGTCTAGGACCCTGAGCCAGGCAAGTGCACCACACCGAGCTGTCATGTGTATGGCTACTTCTGGTATTAAATTCTCTCATTTAAATTTGTAGATGGTTTCTGGTCTCAAGACTGTAATTGAGAAAACCCTTGGAAAGGAATTTAGAAGGGGTCTGAGAGTCAGGACGGGAGAGGAAGGGATAAGATGTAAACTCATGAAGATACAGAATTGGCGAGAACGGCTGATGCACATAGCAGAGAGCCTGACCGTCTGTGGTGCTCCTGTGTCGACCCTCCTTCACTCTCGGCTTCACTTGCAGGTGGTGTGCGGATCCTGCCGTGCTCAGCTCTCTGAAGCAGAAGAGTGCTGTGGTCAGGTTGGTTTTCCTGTCTCAGCCTTTTTCCCGCATCCTGCTGTGTTTCCAAAGTGCTTGGTCGGTTTGTCTTCATTTCTGGTCTGTCCCCTTTTTCTTAGCTCATTGTTTCCTGTGTATCTGTTGGTCTTTGCCAGACATCAGGTTCTTGCTGCACAATTTTTCTTGGAATGGCTATCCTTTCCTTCTGAATTGTCAGAACCACCAGCTCCACTGGAAAAATCTTCCTTAAACTGGTACCTGCCTGTCAAAAGGCGAAGGAGCTTGTGTCTGGGAGCTACTAGTACACTAAAGATAGTGTTCATATAAACTAGCCCCCCCCCCCCAGAATAAAGATGTAAATACAGCTGGCTAGACTTCCCCCTTCTTAGAAGCTAACCTCACAAATAAAAAAAGAGAAGCTTTTTTTGTGTTTATTTTTTCAAGGCAGTTTCTCTGTGTAGCCCTGGCTGTCCTGGAATTCATTCTGTAAGGCTGCTGTTAAGAGATTTGTCTGCTTCTGCCTCCTGAGTGCTGGGATTAAAGGCACGTGCCACCACTGTCAAGAGAGATGCTTTTTTAAAAATAGACTTTATTACTGTGTTATGTGTACGTTTTGTGTTTCTGTGCTTCATGTGCACGCCTGGTGCCTGTGGATGCCAGAAGAGGGTGTTTTATCTCCCGGAATTGGTGTTAGACATGGTTATGAACCACCATGTGGGTGCTGGCAATTGAACCCAGGCCCTTGGGAAGAGGAGCCACTGCTCTTAACCTCTGAGCCATCTCTCCGACCTGAGAAGCTAGACATGATCTCATGTACCTATGATACAAGTACTCAGGAGGCTGAAGCAGAAAGGTTAGCTAGAGTTGCAGGCCAGACTGGGCTGCTTAATGAGATGAGACTGTCTCCAAACGAACAAGAAGCTTGTCGGCCCTCTTCTCTTCTGAGTTATGGTTCTAAGTCTACATTTCCCTCAGAGGCAAGTCCACCTGTGCCTGCCTCATGAGTGGTGGGATTAAAGGCATGTACCACCATCGTAAGGCCAGTTTTTTTTTCTTTATTTATGCCTTTTAAATACCTTTCTACAGGAGGGTACTGAAATATTCTGAGAAATTTAAGAGATAACACATGCATACTGTCTTTGATTATGAGTAACACTCAGTCTTAGTTATATACATAAAACTAAAACTATTATAGCATAAAATATGATATATAGAATATACCATTAATTCCTTAAAGAGATATAAAGAGGAAACAGGGCATGATGATTTGTGCCTGCAATCCTAACACTTGGGGCATGGACTTAGGATTGCCATTTATTTGAGGCCAGTCTGGGCTACACATTGACTTTGAGATCAACCTGGGCTACAGAATGGGACCTCATCTTTAGAAAAATAAAAGAAAAAGGAAACTTGAAGAAGAAAAGATTCTTTTGTTTGTTTGCCTTGTGTTTTTGAGACTATGTCTTACTGTGTAACCCCAGCTAGCTCAGAACTGTTACAAAGCACATAGCCCAAGTTGGCCTCAAACTGAAAAATCTGCTTGCCTCAGTTTCCTTTGTGCTGGAGTTATAAGCATGTGCCCATGCCTGATGAAAAAAGATTCCTAATGAGGCAGGCTTAGTCTTAGAGAAGGGTTATTTGTAGCTGAATCAATAATTGTAAAATGAGGGGCTGGAGAGATGCTCTTCCAGAGGTCCTAGGTTTGATTCCCAGCACCCTCATGACAGCTCACAAGCATCTATGATTCTAGCTCCAGCTTCTTATCAAGTTGGGCAGGAGGCATGGACGTGGTATACAGACATATATGCAGGCAAAACACCTGTATACAGAAATAAATATTTTCTAGATATTCTAAAACATTATAAAATGTAAATTGATTGATATCTAGGAAGAGAATCCCATATTACTCAGATGACCTTCCTTAGGCTTACATATTACCATCTCTAACATAAAGTGAATAGATGCTAACATTTGCCACAATGTATCAAGTGCTAATCATGTTCTGCTTAACTTCAGTATCTCATTTAGTCTCCAAGAGTTTTGGGAGTTTCCTTCACACACACACACACACAGTTGCCTAGATCAGGCTGGCTTTGAACTCAGAAACCTGAGTGCTGGGAATTAAAGGTGTGCAACACTATGCTCAGCTCCTTGATACTTATATTTAACATCTCTTAAAACCGTTGAGTCTTAACATAGTTCATTTAATGTTTCTCTTTTTATTTTTTCTGAAAATATTAAATTGATGATATGCCCATGGTTAGAATATATTTAACCCTAGTTTGCCCCCCTTTTTTTTATTTTTCGAGACAGGGTTTCTCTGTCGCTTTGGAGCCTGTCCAGGAACTCGCTCTGTAGACTAGGCTGCCCTTACATATATATATACCTTCGTATTCCTTCCCATTATTTGTTTTTGAGGTTTTGTTGTTGTTGTTATGATGTTGTTCTGTTCTGTTCTGTTTTGTTTTCAAGACAGGGTTTCTCTGTGTGGTCATGACGGTCCTGGAACTCACTCTGTAGGCCAGGCTGGCCTCAAAGTCATAGAGCTCTGCCTGCCTCTGCCTCCCAAATGCTGGGATTAAAGGTGCCCTACTCAACCCTAGTTTTTATTTTTTTTAATTTAATTTAATTTTTTAAAATATTTATTTATTTATTATGTATACAATATTCTGTCTGTGTGTATGCCTGCAGGCCAGAAGAGGGCACCAGACCCCATTACAGATGGTTGTGAGCCACCATGTGGTTGCTGGGAATTGAACTCATGACCTTTGGAAGAGCAGGCAATGCTCTTAACCACTGAGCTATCTCTCCAGCCCTCAACCCTAGTTTTTAGATAAGAAAATGCACCATGCCCAGAAGCATTCTTCAGCTTTTTCTGTTCAGTTATATATAAAACTGCCTTTTAAACTATGCTTCTAGGTACCCAAGAAAAAGAAATAGTTTGATAGAGCTTCCCGATGACTACAGCTGTCTTCTAAATCAAGCTTCTCATTTTAGGTAAGAAAAAGGGTGTGTGTGAGAGAGAGAGAGAAGGGGAGGGAGGGAGGGAAGGAGGGAGGGAGGGAGGGAAGGAACACACAATATCTTTTCCTGAACTTTCATTTGGTGTACCTTGTAACCAGTGAACTTAACTTTGAAAAAGTAACCAATGAGGGGCTAGTGAGGTGGTCCAGCTGGTAAGGGTGCTTGCCACCAAGGCCGTTGACTCCTGTTTGGTCTTTGAGACACACATGAAGGAGAGAATGGTCTCCTGAAAGTTGTCTTCAGAGCCCCACACACGTGCACGAATATTTCTGGTGTAGTTTACTTATTTGAGAAGTGGCTGCTATGTTCCCACTGTGCTAGATTTCTTTCAAAGCACACTAGAGCATACAGTCCATCATTCATAGTGTTGCGCGACTATTGCAGATTGTGCTACTTAACTACTTCTCTAGTAGCCAAACTTTTCACTACTCCAAAAGATCTGTAACCACTAATTCATTTATCTCCCTGGTTTTGTATTTTCTCCTCCCTGATAGTCTGCTTTCTGTTTCTATGAATTTAACTGTGAGGATATATCTCATAGAAAAAGAATCTATAATTTCTTTCATTTTTTTCATGATTTATCCAAGTTGTAGCTGTATTGAGACTCTTGTTTCAATCTTGAAGAAATATCATAGAGATTCTGGTTGAACTGTTATAGCATAATGTTTTGGGATTTTTTTTGTTTTTGTTTTTGTTTTTTTAGTTTTTCGAGACAGGGTTTCTCTGTAGCTTTGAAGCCTGTCCAGGCACTAGCTCTTGTAGACCAGGCTGGCCTCGAACTCACAGAGATCCGCCTACCTCTGCCTCCCGAGTGCTGGGATTAAAGGTGTATGCTACCACCGTCCAGCTTATAGCATAATGTTTTAAACATTGCACACTTCCAAAGCCATATTACCCGAACATTGTAAACATACTTGACTAAACCATTACAGCAGCAGCTATTAATTGTTTACATCAGATGAAGGCTGGATCTATGAATGAATCTCAGCATAAATATGAGGCTTCAAGCAAATTTCTAGAAGACTATATATTTAGTAGTGCATTTTCTTGCTATGGTTTTTGTTTGTTTGTGGTGCTGGAGCTTAAGCCAAAGGCCTTACACATGCTAAACATATACTCTGTCATTAAGCTGGATCCAAGATCAATCAAGTTTTTTTTACAATTTTGCGTCTTAATCATTACCTCCTACTATTTATTCTTTGAAAATTTCATGCATCTTACCGGGCAGTGGTGGCACACACCTTTAATCTCAGCACTCAGGAGGCAGAAGCAGACAAATCTATATGAATTTGAGGCCAGTCTGGTCTACAGAATAAATTTTAGGATATCCAGGGCTATACAGAGAAACTCTGTCTCAGGGGAGTGGGGGATATGTTCTAAGGAAAAGAAACCTTCCTGCATATGTACAATGTGTTCTGGTCATATCTACTCTCCTCACCATCCTCCTCCAGTTCCCTCCAGGTCTCTGAACACATCTCCCTCTAAACCTGACATCCTCTCATTTTATAGCCAATGGAGTCCTATTAATGCTGTCCACAGGGATATAGATGTGGGGGATAACCCACTTGCTAGTGACTCCACCCTAGCCTACCAAGAAAAGTGACCCCTCACTGCTGTAGCCATCAGCTTCCAATAGACTCCATGCTGGATGTGATATTCTTTTTAGATTTTTTTAAATTATGTGTATGAGTCTTTTGCCTGCATGTATATATGTTCACCATATTTGCCTGGTGCCCATGGATACCCAGAAATCGCACTGGATCCCTGGAACTGGGGTCACAGATGGTTGTGAGCCACCATGTGGGTGCTAGAAATTGAACCTAGGTCCTTTCTGCAAGAGCAATAAATGCTTTTAACCACTGAGCCAACTTTCCAGCCCCATGCCGGAATTTTTAACTGGCTTGGTCTTGTGCAGTAACGGCAGCTACTTACATATACAACAACCATGCCAAGATCAGAAGACAGCATTTCACAGCACTTGTTGGGGAAGGATGTATACATGCCCTATCTGTGACTGGGCAATCTCGGTTGCTTATTCTCACCACATTGAACAGAAGAGTCTGTGTATTAGCAGCTGCCCACTCTAATAAGAAACTTCTCTGACCAAGATAAGGAGCAGTACAAGTCTGGCATTGGAGAGTCCCAATCATAGGCAGCTTGTTTGTCCCAGCCGCCCAGCTAGCTTAGATCCAAAATAATCACACAGAAACTGTATTAATTAAAACACTGCTTGACTAGCCCATTAGCTCTAGCTTCTTATTGACTAACTCTTACATATTAATTTAACCTATTTCTAGTAATCTGTATATCACCATGAGGTTGTGACCTACCAGAAAAATTTCAGCACGTTTATCTCCGCTGGTGGCTCCTTGGTGTCCCTCTCTCCACTTTCTTCCTCCCAGCATTCAGTCCAGTTTTCCCTGCCTACCTAAGTTCTGCCCTATCAACAGGCCAAGGCAGTTTCTTTGTTCAAACATACAGAGGGAAATTCCAGATTACAAGCTTAAGCATGGGACACTTGGACCCACCACTTGGTACAGGAGGCCTTACAGGTTGAACTTCTAGAGGAAAATTCCTGGGCAGTCTGTAGCATAGGCTAGCTTCGTTCAGGGAGCTGTACTTACTGGTCACCTGGAACAGGAATCCCTGGTGGCATAGACCTGTTCTAAGTGGCGCTAAATCAAGATTTTTTTTAAGCGTTATTATTTAAGTTTATGTTTATTTATGTTTATGTGTGTGTGTTTATGCCACGTGTATGCAAATGTCCATGGAGGCCAGAAGAGGGCCTCAGATCCTCTGGAGTTGTAATTACAAGCAATTGTGAGGTAGGTTAAGATGAATTCAGGTTCTCTGGAACCAGCTCCCCAGCTCCTTAAGTCCCCTTCAAATAATATAAATGAGCAGTCATCTAATTAAATATCCTTGTTCTTTGAGTAGCTTTCTTTGCTGAGTAGAATGGTGGAAACATGCTTTACTGCTAAGTAGATTATGATCTGTGTCATGTTTTTCCAACACACTGAATGTGTCCTCCCTTTTGAGGTGTCCACGGTCTGCAGATGATGAGCGAAAGCATCCTGCCCTCTGTCTTTTCTGTGGAGCCATCCTGTGTTCTCAGAACATTTGTTGCCAAGAAATAGTGAATGGGGAAGAGGTTGGAGCTTGCATTTTTCATGCACTTCATTGTGGCGCTGGAGTCTGCATTTTCCTAAAGTGAGTATAGAGTCATTTGGAAGCTTGTTAAGAATCCTAGTTGAAAATGTATATCCAGTCAGTATGCCAGTAGAATAAGTAGTCCTTAAAAAAAAATAGGATGCTGTTTACATTTCTTTCATTGTTTAATGTTTAAAAAAAATCTTAAATGGTATCTATTCTGCAGTACTGGGTAATATTCAGATGTAATGGAAAAGCTTGAAGTCTTAAAATTTACACTTATAAAATATGTATAGATTATTAACTTTAAGCTCTTTTTATCTACCTATCTACCTACCTGCCTACCTAGGTTTTCCAAGACAGAGTTTCTCTAATCACCTCTAGCTATTCTGGAACTGGCTTTGTAGGCCAGGCTGGCCTTGAACTCTTGTAGATCTGCCTGCCTCGTTCTCCTGAGTGCAGACATGAACCATGAAATCCAGTCATTTATTTATTTTTGAGACAGATTCTTGATCTATAGACAAGGTTGGCCTTGAACTCACAGAGATCCTACCTCCCGAGTGCCTCTTGGCACAAGATTGTCTTTTGAATTTCTTCTATTTTCTTCTTTGAACAGGGGATTCAGAGTAGGACAATAGTGGTAAATGTTTGTGAAAGAATACAGATTGCCTGAGAGAAATACAATTCAGAGTTTTCTGTGCTTTTTCTTGCCATTCTCTGGGTAAAACCCAAAATCTTACTAACGGTGACATACATTATTACTGCTTAAAGACAACCTTTGAAACAAGAGAAAAGAATGGCTAGAAGCCAAACTCAAACACCTGCTTGCTTCTATAGTGCCATAAGTCTACCTGTCCCATCTATGTATTTACCTATCCCAACTTGTTAATTTTATAATTTACCTTTGTAATATTCCCAAATGCCCTAAAAGTACTATTGGAGACTGCTGAACCAGAAAATTTTGTAACACTTGCCTGGTTGACAGTACTAGACAGGAGAATGTCTGTCCTTTTGCATAGGTGGGAAGTTAGAAAGAGGCCGAAACTGCTTCAGCCACAGTTCTCCGGGCTCCTGTGGCTCACTTAGGACAGCCTCCTTTTTCAGAATCCAGACAGAATTACTGATTTCCCATTTCTCTAGATCCATGGATCCTTTCCTGTTGCATCAAGAAAAACAGCAGTGTTTTTTTTCCTTTACTCAGACAAAACACAGTTTAGTGTCAGGTGGTGCTCGCCTCTAATCCCAGCACACAGGAGGCAGAGGCAGGGGCATCTCTGAGTTCAAGCTGCAGAGTGAGTTCCAGAGCAGCCAAGGTGACAGAGAAACCTTGTCTCAAAAAACAAACCCCACAGTTTATTGTATTCATTCATGACTGTATTGCCTTCATATTGGATATTTAATGGATATTGGTCATGTCTTTTCTTTAGCTTGCCTTTGATTCAGTCTGTCATCTGCACATATGTCTCTAACAGGGTTTCCTTCCTTTCTCTTGTCCTTCAGAATCAGAGAATGCAGAGTGGTCCTTGTGGAAGGGAAAGCCAGAGGCTGTGCTTATCCAGCCCCTTACTTGGATGAATATGGAGAAACAGACCCTGGGCTAAAGTAAGATTTTAATTAGTTGTCTTACATTTTATTCACTTTCTTAGATGTGTACAGTAATAGTGCTTTAAACATAAAAACCTGGAACTGGAGTTGCTGGGGTTGTGAGTTCCATCTGGGTGCTGGGAACTGACTAGGTCCTCTGACTGGCCCTGTTGTTTGAGACAGGTCCACTGATTATAGTGGCAGGAACTTTCCTGTCTTCACCTCCTCAGCACTGGATTATGGTCATATATTATCACACTTAGCTTTTGATGTGGGTGCTGGGCCTTGAACTCAGGTCCTCATGTTTGTACAGCAAGCACTTTACTGACAGAGCTAACTCCCAAACCTTTTTTTTTTTTTTTTTTGGATTTTTCGAGACAGGGTTTCTCCGTAGTTTTTGGTTCCTGTCCTGGAACTAGCTCTTGTAGACCAGGCTGGCCTCGAACTCACAGAGATCCGCCTGCCTCTGCCTCCCGAGTGCTGGAATTAAAGGCGTGCGCCACCACCGCCCGGCACTCCCAAACCTTTTTATTATTATTTTAAAATATCATTCAAAATAAATGAATAGATTCACTGCATAGTGCTTGGGATCTGTTGGATCATATAGAGATTTGTTTTTATTGAAACAGCATTTTACCTGTCTTTAAGTTTAAGGGAGAAGATACTGAGTAGTAAAGTAGTTAACACTGGTCAGGATGGAAGTCACCTTGAATGCCAGTCCACAGGAGGCAAGGGCAGGTGGGTTTCTGTGAATTTAAGGTTAGGTGGACCTGAACAGTGAGTTCCAGTCCAGCCAGGGCTACAAAGTGAGAACCTATCTCAAAAGCAAAGCCAACAGCAGCAACACCAAAGTAGTTAATAATCAAGGGTAATGTTGAGTTGTTCTAGAAAAGTAGAAAAATAGGGAATTTTTAAATTAATGATAAATGGTGTAAAACTTGACACGGACACTTGGTATTCCAGGGGCTGAGATGCCTGCTCCCTCCATCACAGCACTCAACAGACCTCAAGCTTTTAGATTAGCAGGCACAGTGTTGCAAACTGTGTCATCCTAGAATAGAACTGTAGTTACTTAAATATTTGTTAAGGCAGGTATAATGACGCACACCTGGGTATAGTCCCGGCTACTTGGGAATGTAAAGCTGAAAGGTTGTTGGAGTAAAACAGTTCCAACCCAGCCTGGACACCGTAACAAGACTCCTCTTCCCCAAGTGAAAAAATAAGCAAAGAAGAAATTGTTCGCTAAGCATTAGTAAGATGAATCATAGGGATGGTTATAAAACAAAATAGTTCTGAGCAGCTTTTTTAAATTAAGGGCTTCTTGTACGTAATCTCCTATGCAAAACCATAAATTGAAACTGGGTAAATTTTGAGGACAGAGAGAAAGCTATTAGAATCACCAGACAAGACTAGAGCTATTTCAAATTAGACACCTTCAAAGACACTAAGTAAATTGTTTTAATGAGGTCTCATTGTGTTTATCATATACGTGACCTAATTTCTAAATAGTCAAGGACTAATTTTCTGCTTCCTTAACTCAGTGATGTGCCCAGTTCTTAGAGTCAGTGGTGAAGAGTTGCCCCATGACTAAGCCCTGTCCTGGTGCCTACAACTGCAGGAATATCTTGGGCGTATATATGACTTAAGACTATAGAGATATCACGGTTATTTGATTCAAGCTTTGACTTTTTTTTTCCTGAAGGAGGGGAAACCCACTTCACTTATCTCGGGAGCGATATCGGAAGCTGCATCTGGTCTGGCAACAGCACTGCATTATTGAGGAGATTGCTCGGAGCCAGGAGACTAATCAGATGCTATTTGGATTCAACTGGCAGTTACTCTGAGCTCCAACTCTGCCTCAAGACAATCATGAGTGACATCAATAATAAAGACTGATTTAAAATTCCAGAGAACTTTCTGTGGATGGGAAAGTATTGGAGGGTCTTTTGATCCATGTCCAGATTCACATACATTAATAAAATATTCCTTAATGGGATATTGCTTTCAGTTAGTAAACATAAGCTTCAAGGAAAAACAGGACATAGATTAAAAACAGACATAGTTTTGTGTTCTAGAACACTAAAGAAATGCTTGTTCACCCAAGTGTCTATTTCTGCAAATATTTCCAGAAAACTCATTCCCTTTCATAACTGTCCTATTTCATTTCTTATCACCCACCTGGTAAATGAAATCACATCAAGCATTTGTGGACATTTTCACATCTGGTTGACGTCTCTGCACTTTCGTACTTGCATTAGATCTCTACAAGATGCTGGTCACCTGTGCTGGTCTAAAGAGGAACTGCAGAACTATGCAGTAGCTTTCAACTGAAAAAGGTTTTAAAAATCTAGATTTCTTATTTAAGGAAATACCCTTACTGTACCACCCACGGCTTGAGCCAGCAGCAGATCTAAGTCTCTCTGTGAACTGGGAGTGGTGCGAGTCTGGAAAGCGTCCTTCCAGGTAGACCTCGAGAAGAGTCGGGATGATGTGCTCACTGTGCATCCCCTGTACAGAAGCCTCTTGTCCTCACCTGGTCTAGACAGCTCGGTGGAGTCACAGGTGGTCCGTTCCGCTTTCCAAAAGCAGGTTTCTGCAGCGAGATCATGAGCGCTCACGTGAGTGGCCCCATCCTATTTGACTCTCAGAAAACTTTTGGTGTTCTGAAGCAAACTCTCTGTAGAATAAGAATCAGAAATGCCCTGTGAAGGGTCATTTAAGCTGAAATTTGAGCAGCCATATTTAAGCCAGTTCTGCGGCCTTCTATGGCTTCTAAGAAACAGATCTTAGATTTGATGCCTGTCTATGTGAAACCTTTTCATAAACTATGAAACTTATAAACTATGGTTTATGACTGATAAAAATAGCCAAAAAAAAAAAAAAGGCCTTGTAATCATCAGGCCTGTGTCCTATTATAACCTGCTATAGTTGAGCCATCTCGCTTAAAACCGATACAGCTCTCGAGTCTGTGCAGAACTTCTTGGTTCTTGGTTTTAACCTTTTATATCAAGAAGTTGTGAATTAACTGCAGAGAGAAGAGCAGCTGATAACTTGTTTTAGCTTCTGTGATATTGGATAATGTTGCAGTTGCAAGGTGTATTTGAAGATATATTTTCTTTTGCCCTTGGCTGCTGCTGCCATGTATGTGTGCAAGTGTATTTCTACCACCTCTGTCGAGTGAAGGCAAGAAAATGAAAAGGAAATTTTGCTGAGTGATACGCATTTGGGGCTAAATTTATTGCCCATTTTATGGAAAAGTGTGTTTTGCAGTAAGAAATTCGTATAAGCAGGCACCAGAATCACAATCATGATTTCCTACTTAGATAATTACTAGTCAGATGAAATCAGGAACTAGATACAACTATAATGTACAGTTCACAGCAATTTATGGGAGACGAAGATCAGAAAATTCAGTATTTTGCTTGTGTGATTTGCCAATATGATTAAGTGATTTGAACATTACCCTTTGTTTTTTATATAACTTTTTGAAGGGGTTGTTTAGTTCTGAAATCTGGACCAGAGCAGGCAGCAGAAGATGCTCATTTCTGCCTTTGTTTTCTGGCCCCCATTTGGCAAGGATAAAGACTTTATTTTTAGCCTTCTTAGATTCAATTTGTAAACTGCGGAGCTAAGCTATCAAGCTGCAGGAGAACTAGCAGGCACTGGCCAGCCGACCTTTACTGCCAAAGAACCTAATTTATTACTGAGTTCTGCACTGGAGGTGAACATATGCCACAGTGCTGCCCAGCCCAAGGGATTTCTAATGATAATATCATGACAAATGATTTAAGCCTGCTTATCAAGTTTACGTAAGCAATCAAGTCACTTTATTTAGTGTAATATATGAAAGAATTGGTTCAGTAGGATGGCTCCGACTCTGAGTTTCTAATATTGGTGAGGGGCTGGCAAGGATTTTAATGATACAGTAAAGAAAAACATATATCTGTATAATTAATTTATTATGTTAGTGTATGGGCTGTGAGTTCACCTTTTAGTGGTCATTTGTCATTTCATAACAACTATGCATTTTGGTTCACTGTGATGATGATCTCTATTTAGTGACTGCAACATGTTTATACCACTGATTCAAATTCCATTCATGATGAAGTTAAACAAATGATGCATATATTGATAGCTTTTATTGCAAAAATGTAAATTAAAAACTTGTATAATGTTCCTGTGCTTTTTGAAATAAAATACCTTATATGTGTATATTTAAAAAAGGGACTTCTCATGTTTGGGGATTTGGGTTTGAAGTATAAAAATCTTACCTAGAAAGGAGCTCTAGTTAAAAGTATGTCAACTCAGCATGTTTGCTTGTTTGTTTGTTTTAGACAGAGTCACTGTGTCTCAAGCTGGGCTCAAACTTATGATGTAGCCTTGAACTCCTGATCCTCTTGCCTCCACCTCCCAAGTACTGGAATTATATAGGCATATGCCACCATATCCAGGTTAAATTTTTTTCAAGGCACAGATTTTTAGGGTTAATGGGGCTTCAAACTTTTTGACTGTATATTTCATCATCACCACATACAGATTTATACATGATTTTGTTTTGCTTTTTTTGAGACAGTTTCTCTATAGAGCCCATCCTGCCTCTGCTTCCCAAGTGCTACCCCTGCCTGGCCACAATAATAATTTTCATGTAGTATTCCTTGCATATGTTAAGTACATTTTCTAGCATAGCACAAAAAACAGAAGTCATCAGTTTACCCCATTATAATCACACTCTCCAAGGCTTAAAACAGATTCTCAAAGCTGCCAGAGAAAAGAAACAAGCAGGAGAGTGTCTCGGTTTACACCAAGCTTCTCAGCAGAAATCTTGCAAACAAAGGGAAAGTGGCATAAGATGTACCCTGTATTGACAGAAAAACGATCAACCAAGAATACGATACCCAGGAAAACTATCCTTCAGCACTGAAAGAGAAAAAGACGTTTCCAAATAAGAACTAAGAGACTATATCTCTACCAGAGCTGTCCTACAAGAAAGGCTAAAGGGCACTCATGGGACAGAAAACATTGGGGATGAGAGTATGGCTCAGGTACCTAGTATGTGCAAACCCTAGATTTGGCTGATTCCTAGCATCACAAAAGGAAAAAACTATTAACTCACAGGCAAGAGTGACTGTACAGATAAATTCAGAATGTTCTAATTATGCGAAACATAAGATTAAAAAAAAAAAAAACCTACAAGCGGAGGATAGTGGTTCGTGCCTGGCAGCCCCAGCTTCTCAGGAGTCAGAGGCAGGAGGATTACTTGAGGTTTGGGGACCAGCCATATTTCTGAAAAGAATAACATTAAGTATTAAGAAATAATGTCTTACTTTTCTATTGCTGATAAAATATACTGACAAAAGCAACGTTAGGAATAATTTATTTTGGCTCACAGTTGAGGACAGCAAAAGTTGAAATAGTTGGTCATATTGTATCTTCAGGGAGGATGGAGCTACCAATTCTTGTGCTCAGCTTTGTCATTTTTATACAGGCTTGTATCTCAACCTTAGGTAACAGTGCGTCCACAGTAGGCAAGTCTACCTGTTTCACTAAGCTAATCAAGCCCAGAGGCTCATCTCCCAGGTGACTCTAGCTCTCATCAAGCTGACAGCCTCACAAACAAGCAATGTGGAAAGATGGAACAGGAAACATTCCAAGGGTTAACTGTTTGAGTGCGCTTTCCTCTCCGGGTGTGCTGCTGACATTCGGAGCATCTGTTATAATCAAACTGAAGGCTTTTTGTTAAACCTCATAGTGCTAACTGGAATCTTAAAACAGTAAAAGAAATCACAATTTCATAGTAACCGAAAAACAAATATCTAAAGTAGGCAACCAGGAAATATAAGGAATCAAAACTGGAGTAAATCATTTAGCCGAAAGGAAGTCTAAGATAGGGAGGAAGAAAGGAACTCAAAACCAGAAAGTAAGTTTCGTAATTGCTGTAGTAAGATCTTACCTTCTTATAGCTAACTTGAATGAAATGAATTCTACAATTGTAAGACACACAGTGATTAAATTAAATGGAAAAAAAAAAAACTATGCCCAAGTTATGTTGCCTACAAGGAACCTCTAAGGGGACCAGGCGATGGTTGGGTCAGTAAAGGCACTTGCCACCAAGCCTGACAATCTGAGTTCCATTCCCAACCCACATGGCAGTGGGGGAGAAAGTAGGAAAGACCAATTACTAGATGCTGACTTAGGGATTTACTTAAAGCACTTCTCAGACTGCCCATTTGCCAAACATGACTTCACCAGCTACCTGAAACGGAATGACCTGGAGAAAGAGCTGAAGCCGTGGGTCATTGCCCTTAACCTGCTGACTGCCGCATACATTTCTGTGAAATCTTGCTCGCTTGCCCACTCCACCTTGTGGTTTTAGAATATAAAATGAGAATGCAAACCGGACCCAGGGTCGAAGCCTTTCAAGAGCCGTCCTGGCTTTGGTCCACTGGTGACATCTCATCTCTTGATGTTGGAATGTTTATTCCAGAAGGATTCCCACAACAGTAGAAGGAGAGAACTGACTATGCCCGCTGTCCTCTGACCTCCACACGCACACTCACAAAATAGTGCCCAAAGCAAGATACGCAAGCACGGCGAGAAGAAATGGACTAAGATGCCCCATGCAAATGGAATCCACGCCACAAAAATATTAAGAGTAGTCATATGAGATGAGTATGCTCTAAATCAAAAGCTACAAAAGCAGAGAGAGAGAGGAGAGAGAGAGAGAGAGAGAGAGAGAGAGAGAGAGAGAGAGAGAGAGAAAATGGCCTGCTACTCAGTAGCCAATGAATTTGAGCACAGCCTGGGCAACATGTGACCCTGCTTTGAGTGGGAAAGGGACCATACTGAGCCAACTCTGCTGCAGGAGGGATTAGCAATTGTAAATACATGCACAGTGTTAGAATACCCAGATAGACGAAGCAAGCATTCCTATACCTAGAGGAAATGGACAGTAATTACAAGGGTCTCAGGAAGGGGTTGAGGCAGGGTTTATAGGTTGTAGCTCAGAACTCGCTGGACCACATGCCCATCTCGATTTTTAAGCCAGGAGAGATGGCAAACACCTTTAATCTTAGAGGCAGAGATCAGTGGATCTCTGTGAGTTCAATACCAGCCTGGTCTATATAGAGAGTTCCAGGACAAAATAAATGATAAACAAACAAATGAAAAGAGGTGTGTTCTCTCCTCTCTCTTCTGAGATCTTGACACTTTGGGATTTTTTGTTGGTTTGGTTTGTTTTTTGTTTGGAATTTTTGTTGTTTTTGTTTTATTGGTTTTTGGAGATGGGATTTCTCTGTGTAGTTTTGGAGCGAGTCCTGGAACTTGCTCTGCAGACCAGGCTAGCCTCAAACTCAGAACTCAGATCCTTCTGCCTCTGGCTCCCAATTGCTGGGATAAAAGGCACGCACCATCACTGCCCAGCATTTGTTTGCTGTTCAATACAGGGTTTCTCTGTGTAACCCTGGTTGTCCTGGAACTTGCTCTATAGGCCAGGCTGAACTCAAACTCAGAGATCCACCTGCCTCTGCCTCCCTAACGCTGGAGTTAAAGGTGTGCACCACCTGGCTTGACACTTTGTTTTTAAACAATTAACCCTGATCATGTTTCTGGGTAGGCCTTCAAGAAATCAATAAAGCAATATATATCCATCTTAAAAAAAAAAAAAAACCACCCAGGTTGGAAAGATGACTCAGTGGGTAAGAGCATTTGATTTTCAGCACTTACATCAGGACTTCTGCATGGATATGCATACAACTACATGTGCACACACAAATGCACATGCATGCATGTGCACCCCCCCCACATTACACATAAAAGTAAAATGTTTTTTAAGACAAAGATAGAAATCCTTAGAGCATGTGCTTGTAAGTTGATATGAAGGATAAGAACATGTGTATTTAACTTTTTTTCATTAATCAATTTGCAGTGCTGGGGATCAAACCCAGGGCTTTAAGCATGCCAGGCAAGTGCTCAAGAGTTGCGCTATAGGGCTGGAGAGATGGCTCAGAGGTTAAGAGCACTGGCTGCTCTTCCAGACGTCCTGAGTTCAATTCCCAGCAACCACATGGTGGCTCACAACCATCTGTAATGAGATCTGGAGCCCTCCTCTGGCGTGAGGGCATATATCGAGGCAGAATGTTGTATACATAATAAATAAATAAATCTTAAAAAAAAAAGTTGCGCTATAGCCCAACTCCACTCCAAGCATTAATTTCTGCAAAACTAGGTTTATTTGTTGTTGTTTGAGTTGGGTTTTGTTTTTTTTTAAGGCTGTAACCACTACTCTCGGACCAAGTGGTTTTTTTGTTTTGTTTTGTTGTTTTGGTTTAACAATTGAGTGTTTAAATATTAAAAGGGAGTAGGAAGTATGAAGGATTACACATAGCTCATAATAGTAGATATGTGTACAAAACTTAAATTTAAAATAGAACAATAAAAAACATGGGACCCACATTTTATATTCATTTAATTCTTCATATGATGTTATACAGCAACCTTGATGTAAGTATATTACAGTAAAATTTCCGTTTCTGGAAATTTTATCTGTCGTTTACAAATATTTTTATCATGTAGAATATACTATGCCCATGGGCTGGAGAGATGGCTCAGAGGTTAAAAGCACTGACTGCCTGCTCTTCTGAGGTCCTGAGTTCAATTCCCAGCAATCACATGGTGGCTCACAACCATCTGTAATGTGATCTGGCACCCTTTTCTGGTGTGCAGGCAGACATGTAGATAAAACACTGTATACATAATAAATAAATAAATCTTAAAATAAAGAATATACTATGCCCAAATAACACTACTAGAAAATATGTTACAATAATATTTATAAGGCCGGATGGTGGTGGTGCACACCTTTAATCCCAGCACTGGGGAGGCAGAGGCAGGCAGATTTCTTTGAGTTAAAGGTCGGCCTGGTCTACAAGAACTTGTTCCAGGACAGAATCCAAAGCTACAGAGAAACCCTGTCTTAAAAAAAAAAAAAATTATCAAGATGATTAATCATCCTATCTCAAAAAGTTATTTTAAAAACAAATTTTTTTATTCTTTTTTTATTTTTATTTATTTATTAAATATTTAAATATTTCTGTCTCTTCCCCACCTCCGCCTCCCCTTTCCCTCCCCCTCCCCCAATCAAGTCCCCCTCCCTCGTCAGCCCAAAGAGCAATCAGGGTTCCCTGCCCTGTGGGAAGTCCAAGGAAAACCCTCCTCCGTCCTGGTCTCGTAAGGTGAGCATCCAAATAGCCTAGGCTCCCACAAAGCCAATACATGCAATAGGATCAAAAACCCCTTGCCATTGTTCTTGATGTCTCAGTAGTCCTCATTGTCCGCTATGTTCAGTGAGACCTGAAAAACAAATTTAAAAACTAAAAACCTCTAACTAGGAGGAAACTGAGTGCTGCTTGCAATGGTAGACTCTGATCTCTGCGGGACGCTATTAGCGCTGCCAGCCAGACTGTCGCGTCTAAAGGTCCCCGCGGTGTTCACCTTGTGGAGTGAAGAGCTAACTCCAAACCACCCGAGAAGGCACAGAACCTCTTCTTGACCCCTGAGAGGCACCCATCGTCAGCAATCACAGCACCACCTCACCGTTCTCCGTTTAAAACTGGGAGTACACAGCCTGGCACAGTGGGCACGAGCCACATCCCAGCACCTGGAGATGGACGTAAGCATGATGGGGATGTTTGAGGTTAACCTGTGATAGTGGTGGGACTTTGTCTCAAAAACAAAAACAAAACAAAACCCTGAGCAGTCACTTTTCAGTACCCACATAAACAACAAAACCGAGCAAATGTAGAATCATTATTGTAAAAAGACTTAACTGCTGCCCTGAGGCTACAGCTCAGTGAGAAAGTACTTGCTTGTGTAGCTCTAGGTTCAATACCTAGGACTTAACCAGAAAAAAAGAAAAGAAGAAAAAGCTTTAATGATATCATTAATCTGAGTTTCACAGAAGTTAAGGAAAAATGGCAACCAGATTAAGGAATAACTTGGGGGGCTGGCTCACAACCATCTGTAATGAGAGCAGGTGCCACTCTTCTGACATGCAGGAATATAGAAAAGCAGAACATAATAAAAATAAATAAATAAATAAATAAATAAATAAATGTTAAAAAAAAAGAGAGAGAGAAATAACTTGAATTAGAGTAGAGTCTTTTCTTCCTTTCCTTTTGCAGTACTTGGGATCACAGCCAGGGCCCGCAGGCATGTGAGTTAAACGGTCCATCATTGAGCACACCCTAGAATTACTTCATGAATGTACACTCTCTTTTAGCTTTACTGTTTTTGTCGTCCCAATACTCCCTTATAGTATAGTTGATTTTAATCGCTGTCAAACCCGAGTTAATACTCATATATTTGAATCCCCCAAATTATGGTTACCTTGCCTAGCTGTCCAACATTTTTCTCTCGTCTTGTTTTCTTTGGATTTTTAAAGTTTGAAATAAACTTACCACCACTAAGCGATTAAGTTCCAAAAATTCACAGAAACGAAACCAGAGCACCAATGTTTCGGGTGGTTCATAGAATTGATGTGAAAGCTATTCTGTTAAGAACAACGCAGCATGCCAGGCGATGGTGGCGCAGGCTTTTAATCCCAGCACTCGGGAGGCAAAGGCAGGCGGATCTCTGTGAGTTCGAGACCAGCCTGGTCTACAGAGCTAGTTCCAGGACAGGCTCCAAAGCCACAGAGAAACCCTGTCTCGAAAAACCAAAAATAAATAAATAAATAAAAAAAAGAACAACGCAGCAGATGCTCTCAGATGATCCCAGGCACCCGGCGCCCTGTATTGTTCAGCGACTCCTGTTCTAGAGTCTAAGCTACAAACCTCCAAAGGAGCAGTTACTACCACGGTTCTGTGGGATTTGCAGATTTGCTAAGTACATTGCAAAACTCTGAACTAAGTTTTGTATTTCCAGTACCTAGCAAAGTAGTCTGCCCTATGAAAAAAATTGTTTACAGAGATCTTAGGGGCTGAGTAATGTTTAAACAGAAACTAGTTTGATGAAGAATTTCAAGGCAGAGACTGTTTGGTGGTTTGCAGAAGCGTTTGTCCGAGCCACCATAGCGTTTCATGTTTCAAAGCACTGTGTACTCAGTTTGAGAAACAGCTTGACAGTTGTAATGAGATCTAATTAAAGCATAATTATTAGTGTGTAATTCTGAGGCCCGAGAGGTTTTGTTTTTGCTCTTCTTTGACCCCAGGGAATGGACTCAAAACATTGCACATGATCAACCTGTTCTCTACCAGAGCGTTTCATTCTTAGCTCCTGGAGATTCCGTTTTTGCTTTTCTGGTGCTGTCTTAGTTACTTCTCTTGCCTGTTGACAACCACCTGACGAAAACAGCTTAAGGAAGGGTTTGTTTGGTTCATAGTTCAAAGGTCCAGTCCATCGTGGAGGGGCAGGCTTGGAGCTGAGGTGTCTGGTCAGCCTGTGTTGGTAGTCAGGGAAGCAGAGACAGACGAAATGCTGTTGAATTGCTTTCTCACCTTGATTTTCTGCACTCACGGTCATTGCTTGCACTCGGATCAGGGTAGGGGTGCCTTGACCCTTCCCATGGACCGAGGCCATGTTTGTATCGGCGGTACACATTCGCTCAAGGCTTCGATCGGGCTTCCTCTGCTCCCTACAGTGCTGCCTGAATTCAGGGTGGGTTTCCCCCCCTCAACTAACCTAGATAATCCCTCAGAGACGAGGCAAAGAATTTCTCTCTGGTGATTCTAGACGCTGTCAAGTTGACAACTGATATCAACCATCATAGCACAGGGGACTGAATTCAACACATTCCTCACCTCTAGCCCAGCAGAATTTTTTAAAGAAAAGGGAGGAAAGAATGAATGGCAAGCATCTAGGTCTTCACCCTGATTCATACTGTGGTGCTGGGGCTGGGGATGTGGTTCTGGAGTAGTTCTGGAGTAGTGTGCCCAGCTGGGACACAACAAACAAACAAAACATTGTGATGTTGTCCTGGCAACCATATGCTATAAAAGAGCCATGTAGGTAATTTCCTGTTGAGATCAGGGGGAGGTTACAAAATGGTACCAAATGTGGTAGAGTAGCACACACATAGAAGAACAGGGAAATAAAAGATTATTCAATGTGTTATTTCTCGCTAGAACAAAATTTAAAAAAAAATTGTAAGGAGCATTATGTCTTGTATGGAGACTTCCCAGTTTAAAACGGAATTTTACTATCCTAGAATAGTATGTAAAGATTCTTCATAAATCCAAGTTTCGTTCCTTTGCATAACCCAAGACTTGAGCCAGCCATCTTTATTTTCCCAAATATTACTTTATTAGGTATCTGTCACCACACACTCAATCAGTGTTTAAGGCAATAGTAAACATTTATTTTTGATGTTGGGGATTTATTATATCACATTGGTTTTGTGGGGCTGAATTTGGGGAGTGGCTCTCAGCGGATTCTGGCTTGCTTGTTTTATAAGGCGGCTGTCAAGATGCTGGCTGGTGATTCCAGCATGCCAAGGCTGAGGCAGGAAGATCACAGGGGTCTCAAGCCCCCACCACCACCACCAAAAGAAGATCCCACAGTGAAACCCATTTTTAATTAACCTTTTTGTTTTTAAATTCTACCTGGTGTGATGGCACATTTATAATAAATAGTGGGAAAAAAAACACTTTTCTGCTTTCATCAAAACCAAAACAATTTGGCAACTTCTTTATGTTGAACAGAGCAAGATGACTTCATCATCAGTTGTCTTTGAATGTACATTTTGTTCTGCCTTTTGTCCAAGAATCTGAAAATGATAGGCAGGAAGCTGTCTCCTGTCCATAAAAAACATAAAGAAACTGGTATTTCCTCAACAGGAAGAATATTCCCGTCCCTTAAGAAAACAATTAAAAACAAAGAGTTAAAATTCATCCTTTCTGTCCATGGCAAACACGCGGCAGTCATTGGAACTTGTGAAGGAGAAAGAGCATTGGACCTGCGATATTTAAACAGACCCGAGGTTTGGTTTTGACACTAGCGTGATCTTGGTAAAGTTAACTCAGTTTTTAATGTCTATATAATGGTCAGTAAAGATGGGAGGGAGACTTACTTTTAGTTTTTTGTTTTGTTTTTCACCAAAGAGTTTGGCACCCATTCAACACGAAATATAAATGTCTCCCACACATCCTTAATGCTCCACCCTTCGTAGTCAGTCTTTGAGCCACTCAGGCAAACTCCAGCTTAGAGTCCCAGATTGGTCCACACGAAGGTTGCTCATTGTCTTTATCAAAACAGCAATGCAATCTTTTTCCGTAGGTTGCGAGGGGGCACTCCCTTCTCCAGGCTGACATCTCTGTAACGTCTTCTTTTGCTCCTCACACCTTCAGGTTTCCTGGCCCTGGCCAAGAGCTTAGGTTAAGATTCTGGGGACAGCGCCCATTCCTCAGATCCTGGCGACTTTAGGTCTGAGCAGGCGAGTAGACCTTAAGCCACCACCCGGCCTTGCGATTCTCGTCGCGACTGCCTCAGTGACAAAGTATTTTTTCTTCCAAAGGGGTCAACTCTGTGGCCACAAGCACGCTGAACTAGAATATCTACTCAAGTCTGCTCTCAGAAGCTCTGCGCCCTACATCTCTCTACTCAGGACAGGCCGGCCGTTGCGGCGGACACTGGAACTACAAGTCCCAGAATCCCTGCGCACACACGCACGCGCACTGTCATTGTGATGCTTCTTTCCCGGTAACTCGCCCTCTCAGGCAAACCTGAAGATAGCGGCAATTCTCCGGTGGGGGGCGGAGACGCTCTCGGCCCAATTCTCCGCCCCCTCCCTGATAGGCAATGGGACTAGCCAACCGACGCCACGGTCTGGGAACGTGCTCTCCAATCAGCACCCGCGGCGGAAAGGTGGGCGGTGCGCGCTGGCAGGGCAGGTGGGCTAGGCTGTGCGGCTTGCGGGGGGGAGAGTAACGTCGGGCCGGGTCAGCGGGCGCTGCAGTAGTCGCCGCAGCGGCTATGGGAGCGGTGGGGACGAGGCGGCGGCGGCGGCGGCAGGAGGAGGTGCAGGGGCTGGCACGAGAGCAGCGGCCCGGGGAGGCCCGCAGCAACACCCGCAGCCGCCGCCGCCGCCTTTAGACGCGGACGGCACCCGAGGGGACCGCCGGCCGTCTAAGCCGCGCTCGGGTCCCGCCGCAGTGGGCGGCGGGGGATGGGCAGGCGGCGGCGGGCCAGCCTGCTGAGCGGTGACTCCTGCCGGTGCGAGCCCTGAGCTGGACCCCAGCCCTCCGCCGGAGATCCTGCGTCCGCCGCGGCCCAGGTAGGACACACCCCCGAGCCCCGGGGCGTCTCCAAGTAGCCTCTCTGCGCCCGCCGGACCCCTAGCCCAGCCCTACCGAGGCATGGAGGAGAGGCTGCCCGAGACCCTTGGGTCTCTGCCCATCCCCTGGGCTGGTGCCAGACCCAAATTGGTCCTCATCCCCGAGACCGTTCTGGTTCTGCCCCATTTCCCCGGAGGCTTTGGGTGCCTTCCCTGAACTTGGAGGGTCACTAAGCTGCTTCATCTGTTCTGTGGATGACCCATATATCACTTGTACTCATGACTCTTCTGGTTACCAAGATCGAACAGAGAGGATGCTTTAAAATTATGAGCGTTTCGTTTTACCTTTATTTTTTCCTCGCTGTAATGGAAGAGGGACGGAGCTACGGAGTCTCTCTCTGGGGTAATTAGGAAGGCCAGGACTTTGTAGTACTGAAGTAATGACTGGAGGGATTGGCTTTGACAAAGATGATGCTGTTGATACGCTGGGATGCCGAAAGAGGGACAAAAGAGCCTATGTATACGTACTGTCGAGTCAGAGAAGTAAATAATCATGGGGGTGCTAGGATACTTGATCTTCCAGTGAAGTTCATTTTGTTTCCATTGTGGCGCTGCCTTAGAGGTAAAAATGACATTGAGTTGTACTTTGCTTTAGATTAAAGTTGATAGGCTTCTCTGCTCAGGCTTTGGAAGCTGTCCTTTGACCATTAAAGAAGAGAATTTTATCTTAACCTACGTATGATGGGAAATGGTTATTTAGTAGAATTGAATTGCGTGAGAGAGTTTATTATGAATGGGCATATGTTTGTACTCAGACTCTCAAATACAAGGAGGATTCCGGCTGTGTTTTGTTAACAGTGTTTGGTTTTGAGCCATTAACAGTCGCCTTGACATTAAACATGGACTTGAGGATAGACTGCAAAGAGGTATCTGTTTTCTTTTAACTAAGTGGACTAGAATAACATTCATTAAGGGATTAACAAAATGAGGATTTTAAAAGTGTTGAGTGGGTTGAATACTTTGTGTCTTGCCTCTTTAAAGAAGCTGTGATAGTGACAGATATAACAATATGACGTCTTGGAGAATCTATCCCGATTTGGATTGTGGTCTATTAAAAATTAAAACATAATGAAAGAAATCTTTAGTACAGAAGTTAGTATTTCTTTCTTTTCTTTTCTTTTTTTTTTGTTTGTTTGTTTTCGAGACAAGGTTTCTCTGTGGCTTTGGAGCCTGTCCTGGAACTAGCTCTTGTAGACTAGGTTGGTCTCGAACTCACAGAGATCCGCCTGCCTCTGCCTCCTGAGTGCTGGAATTAAAGGCGTGTGCCACCATCGCCCGGCTCAGAAGTTAGTATTTCCTGTATGATGAATTTTTAGGAAGACACCAAAAGGGATGGTTGAAACATGATTGTAGAGGAAATTTCTCTAATAGTTTAACTTTATAATGGAATGATAGAAACTGACTTCTCTCTTTCAGTTTTGGACACATAGAAGACATTGAGGCTCATACTTAACTTTATTAATTTTGTAATTTGAAATTGAAACAGATTGATCATGAGTAGGGAAGTAGCTTAGAGAACATGTATATTCATATATATATATATATATATACATCATTGAGTGAATTCTGTATTGTTTATGACTTTAGATTTTTATTGTTAAGTAGTGGCTATTTTAATACCTCAGGAAAGCTGAGCAAATTGAGCTCAATTATGTAGGACTTTATATATCTTTAAATGTCATGCTAGTAGTGAAAGTTGTATAATTAAGACAATTTTAGGGAGCAGTTTATACATAAGGCTGCATTAAAATGTGACAGTCATGGGTTGTTTAAACATTTTTAAGTATACTTATTTTTGTGTGTAGAGTATTTTGCCTAAATGTGTGTGCCGTGATAAACTATTGGTTTTTCAAAGTATATAGGTGTTGCACGGCTGAGTTAGTTCTGATCATGGAGTTTTAAGTTTCATTTAGGTGCTGAGCAGGACTTTACACAGCTTTATCAAGAATACATATGGATGACATTGCTTTGTTGTCTGGAGGCAGACTTGCTCTGTAATTCAGGCTGCTCTTGAAGTCCCAATAATCCTTCTTCCTCAGCCTCCCAGGTGCTAGAATTACAGGTGTCAACCACCATTTTTATGCCATACTAGGGTTCAAATCCAGGGCTTTATGTATTCTAGGCAAGCACCCCACCAACTGAGCTACATCCCCAATTTTTTATTTTATTTTGAAAGAGGGTTTTCCTAGATTGCTCAGGCTGGCCTGGGTCTTATGATCTGCCTGTGTTTGTCAACAGAATAACTAGGTTTGCAAGCATGTACAACCACATCCAGTTCATTAGTCTGTTAAAAAAAATTAAATTTTGTGTGTATGTTTGTTTTGTCTGCATGTATATAGTTTACCGACTGTCTACGTGTCTGGTGCCCATGGAAATCAGAAGAAGGTGCTAGATCCCTTGGAACTTGAGTTACTAATAGTATGAGCTGCCACGTGGGTGACAGGAACTGAACCTGGGTCCTTTGGAAGAGCAGACAGTGCTGTAACCACTGTCTCTAGCCCTCATTTACCTCCTTACACTTCCTTTTATTTTACTTTCTCCCATTTCAAAACACTTGCTTTAAAAGATAAGGTTGCATTGTCTCCCTTATCTAATCATATGGTCATCTCAATACTCTATTTTTGTTCATCTTTGCGGCTTTCTGCTTGTGTTGTATGTTATGGAGTACGCTTATAAATTTTCTTTTTTCTTGGTCCACTAAGATTTTAGCTTATATAATATCTAAAAATGGTTTTATTAACATTTTTCAATGACTAGTAAGGCAGAGATGAGGGAAGAAAAGTAAGAAAAAGAAGAGCCAAAGAGAAAAGTGTGATACATACTGATAATGATGTTTGATTCAAAAATCACCTGGATGCAGAATTACATGGTAAACTGGATTAGGACTTCCTTTCTTTTGAACTTCCATGACATTTAATAAGCTCAACATATTTAGGGCTGTTGAAGTGGAGAAATGGCTCAGTGTTTAAGAGCACTTGCTGAAGACCTAAAGTTTAGTTGTCAGCACCCACATGGCAGCTCACTACCATTCTTAACTGCAGTTCCAGGGGATCCAGTGCCGCCTTCTGACCTCCAAGGACACTAGACTCACACTGATGCACAGACATAAATGCTGGCAAACCAGTCATACATGCAATAAATTATTCAAAACAATCTCTTGGAATCTTTGAATGGTAAGTTATTGTAACAGCTGCATATGCTCTTTCAGTACTTGCTAAGCATTTCCCATGTTAAACTGTCATGGGTTAAAGATTCAGTAGCAGCTCTGGGTGGTGGTTCTTGTACACCTTTAACCCCAGCACTTGGGAGGCAGAGACAGTCGGATCTAAGGCCAGCCTGGTCTACAGAGCTAGTTCTAAGACAGCCCAGGCTACACAAAGAAACTGTGTCTTTAAAAAAAATCAGCAGTAGACAAAAGAGAAAAATCCCTTCATTTTTAAGTTTACCATATAGTAGAAGCAGAAGCCTGTAGAGACAGATACTTATGCAAGTTTCAAGTATTATGAAGAGAACGTATAAACATGAGCAGGTAGTTTCAAGAGAAGTTGCTGTTTTATTAACCCTAACTAATTCTGTGTTCTCTATTAGCTTCAGAGGTCAGTGGAAATATTTCACTCTAATTAAATAATTAAAAATAAATATTCTAAATGAAAAAAGTAATAAAAGTTAATGTGCATATTACCCTGTGTCTTATGCAGACATTGTGTATCTGCAATAAACAGGAGAAAAATAAAGAAGGAAACATTTTGTTTCACAGTTTTGAGGTTTTTATCCACTGTGGCACGGAGGGCATGGTGGAACAGGTCAGCTGAGTTCATTGCATTGAGGAAGCACAGAAAATACCCATGCTCGTGCCCTCACGGATATACTCAGAGGTGCACTTTACTAACCATCAAGTTGACAATCAAGATTAACCCTTACAAGTCCACCTCTTGTTAACTTGACACCCAAACACATCTCTTTAAGCCATACATTTGGACTGGGAAGATAGCTCAGTGGGTAAAAGTGCTTGTCACACAAGTCTGAGAAGCTGAATTCAAATCCCCAAAAGCCATGTGAAGCCAGATGTGGACGTGCTTATCTGTGCCAGTACTGAGGTGGAGATGAGAGACCTGGGAAGCTAACATATGAGATATTCAGGAAAACAGCAAAAAACAACCCTTCACATGTACGCTGTGACATGTGAGCCTATAGATACACACACACACACACACACACACGACTCACTAGAGAGAGAGAGATTAAAATAAAAAACCTTGATATTCCATCCCTGGTCTCCATAAGACTTATGTCCTCCTGAAATTACAATTATACAGTCCACCTCCAGAGTTCTCACAGGCTTTACAGTTCTGACATTGTTCAAAAATCCGGGATTAAAATATTTGAGATGGAAGCAAACTCAGTTGTGATTCCTTGTAAAATCAGAAGGAAAATTATATACTTAGGAAGTATGGTACAGAGTAAGCAATTTCATTCCCAAAGGAAGAAATAGAAAAGTAGCAAGGTGGGGTTAGGACCAAAGCAAGACAGAAACCTCAAAGGGGAAACCAGTCCCATAGTTCCATGCCTGAACTTGGTGATGTGTTCTCCAGATGAGCATTGCCTCTAAGACCTTACTGGTTGCAGCTCACATAGCCTTTTTCTTTGGTTACTTTTACTTGGTAGCAGCTTGTGTCTTTTTGCTTTGCACATTCCAAGTTCCTGACACATCCAATTTTCCAGGTCTCCATTGCATCTTTGGCTTCATTCTCATGGTTTTATACATTGCTCTTTAGGGGCTGTCTGCAGGAAGACTGACCTTGCTTTAAGTTGGAGTGAAAGCCTCCGTCACTTTGTATCCCCTTTAGTCTGTGAAATAAATATCATATGATGAACAGTACAAGGTCTGTTGCTGCTTCCAGTGATAGGTATGTCTGCATAGACAGTGGTCTCTTAAGTGG